GCCTTAAAGGAGTAAAACGGAAAAGGTTTTTTGCTATTGCTTTATCACAACTGTAGAGAGATCAGTACAGCTAACTCGGGCTTTAGTCTTTCATCGCATCGTGGAGGAGATGTAGATTAAACCACTGTCCCTGAAAACCTTTTTAGTGAGGCGTGATCGACAGTGAAAGAAGGGTATACAGACGTCTATACAATGAGTGTTGGCTGTGGTGAACTGACCGCGGTAGATACTTGTTTATGTTGGCAATTTATCATGAAGCCGAAAGTCAAGGATGAAAGTTCAATATAATGCACTGTATTCCAATAGTTTCAGCTCGAGGAATATAAATGAATTACCGTGAGAATTGAAATACAGCTGTATATCTCTTTGCTTTGAATATTGACATTGATCTAATACGACCTTTTTCCTCGAGAGAAGAAAACCCGTGCAAAACCCCATTTTGTCAATATAAAATTTAAGAGGCTCCACCACCAGGAAAAAAAGAACATTCACCAGCTCAAAAAAATCTCGGAGTGAAATTATGATGTGTGACCCTGAATTAGAGATACTGTGAGGTAGTTTAATTCGGCAGTCTTTTTGATAGTTTGGAAATCGTATGGTCGTTGCCTCTTTACTTAGGCTCAACTATCAACAAAATAAAACGTTAGAAATTCTACTCATTTTTTTCTTTGTCACTATTGCATTGGGTTACTCGGCTAAATTGCTAGCAGGGTTTCTTGTTCTATATATTCCAAGCACTTGCCAAAAAATAAATGAAAAGCGGCAAGGGAGGAAAACCACAGCTTCCTAACTGAGGGTAATAAAAACAAAATCGATTTCCTGTTATAACAGAGTGTTGAGGGGCTTTTTTGACAAATAGGAAGTTATAAAAAGCTTATAAATTACAAGTATCGATTACTAATGAAAACAACATTTGTTTGAGATCCTCAACTCAATTTTCATCCCGAAGTACACCATCCCCCCCCCCACCCCTAGGAAGGCTATACCACTGTTGGCTTGTTTACTAGAATTACCATGGACAAGTTTTGCTAAAATAGAAAGTTAGGACCTCTTTGTTACGCGAAACGAATAGATCATTAAATGCTTGGTGAAGGCCGTGAAGAACTTTGAACTCTAAAAAACGTTCCCTTCTGGCTTAAGCAGATGAAAATGTTCTTAGAACTCAGTATCTTGAAGCTACAAAAAGAACATTCGTACATAGCAAAAGGGATGTACATTATACTTTAAATAGTGTTTTAATGGTCCCAAAACCCCTTAAAAAAACCTGCAGATTGAGTAACACCAAACACGTCTTCCCAGCTCGACCACACTTGAAGGGTAGACGCAAAATGCCTACAAGGGTTTCTTTTGATCGGTGGTACCGTTGCAACATTCAAAATCCACTCGCATTACACTTCTTCCTATACCACCCTGCGAGCCGAGTTTTTCGCACGCCAGTCCACACCGCGACAATGTAGCCTCTGTCGCAGGGCTTTTGCATTCTTCCCACTGAATAAAGAGTTAAACATTTTAATATACAGCTATTTCGAGAAAAGGTTGTCGAAAAAAAATGTGCATGCGACAATCCCGAAAGGTAATATGGGATATGATCAATACACCGTTCTTGACACTGTAGCTGTCGAAGTTACTTTTGCTGCTTTCCTTAGGACTTGCAAATGGCCTCTTGTGCCATTCTTTCAAATTTCTTCGAAGAACAATGAACTCAAAACCACCCACAATATCCTTTGGGCCTTGTCGCGTGCACTTTTTCCCGACCGACAACCTTTCTCGAAATAGCTGTATTTTTTCGGCGTATATTTTTACAGCCGGATTATAGAACCTTGATCACTTCAGACCTTTAAAAACAGTAAATTCCCTTTAATACAGAAAGAAATAGTACGTTTCAAAACTTAAGAAAATTCTGTCTTCTGTTAGTAACTGCATGCTCTAGGGTTTCTAGTTCACGGTGATTTATGAGCTCATATATGATGACAGAAACTCGACGAAATATCATCACTGGTACTAAAAAAGTTGAAAGAAACATTCGGATTTCTTGACTTGAATACTTAGTTTTTAATAAGTTAAATCTAACCCAGGTGTGGCCCTTTTTAATGAGATTACTGAAGAGCCTAGCGCACGCATTATAAAAAGATCCGCTAAATTAAAATCTTTTGAAACAAATTACGTACTTCATTAATTCACGTTATCATCGCGTTCATTATACATTCGTTAACTATTTCAGTTAAGGCATGACAATTAACAAAACCTATTTTCTCTAACCCTGTACTAACGCTTCCTTAATTGGAGGGAGTGCTTCAAGCGTCTAAGAAAGACTCGCATTGCTCTCTCTCGTAGTCTAACTCTCAGAAAGTTTCCATCCGTTTCGTTTCACTGATTTTCACATTGATCAAGTAGCTCCACTTCTCTTGGTTGAATGATATCGCCGTCAACAGAGTGAATCACATGGTCCGATTCCTCGCTTTGTAGGACGTTCCAAAGATCTCCGATGTAGCGAATTGCCAACCGCAGAGTTTGAATCTTAGACAGTTTTTTCTCCTTTGGAGCGAACGATGAAGGAAGCCGGTACCGCAGTTGAAGCATCGCGGCGCTTATACTGCGCATGCGAGTTCGCTCTCGTGCGTTGGCAGTCTGTCTTTGTTTGCTCAAGCCAGTTAGTCTTGGCTTCCTGCGCCGTTTTCTTCTTCCATTAGTGGCTTGGCTTGTATCGCGAGCCTTTTCTGTGGCCATAACTTTTAAACTGTGCTTAACAGGGAATTACTTGAAAAATCACGCGAGCAAGTAGGAAGCAATCCCTCTCTCTTGGTTTTACGTCAGTGCTGGAACGTAATTATAATTTCTTGCCAGTCTAAGGTTCCTTTCTCTTAAGCGCTCTCAAGTCAGCAGCACTAGGAAGAAAAATGACCTTTTTACCACAAAACAGAGACGCAAAATAAGCGGGAGTATATATAAGGACCAATTCTGTGCTCGCGATGATTAAGCTGTACCCCTGAAGTATAGGATTGCAGCTGACTTATCAACTGTGAAATTAAATTATCTGCAACCAGATAAGCCAGCCTTGTCTAACGGTACGTTCTTCTCAATGCGTGGCCGGCTGCTGGTGCCAGCGCCGAGGCAAGCTGCACGACAAAGGTATCTGCCCGGTGTTAACGTCAATTTGTTGTGTTTATTCTCAGCATGGTGGGCGACCAACAATTGAACAAAGTCACTGCAGGGGAGAAGCGTTTTAACTGAATCTGCAGGTAACCGGAAAAAAACACTCCTGGGCTTCTTTGTTTATCGATTCGCGCGTGCATACAACATCTTTTACATCTCTGTCACACCGAGCAATCGTAAACAAAGGACAAAGTTAGACAAATATTATTCTTACGATTTCAGGCATAAACTTTTAAACAAATCCGCACTCTTTATTTTGGCTTATCTATTCGTCTGGAAACCTGTAGTCCACATCAATTCATTATATCGCGCCCAACAATGCTTTTTTTATGGCAACGTTGGGACTCGTATTTGAAACCCTTACGGCCTAGAATCTTTAAATTGTAAATAAAACTAAGGTTCTATATTTTAACAGAACTTTAAACGATACTGCCAACACAAATGCACCAAAAAAAAAATAAAATAAAAAAAAGATAGACAATACAAACCCTAGGCTATTGAAAATTAGTTTTTAATTTTTATGAAAATGAACTCATCAAACTTCTAACTTTATTTTCTCACGGGTGCTACTTCACAAATAAATACCTATTTTTTTCTTTGTTTTGAAAATTTTAAGTGTTCTTGTGCTGTTTTAAAGTACATAAAGTGGCACTTATCAAAAGGTAAAAGCGGTTTCTGTGGACACGATTACCTTGTTAGCATAAATTAAGCATTGATCGCTGAACAAAAAGATAAGAAAAATTGATAAATGCTACTATATTTGGCAAAACGCCGAATGCACGAGGAAATTAGCTCGTGGTTTTATTGCCCTAGGGCAAGTCTTCGCGAAAATGAGAGAGGAAACGTTCTTTCAGTCCTCTGTTGATCATAGCTATTATGGATAGTACCTAAAATTACACCTTTAATCCAAGGACAGTCGGCTGAAATACCAACTTCCTTTGGCTAACTGTTGCGAAACAAATCGCAGCATGTACAATTCATAGTAGAAGAAGTTTCGGTCTGAATGGAATCTTCGTCTCTCGTTAGGCTTTCATGCACCGACTACAAATTTAGACCGACTTCATCCCACGTTTCCCAAATCGCAAAATTGTCAATGGTGTATCCGTCCTTTGAACGTTCGAGTAGCAAATGCGAGTCTCGCAGTTGCTTCATCATTGAGCCTAAATTCAAGCCAAAGAATTTTTCAGGATTTTTTTGTCACTTTAGCGAAGCTTATTATTTTGTATGCGTTTAGAATGACTTACGTAATCTGTGACAGAAAAACTTACAGATTCCTCATACTATTCATAAGCCGCGATACCGAACCAAAATATTCGATTTTCTCGAAATTTTGTTAACATTGCCTTTACAATATCGAATGCTTCGGGGTGAACTGATAATGTTGACGTGACTTGATGTTTCCTTCCGAGCCTGTGATCCTTTGGTCAGTTGGCTGGCAACCAGCTGGACGCGCTCGACGGTAACCAGGCGTCCCTCCTTGTTCTAAAGCCACGCCCTTGTAAGTGCACGTGTAGTCCTCCCTTCCATATACAACCATGAGCCCTCTGTTTTCCGCGCGCTTGGAGACAAAACAGTCGGTGATTTATCGTGATGTTCTCGATGGTGGATGGTTTATTGCGATAGTGGAAGCAAGATTCAGTTATGAACACTATGCTTGTAGAAATATAACAAAACAAAAACCTCACCGAGGAATAAATAACTTTATTAGTTAGTCGCAAACATCATCGCGTGACCTGTCGAACTTTTATTTACAATTGAAGAACATGTACATCGCATTATTACATTAAGTAGCCCCTAAATCGTTTAAAAGGCCGAATTCCTTTAAAGGTTTATACGGACTTTAAATATCACTGAACAGGCTGGACAATCGGCTGAGATGATATGGAAGAATGTCCATTCCTTTCCTGAGCAGAAACACCACCGTTTTCTGGAATTGCATTTACGCTGGATTCGTCATTGCTTGTCCTGCAAATAAGTACCTATATTTCACCCATTGGTTCGATATCCATTGATTTGTCAACATAATTTATGTTCGAAATGTTCTTTTCTGATTTGCTGACAAATATGGTGACTTGTTCGGACATATGACAAAAAAAGTCATCTTTATGTAAAGACAAAGTAAAAGGTTAAGTGTGTGTCTCTTCAATTTTTAAGGGAAAATAAAAATTCCGAAGAGGGTGAGTGGGTATCGAACCCAGAGTGTAGAGTCTGCAGTCCATCACCTTCCTAGTAGACCACTGACCATTGGTAGGCTAGGATGGATCTGATTTGAACTCATATAGTAACAACCCTAACCCTAAATAGAAGGAGTCAGTGTTTAACTCTAACAGTTATTTTCAGTGCTTAACCCTAATCGGTATTGCTTAACCCTAATCACTAGAGTCAGTGCTCAAAACCGAAGCCGAAGCGATAAGGAATCCTACGTTGTGTAAACTTCACGAGGTATCCGAAGGGGTTTGGGCCGATGGAATCTTATGTTAACCCCGGTTCAAGGGGGGAGAGAGGGGGCGGGAATTCAATAGCGGCTGTCTACAGAAGATACCAAGTGTTGTTTGGGTAGAAATCCTGCAGTTCCGGTTAAGCCATTATTGTTTACGAATACAAGCAACTTACGGGGGTGGATCAGCTTCGATCTGTGGAGCGGGAGTGGGACGATCTTCGCTGAACGGCGAGTCTGTAAATAAATAGAAAATAAATAAGTTGATACAACAAAAAATGAACTGAAAGAAGAAAAAGGTTGGTAATACATTCGATAACAACATTGTTATGAACCTTCGCAAATTATTGAACCCGGGAGCAGAGGGCTAACTACGAATAGGTCCGTACAATACAATACAATACAAATTTTATTGTCAACTCCCCATGGAGGCTTTTCAGAGACAAATATTAATAGTACAGGTAAGTAAAAAAACAAACAAACAAACAAAAGAAATACATGCACTTAGGATCACTTAGAGATATATCCTGCACAACACTTCGGGATATATCCTGAATTTCTAGTTCTTACCTGCCCCTAGTCTGTCAGCTTTAGTGAACGGTACCGTCTCTTTAGCTTTACCAGGTCTTTCCTTAAAAAAACAAAACAAAACAAAACAAAACAAACAAAACGAGGCTAAGTGCAAAGCTATTGATATGAAAATGAGTTGTTTTTCTCATGCAAATAAAAACTAATTTTCAAGAGAAAGGTTTTGCCCTTAGCCTCGTTTTCAAAGTGAGAGTTTTTGGAACTTGAAAATGGCCTATTGAGCCTGGTTCCAAAGGCTAAACCAAGTTATGCGAAACAGCGGAGGAGGCTTGGAGCCGAGTCCCAATAAGCTTGAGAGGTGGCATTAAATCCGAACTAGCGCACGGAGGGGACTGACAACGATGCTGGTTGCAACTGACAGACTTGAAGAAGGGATAAATCCTATTCAAACCTGAATCTTACTGTAGTTTTTACACGCTTTTCATTTTTTTAAATTATTTTTTCTTTTTCTTTTTGTTTTTGTATCACTTGGTTTTTCTGTTTTAGTATTCGTGCCATAAAAACGTGAAAAAGAAGGAAAAACTTAATATGGTGGAACGCACAAAAAATGAACCCTTTATCCTGATCACGAATTATGATTAAGTGATCTAAAACAGGATTAAATTGAAGGAAAAAAGTACAATTGCTTGACTAGTTCAGAACAATAACACGAGACAGTAATCAAATCGAAACGTTGTTTGTTCTCATTGATGACTTACAGTGCGACTACTATAACCGGGCCACCGAGACAAAGCTGTCCAATTGGATTACAGGAAAATAACAATACACTCCAAGAAAGTTAGTTGTCAATCATATTTATCATGAAACGAAATAAAGAACATTGATCGAAATCAACCAATTAGAACGTGACCTTTTGAGCCCGCTGAAGAAAGCACGTGTTTTCCGAGAGGTCCGTTAGAGTGAGTATAGGACGGGAGAAACGTAGACGACAGTTATATTTTTGACTTGCGGTCGCATATTATTGCAAAAGGCGGCAACAGGAGCGAAGAAATTGCTGGTAGATGACAAAATAACAGCTTGTGTCAAAGTCCCGTCTCCTGGGTGTTGTATGCAAAGTTTCGGATAGAAAAACATTGTCTGGTGAAACATTTTGCTTTCCTGAAAACCGTTTGGTATCAATATTAAATTTTGTGCATAGAGTAACTTATTGTTTTTTCGCGAGGTGCTGATTACCCGACAACCAACTTTCTTGGAATGTATTGTTATTTTTCTGTAATCCGGCTGGTCAACTTAGTAGCACTGTAACCATTCCTTGTCATAAAGCTGGTTCAATAAAGTTGGATTTGGGCATTGGGCATTTAGGCATACAAAACAATCCAAAGATTTGCCTGAGTAACAACCAAACGATAGCGTCGTAGTGCCCAATTACCAAATCAACTTTAAGTAAATCAGCTATATACTTACTATAGTTTTAAAAATTCGTCCAGGTACACCTTTTCTTTCTGAGACGATTACTGCGGGACCATCACTCTATGAGTAAGAGAGCAAATAAATATCAGCAAGAGGGCCTTTATCCTCTCTTGATATCAACAAGATTACAAAACTAGTGCAGAGATTGAAACATTTATTAGCATGGAATAAGCTACTACAACCATATTTCCTCGAATATTAGCCGGGGGGAGTTTTCCTTCTTTTTTCGCACAAAAAGGGGGGCGATTAATTGAAATTTTGCTCTCAGGAAGTCGTGCCCTAAATATTTTGTTATATTATCCCATTAAACCAAAAAATGATCGCATCAAATAAACTGAACATAGGCTTTCTAAGTGTTCCAAATTTAGTTCCTTGATTAGTTTTCAGTGTCAATATCCTCGGTGGAAGAGCTTGAATCGTCAATGATCAGTTTCGCTGTATCAGACTCCACTTCAACTTGACAGGGAGGGGATAAAAGAAAGAGAAGATGGCGAGAGGGGTGGGTTTGGAAGATTATTAGAGGGAGGCGAATATTTTCATTATTTCCCTCTAAGAGGGGTGGGGGGGGGGGGGAAATTGTTCGAGGGAGGCGATTAATCGAGGGACAGCTATTATTCGAGGAAATATGGTATATGTATTAAACAAATTGTCCTGTTCCTACCGCATACACCACAGCAGCCTGCTGTAGCCGGGCGGCCTGTCTCTGCAGTGACGTTCTTAAGAAACTCTCGTCTTTCAGTGCGTGAAGTCTGACGGTAAAAAAGCAAAAGGTTTAGGGCGGTATGGCATATCATAATGAAGAGCACCATAGGAAAGTGGTGCTCAGCAGCTTTCACTTAAATGTTAAAATCCAGGATTCTACTACGAGCTGAATCTCTCTTGCTGAATATAGCACATCGTCAAACGAAAGAAATGAACAGTTATAGAATTCATTTCAATTTGACCCGTCTCATTTCATTCAGACATCCATGGGTTAGATGTTGGACTGGACATGAGATGAACTTCTACTCACGTTTGTTGTAAAATGGTGACCTTCATTTCCCACGTTTTATTCACTCGTTCAAGCTCCCTTTGTAACCTTTAAAACAAAATAAGTAAATAAATATGTCAATAAAATCTGATTATAATCAAATTCCTATGACTAGATCCTTAAAAATAATAATAGTAATAATAATAATAATAAACAGTTAGACAACGTAAAAGAAAATTATAAAGGGTAAAAAGGATCATCAGTCCAAACACTTCCTTGCTCCATTCACAAGCAAATCATAGAAACTGTTCAAACTTTGCCATGATCAAGGTAGCCAAGGGAGGTAAGAAACTGCTGGTTAAATACAAGGGCTTTAGGTAGTGAAAAAACGCAACGGCGTCATTACAATGCCATGGCAACTCCGATGTCAATGGAACATGGATCAAAACAGATTTTAATCTTTATATTATACAGCTGTGGTAACGTTTTTCCGACGCCTTTGAATGACAACGTAGTACATGTAAATGCTAAAACTTGGGAGGCATCCTCCCCATAAAATACAGTCGAACCACCTTAGGATCAGACTGGCGCAAAAGCCTTAGTTATCCCCTAAGAGTATACACCTATTTCAATAAAGGCTGCCATGGGATTTGGTCATTGAAACGCAGAATACAACGCAATGCTTTGCTCGGGTGACCATCAAACAATGGCTTTCAAAGACCAAAGCACGATTCCCAAAGCAACTTTTATTGAAATAGGTGTATACACACTTTTATTGAAATAGGTGTATACACCCGTGTTGCCCATTTGAGTCTGAAAGTAAGATTGGGTCAACCTTGTGTCGAACTGCACAATGGAGTTGTTTTGAGGTTGCTACCACCTCTCTTTTTCATGACTACAATGCTATGAATTTATGCAGGGAACTGGGTACAACTCCCCCCCTAACCAGTCCCATAATGCATTTCAACAAAAACAACGAAGCAGTCCGGCTCATGCGCAGACTTCACAGTAGCCAGTAGCATTTCTACAGATACATAAATTATTTTGAGATAAGGGTTAATCTAACACCCTCCGCTATGGGGAAGGAATTTTATTGGGATTCAGCATCTCACATTATTAAAAGAAATCGAAAGCAGTTGGTGCTTTTACCCAACGAGTTATATGCAGGGTATACGTGTCGTTGCTAAGAGTATGATTTTCGGCATTTAATGCTCGGAATTACCAGGATCGAGTATAAAAATGAGACAGTTTTCTTCATAAAGATTATTTCTCCTGCATGAAAGAGGAAAACTTTAATTTTCCATTTGGGCTGATGCTTCATGTAAAGAGGAAAATAGCATGATATTCTTTAATTTCCCATTTGGGGTAATGCTTCATGTAAAGCCGACTTTTACAATACCTTCTGTTTCTCTGCACCATTTGCAAGTGCAATGCATACACTGCAAGTGCAGTTCATGCAAAAACCTACAGATAATGCAAAAGTGAGGTTTACATGAAGCCCCACCCAAACGGCAGTTTAAACAATATTATGGTATTTCCCGCTTTGGCCAACTGAACACAAGAAAAATGATGACTTTTTAAGTGAGGGACAGGCGGCTCAAAACAAAAAAAAAACACCGGAACCGAACCTATAAACATTTGGTTCCACAACAAAAACATAAAACCTCCCCAAATGTTCACTGTTCTCCCGTAAAGTCAGTCACATTTTCACTGTTGTACTTGCCTTAGAATTTCAGCTTGCTGTTTTTTCTCCAGTTTCTGTAATTTTCTTAACAGATCATCCTTCTCAGATTCATTCAACTGAGGTCTATCCTAAATAATAAGAACGTTTTACATAAAGTGAGAATTAATTAAGGAAGTAAAGCAGAGTCAGATGATGATTTTAATTAGAAATGAGACGTGGTTCTAGTGAACAGAGCCCAAAAAGCGGTGACAAGTGTCAATGAAATTATCCACGCGTCGAAACCAATTTTATAAAGTGGACTTTCGCCACAAACCAAACCCCGATTACTTCGTATCATACTGTAGGCTAGTCGATAGCAGCAGTGAATTATTGCCGACTTTCTGTGACACCCTCAAGACACATTAGGGACCTTTAGATTCTAAGACGAGGAAGACAATGAGAACGAAATTTTCTCAATACTAAGTAGCACACACAGGTGATCCAGTGTCATTTTGGCGGGAAAACGCAATAGCCGTCGTCATTCTACTAAGGGTTTTAGCGGAAATGTTGTAGTGGCGAAAATAAGTTATCAAATGTTAAGAGATATATCATTTTGTGATTAGGAGAGGACTTTAACATCTTCAATTAAAATAACCGTGTTAACGTTTGTGTGAAAATATGTAAAAAGAAACATTCCGGGTTGTCCATTATTTGACAATACAAAAAAAAAACAACAACAACAACTTCAGGTCATATCTCGTCCTCGTAGCGGTCCTCATCCTGGAAAAGGTCTCTATTTCTTCTCTAAAAACCGTTCAAGCAGCACTCGCGTGTAGTATTTTGAAATGACATAAGCCACGTTTTTACCGGCAACGAAAACGGTCAAGCGACACGAACGCCAACGCAGGCATCGTGGCAGTTTTTCTGGTAGTTTCTTGGTGTTACGGACGGGTGTTTGCCACTCTGCTATTGGTCAAGCCAGTTGTTTGATTTGCGCACGCCGTCGTCAACTGACGTTCCCGTTCTATTGCTAAATCAGCCTAATACCCACGCCACAACACAACACAAAAACACGCCAACAATGATTTCCGCAACACCAAGAAACACCCGTTTTTCTGGTGAAATATGAATTTTTTGTTTTTCTTGCGATTATGTTTGCACCGTTACTTCAGGGCAGCCTTCAATTCATAAGGTCAGCTTTTACAGGTTCTGTCTACGTTTAGTTTGTGATATGTGGTACGTGAACCTGGGGCGTAAACTTTGCACCTTTCTTTCTTTCAAACTGACAGTAAACAAGAACAGTTTGACGCTTTATTTAACAGTACTCAGTTATTAAGGCTAAAGATACATTCATCTTAAAACTTAACGTACTGTTTAAAAAACGAGCAGGAGTGTTTTCTGACTTTTTATGTGAAGTACTATACCCTACTACACCACTGAATTTAGAATAATTTTTCCTCAACCAATTTTGAAATAGTTTCATGGAATCCCGGCAAACGTCAGATTAAAATTGAAAAGTTCTCAATTTAGGAAACGACCAGATAAAAACGTCAGATTAAAATTGAAAAGTTCTCAAGTTAGGAAACGGCCAGATAAAAACTGCCCAAAAGAATCCTTATGGATGGAACTGGCATGAATATAATGGGCAGAAAACTCGGTCACATGAGGGGGAGGGGGGGGGGGTGTCGATAGTCCAATGCAATGACGTTGAGCTATGACCCAGTCTAAGTCTTACCATTCGATAGAGCCTGGACGCCATCAAGCCCGACCCATATGCCGGGCGCCGGTCTGTGAACCCACTTGCGGCCACAGTGGTACGTTCAGTGAGTATACTTCCGGTTATGGACGGTGCAGGAATGGATGACTTTTGGTGTAGATGCGTATGACGTATGTAACGGAATACAGTGCAAATGCAAAGTGCAGGTTAGTTGTGTTAAGTAAGAATGTCAGTAAACAACTCAACGTCTGGATTGATCTCACTGCTAAACTTCTGCCTGGAAAATGACCTCTCTATCTCCTTGCATTTAAACTGGTAACGTGGCTATCTGACAGTTCTTCCATTCTTCGCGTGACTGGCTAACTTCCTTTTGTTTCCAAGTATGGCACGACAAGGATGACTACAGAGATTTTCTTCCATTCCTCACGTGACGGGCTAACGTCTATTTCATTGCGTGACAAGGCACAGTGACAGAGAAGTTATATATTTTGAGCAACTTCATGAAACACCTTTCAAATTTTTGTCAACACCTGTCTCGCAATTTTAAGGTCTGCTGTCTTCTGACACTGGAGGAGCTTCAATGGTCAACTGACGGATATCAAATACGATAAAGAAACCATTCAACACAGCAGCATTGACCGACGTGATAAATGTTCAATGCTCAACCGATTCAAATGTGGTGCGATCTTACATTAGCCAACAAGAACAATTCCTTTGATAATAAATACAGTCATAAAAGCGAAGTGAAATGGAAAGAAAAAAATGGTATTGTAAAACCCGCACCCAACACTTAGTGTGTGTGTGTGTGTTTGTGTGTATGTGGAAGTAGGGGTCTAAACACCACACTCCCTTATAGTTTCCCACAGTCTTATACGTTGCTATATCTGACTGCACTAAAACATTATACTTCTTGAGAGCAATAACTATTAAACTATGTTATATTCCAAGTTCAATTAACAAATACCATATAAGACCATTTCTAACGCAGGCCTTATCTTAATGCTCTTAGGACAACAAAAGTGTAAAATACAACTAAAAAAAATATTATTGTGTGAGAAAATGCATAACTGTACTATACCGACACGGAAATCGGTCTACATACCTGTCGAGAAGCCAATAGGCTATTTATAAGTTTCCAAAACCCTCACTCTCAAAATAAGGTTAACTAACACACAGTTCATGCGAGGCCCCGTTCACACGAATCCGGATAATTTTGAAACCGTACTGTGTCTTATAAGTGAATTGGCCTTCCGTCCACACGAAACCAGTGAATCCGCTCACTGAAACCGCATCTTTTCTGAAACCGCTCTCTAGAGTGCTTTAGTGTTCACACGAATCCGGAAAAAAATGTGCGATTTCAAAAAAGTACAGATTCCTGTGGACATGGCATGAGAATGACTTTCATTTGCAGTACAACTAAAAGGTATTTTTATTTCAAAGATATTGCATTTACCCTATATTATCCTGGAGGAAGGGCTTGGGGTAACTCAGACATGGTCTATTTCGAACATTAACGTACTTTTCAAACTGTTACTGTGCTCTTTCTACAACAATAGACGACTCAACTCATTACTTACAGTACCTGTTTTTGCTGACTTTCCATCAGTTTTCTTTTCTCTTCAATAATTTTTTGCTCTTTGATCTTTTGGTCGTGAGCCCGCTGTAGCTCTTCGACTTGCTTCTTTGAGGCTGCCATTAACTGTCAAAACATAAAAAATCAGTACCATTAAAGGAAACTGTCCACCTACCCCTCCCCTAAGCCAACATTTTAACCTACCGGTAAGTGAGAAGTAAGTGTTGACTCTCATTTGGGTCGACCAAAATTAAGTGCAGATCGTCTGTTGGGTCAGACGTCGAACTTACGACGCGTCGAACCAATCAACTGAATCAGTTCAGTAATACATTTTCTCCCGAGCCACGGCTAAACATACATTATCATAGAAATTTTAATTTATTAGTTTAGTTCTTTGCATGTAAAGATCGACATTTTTCCCGGAGACGATCTTCAGACGTTCTATCCGTCTGAAGCAGACGGATAGAACGTGTTAGACGATCCAAACTCATTCAGACGAACTTAACTGAGCCAGACGTCCAACCTTTCATGAACTTAACTCATCTCATGAAAAGTTCGACGTTTAGCCTAGGCCTTACTCCAACAGAGTATGTGTTTGTTGGAGCATTGGATGGAGCAATTTACATAACTATCCCACCGACCGTACTTACATTGTTCTTGGTCTCCTGGACTTTGGCATCCATCTCATTTTGAAGCTGAATTTTCTGCCTTTGTAGCTGTCAATATAAGGTACGGGTAAAATGCGTTACATTCAAACTTAACATTTACTCATCTCACAAACTGTTCAAAGTAACTTATTTTTTTAAGGTGATATGTTTTCACATGGGAACTCTGACGTTTTTACATGCAAATCCTCCTTATGGCCTTTTAATTATCACTATGATACATTATTTATTGTTTATTATTTATTTAGTAATTATTAATATTTATTAATTATTATCCCCGCATTCTTCTGATTGGCTGTGGAATTTATTTGAGGGCAGAGTTTAACCCATTCGCCCCTGAACCGCCCGCGCGGATTCACGTCCCTTCTACCTCTTTTGACCTCATCAGTTTTAAAGACGGCGGTCAATTAAATTTTCATATTTACAAATAATATTAGATTATCTTCGTTTTGCTTTCTGTTTTTCGTTGAGAGAAATACAGTCGCGTAATAAAAAAAACGTAATAAAAGCTAGTTTTGAAGGTCTACAACAGATGCATGAGACTTTACGGTTAATTTCTTCAAGAAGCTTAAGGCGACAAATGGCACGTTGTTGTTATTATTGTTGTTGTTTGTTCTTTTTAGGGAATCTTTGTTGATCAATTTTGTCAAAAATATATGCTTAAGAATTCATTCAATTTTACTTCATGGTTACGTCTCTTTTTCATTTATGCCTTACGGAGATTACTGTCAGTTCGGATCAATGTCTTTAGTGGCCTCTTCATGTCACCGAAAAAAATATTATGTGTTCTTTCTCTTTATTTCTCTTTATTAATCTTATAATACTTACAACTAAAACATTCAAAGAAGATTAAATGAGAAGTTATTGAGTTAACAAATTTACATTTAGCACTAATGATAAATGTCTCTCTTACAAGAAAGACCATCGTAGCGTGATCCACTTTTTTGTGACCATCGAGCTCGTTAGAAGATCCTTGAGCTGTTTTGTTGTACTAAAAGAAATAAGCTTTAAACAGTAAACTATCTCGATTTAATTTATGGCAATGGTTAAATTTTAACTATATCAATATGTCTGCATGAGATACCTCTCAGATGTTTACACATGCTTTTTTTAAAATTTATATTTTTCTCAATTTGTTCAATAAAATTACCTGCATTATTTTGATATTTATCAGAATATGAGATTTCCACTGTACATGCATATTTACACGTATTTCAAAAACATAATTATAGTTTCAAAAAATCGTTTTCGACAAATCTGCCTTTTAAAAAGCAAATTAACTATGGGTATACTGTTCCTTCTCACGGTAAGTTTATTTCGCAAATTAAATAACAACAAACAAGACATTATCACGTTAAAACAAAATTTCAAAATGCTTGCAAACCTCAGCTTTGAAAGTGTTCCTCTCGTGTTCGGCTGCCAAGATTGCGTCAGAAAGCTCTTTCTTTAACTGAAAATAAAATTGTTTAATCATGGTTATTCAGTTGAGAAAACTTCCGGCTACCATTAAGGCACGTTGAGATTTGGCATTTCTGAACGCAGTGCTTATAAGAACCACCAAACTTTAGTTAAGACGAGGATTACGATCTGTATAGGAAGACATAATTAGTGCGTACGAAACAACGAGTGCTTGCTACATAAACTGAAAATCAAAAAGATCTGTTTCAGCCCCAAAGTGCCAATACAGCCCTGCAGGCCAAAGTCTGATTCGACCCACCCTGGAGCCATTTGAGCACAATTTAGGCGAAATCAGCTCCATCAAAAGGCTATTCGAGCCCACATGCACTGGGCCAAATCAAGTGTTAAATTGGACTGTATTGACCCTGATCTAAGGTGAAGCACACCGAGCCGAGAAGAGAGCAACAGATGTAAAAAGGGCGATAAAGGGACTGTCAGGGTCACGTATAACTCAAACACCATTTTGAGTGAACGTACCTCGCTAACGTTAAGGCTCTTAGCGAATAAATACTAGTCACTGGCTATGGAATGCTTTCACCATGACGTCATCGAATTCTAACAACAAGATAGCGAGGCCCTTTAAATTCTTATGTACACAAGGTTGAAGGTGACCGAAAAATAAATCTTTGTAGAAGTTTCCAGCCCCGTAGAATCTTTCATTTAAAAAAATAAAAGAATAAAAAATAAAAAAACGGTACGTCGCACAGACCAGATACATTGCATATTTATGAGTCTTAAGCATTCATTTTCTTGGTTTCTTTCGTTCAACGGTTTCAAAGTTACTTTTTCACTGCGTGACAGTGAAAACACTTTACATTAACACAATGAACTAAACAGCCGTGACAGTTAGGTCCTTAAATCTGGAAGAAAGGCAAGGAAGGGGGATCACTTTTAGGGCGGCAACGTACCTGTTGAACTTGACGTCGTTCTCCATTCAGCTGTTCGCTCAAATCATCAATATCACTTGCTACAATGATTTCAAAAAGAAAATGGAATTACTTCAATGGGACAGTCACTAAGATTTAAGGTGGTGGACAAAACACTGATCCCCAAATGGACCACCCTAAAATGGACTATGCCGCGGAACCATAGTGATTAAGGTTAGGAAACTGAGTGAATTAGGTTCCATTTAGGGTCATTATACTAGAAAAACTGACCTGAAACTTGACTCACTCGATTTCCCAACCCTAATCACTGAACTTCGGGATAAGATTGTTTATACTGTAAAGAAACTGAAGGTGTCCCATTCGCTGCACTTCATAAACTTGGTGCTCCATTATTTTTTAAATCAAGAAAATCCTACAATGACCCACTCTAAACTAAACCCAACTTAGTTTTATGTAGTAAATAAGTTGTGGCATTACTGGTTTGCACGTGACGTCACGGCGGCCATGTTGGCAGTCAAGCATTTCTCTCCCATGGGAATTAAACTCTATTTTCATGTTAATTCTTCGAGAAAAAATTTTATTGCATTGACCCCCAACATGGCCGCCTTGTCACGTGGTTGCCAACCAAGAATTCCGTGACGTCACAGTGACGTGCAACAAGCTTGAATTGCCACTCACCTAAACGTCTGTTTTCATTTTCCTTTTCATCCAACTGATTCATCATATCGTCCAATTTATTCTCCAGTTTATCTACTTCGTCTCGCAGCTCGTAAATCTCTGGGTCGGTGCTTACGCTGCTCACAGACTTGGGTCTATTTAACGCATCCTCAAGTTGTTTGTCGGCTCTCTCCTGAGCGTCTCTCATCTGCATTTTCATCATCTCTATAATCGAGTCTTGTTGTTGCTGAGCTTTTTTCTTCGCTTCATCATCCTCCTGTACCTTCTTGAGATTTTCAGAGTACACGGCTTTGTCTTTCTTGCTTTTCTTTGCGTAATATGCCTTCAAGGACACACAGTAGATGTTACTGACGTAACAAATGTTAATATTCACATGTAACAGGGAGCTTAAACAAAGACGACGGCGGCGGCGACGGCTACGAAAACGTCACTTAAAAATTGAAGGCGGTCTAAAAAATATCTTTTCGGCCCTACTGGCCTCAGTTTGGTATAAAAATAGGGGGTGGGGGATTCGCACAGAGATTCCCTGGGGTCTTCCATATTGTACTTGTAAGATACGAAGCAGCAGTACTGGGAGAAAAAATGGAAATAAAAGGGACAAGTGGATAAAAGTTAACCGAAATACTATTCCAGTCGGCCCAAACCGAAATGGTCCATTTCATTTGATTTCTAAACAAAACTTCCAGAATTTTGGTCTAAATGGAAAGCACTCAAGGTCTCTTTGCATGTTTCTCCCACTACATAACACAGGGTTCGCGCAGATTTTTGGATCCAAACTTCAAGACTTTTTCCACACTTTTTTCCAAACCAATAATTTCTTTTTCCAGACTCAAGGCCATCAAACAGGTGATCAATATGAACAGAGCCTTTTTCATGATGCACTGTAGACATATGGGCGAGATTGAATAGGGTTTGACCAAAACACTTATATAGCACTTGTTGTAGCTTTTTACCATTTTAGAGACTTTTTTCCATTTTCCAGACTTTTTCCAGGTCTGGAAAATTGCTGGGCAAAGACGTTTTCTAGAATTTAAGGCACTGTATGAACCCTGATAACAGGATTACTGCACCAAAAAGACACCTTGGAGCTTAAAACAGTTAAGGGCAAGTCTCAAGAGACGACAAAAATGCAGTAATATTGACATTTTGTCTCTACCTGATGCTGGTTAGAAATTTGAGTTATGGCATCCGCAAGCTGCTGGCGATAGCTTCTTCTGATTACATTCACGCGCTAGAAACATGGACAAAGGAAAAATTTCAGGTGTAGAACCATGATTACTTGTTTGTAAATTATTAGTGACACTCATAAATCTATTAAACCTCTATGTAATACCGGCCACAATGCATGTACTAGAAGGGTGGTTATGAAAAAATCAAATTAACTTAAATAACAAATTATAGCACAGGTTGCCCAGCCTCATGATACAGCAGTTACGTGTACTTATTATATAAACACCAATGAAATACCAGGTAAGCTTTCGGACGAAAACTTGATATCTTCACACGTGAAAATAACATGTTATCTGCACATGTGAAAATATCACCGTTGCTATGACTACATAATAAATCGCACCTTTCACACCAAAAAACTATTAAAGTGAAATGGTTTGGTAGTTCATCGGTGTTTATATAATAAAATTGAAAAACAACACACTCAAAGAGAAATTTCGTATCTCTGCACGGCCATGTGATATCCTCTATATTATAAAAAAAAAATCAATTTAACCCATTAGCCCCCCGAGATTTTGCTGAAAAACCTGTTTTGAACTCTTCACTCTGTACAAGTTAGCATACAAAGCTATCCTGGACAATCAAAATTGATGATTTCACAAGTGGTAGAAAGGACGTGGATCTGCACAGGCGGTTATAGTTGGCTCAGGGGCCCGGGGGGAGGTATTTTAGGAATTTCTGGGTGGGGATGTGCCGCTGGGACCCTGGAACCCTTAACCTATACCAGAGCTAATTCAGCTGAATTTTGCTACCCCATACTAGAGTAAACTCCCCAAATCCCCCTATCCTAGAGTAGCTGTTTCCCTAGTCTAGATAAAATCTTCAACCAACTAATCAGTTTCCTGAAAAATGATACCCTACACTCTGATTTATATACCCTAGGTATCCTAGAGTAAACAGCTTGAAAACCATACCCTTCACAACGGCACATACCTATATAGCCCATATATGGCAGTACCCCCAGGCTCAGGGGTAAATGGGTTAACTTTTCCATACTTTTATTTATTACAGCTGTATACATGTCTTGTCTGAGATGCAAGATGAAATTCTAGGACTATTTGCACTGACATTTTATTCAGAGCAAAGTTCAGGGTTTGTACAGATTTTTGGATCCAAAATTCAAGACTTTTTCCAGACTTTTTTTCCAATACAATAATTATTTCTTTTTCCAGACTCAAGGTTATCACATAGGAGATCAATAGAGACCTTAGAAAATGTGGGAACAAAGTTTTTTTGTGGTTCGCTGCAAACATATGGGTGAGATTGAATAAGAATTGACTAAAACAAAAAGAAAATTCACTTTAAGCACTTTTTGTAAAATTAATGTAGCTTTAAAAAAAACTCAAGACCTTTTAAAAATGTTCCAGACTTTCTACCTATTTTTGAGACCTTTTCAAGAATTCAAGACTCTGTGCGAACCCTGAAAGTTTCTGTTTCAGCTTTGTGTATTCTTTTGTTCAAATAATGGTTTACTTTAATATTAACACAGATCTTCTGTTACAATGCAGGGAATTTAACCTTCAACTTCACTAACCTCTTCATGTTGTTTCTCCAACTCCAGAATTCGGTCATTTACTCTACAATATCTGCAAGTGACAAGTTTGAGCGCACTAATTAAATCTGTGCATAATGTTAATGGAATTGTGTAGTTTATCTATAGAAAAAAGATGTTTCCAATGTTAATTAATGATTGTCATACACTCAGATTGTAAGTATGAGTTTGGATATCCAAGCTAATACAGTGTAATTGACACAAAAATATGATCACCATGAAAATGAAGATGAAATAAGCTGTGTCGATCATTTGATGAAATATACTTGCAGCAAAAGACTCAATAGTTCAGTATTACGAAGAGAAGTCCCAGCAAAGATGGGCTTTACAAGGAGGCAAAAAACCCTAGAATGTCTTTTGATGATTTCATGTAGGGAAAGGAGGCATGGAGTTATTGCTGTCAATGACAATGTTCAAAAAGGCCACTATTAAAATACAGTCTGTATGGTGGAAAATGAATCAAACACATGCTCAATTAGAAAGATTATACTTACAAGTCCAAAGCCCTTTCCTGAAGCTTATTTTCATAATCAGCCTGAAGAACATGTTTTGCATAGTGCAAACTCCTTTTTAAAGTCTCTATGTCCTAAAAAGATTGGGCATTGAAGAAAAATCAGTGATGATCACAAAAGTGGTTATTATCAAGGAACAGGCTATTATAATTGAGGGGGGCGTAAGGGGGGTGCGAATACCGCAATACCGCACATGGTAGCGCGAGAATACCGTAATACCGCATCAAAGTTTAGCCAAATACTGAAACCGCAGTTACAAATGGGAAAAAGTTGACGTTGTCAATACTACAAATCCTCCTTTCAAATAGAAATAATACTTTTGTGTCAGTGTTTCGAAGTCAAGCGTGCGATAAACATAAGATCATCGCACTTAATTTTGTTCATTACATGTACACGTTTACGTAAATGATACAACAGGGATACTTGGGTTAATTTTTGCTAATGTGCCGCTGGCCTCAGAGCGCCTAACCCATTATAGTCTATTCTGTGGCCAGTTATAGGCCCCAGCTTATTCACTTTCTATTTTTATGAATTGACCATTTTTTAGATTGAATGAAGAACACTTTACTTTTCATCTACAGTACAAACATTCCGGTACGTTTGCTAACCTTGAATATGAAGAACTGTCTTACCCCAGAAATTCAGAAAATGCGCGTGGACCCCATTCTAGTAACTCTCTTGAAAATGCGACCCCATCCAGCGGCACATCCCCATTAGCCTCTCATAAGGAAGAACCCTCCCCCACCCCCAACAGGAAAAAATAATGGATTCCCATTTTTTGGATATTTTAGGGTATTTAAAGAATACCCAGGCCTGAAGAATATCCCTAAAAATTCCAAATTTGGCAAAGTGAGACAAGTCCCAACCAGGGAATTCCCAACTAAGTTCCCAGATTGGGACTTGTCTCACTCTTCCAAATTTGGGACTTTTGTGGGTATTCTTTAAATACCCTAGAATACCCAAAAATGGGAATCCGTTATTTTTTCCTGTGCCCCGGGCTGCCATGCTACGTACACTAAGCACACACAAATACTTGTACATTTTATATTCCTGCACGCACAACGAGAAGGACGAGCAGTAATTAAAATAAAAATTTTTTAGACCACACCATCTCAGGTTATAGATTATCTTTCGACACTAAGCAATTTATAACGACCTCACTGACCTCACTATTTGCTGGAATATCTGACTGATCACTTAGTTGACCCTCTGGATCGCTCGCCATTGTTTCTAGCCTCCCCGCAGACGTCCTTTGGGGTTCGTTTGTCACGCATTCATTTCAACGAACCGCAAAGGACGTCTGCGGGGAGGCTACATTGTTTCGCGACTGGCATGAAAATGGCGGTAAGATTGGTAAGGAGGTTAATCAAGCTGACTATTCCCACAGGGTCCACGAGGTCATAAATAATGCGACATGTTTACGTATCATTGGATAAAAAAGTTAATGTCGCTAATCATGTCAAGTATTCACTGAAATTACAAGCCATACGATTTGTCTTGGCCGGACTGTTTGTGCAATTATATATACAGCTATTTCGAGAAAGGTTGTCGGAAAAAGTGCACGTGCCAATCCTGAAAGGTATTGTGGGTGGTTTTGCGTTCACTGTTCTTCAAAGAAATTGAAAGAATGGCACGAGAGGCCAGTAAAGTATAATTATATGCGAGTTTTAAAGTAAAGCAACAAAAGTAGTTTCGACAGCTACAGTGTCAGGAACAGAGTATTGATCATGTCCCATATTACCTTTCGGGATTGTTGCGTGCACATTTTTTTCCGACAACCTTTCTGGAAATAGCTGTATACGATCCCCGACTGTGCAACTATAGGAAGACAGGCAGGTCACGCAGGCTAGCTAGGGAGACCTTTTAGGATTTGTATCCTCTTGTCATGAAAAAGAAGCAGATCACCGCGACACAACGATTTTTTCACCGACTACCGCGATATAAAATTCAAACTCACCGCACACCGCTTGGACTCTGAAAACCGCAATACCGTACTTTGAAATAAAAATTACTGCAACACCGCACCAAAAATAGCCCAATACCGCAATACCGCAAACCCCTACGCCCCCCTCATAATTGTCAAAGTTAATTTAAGAAAGAACATGCCAGCAGTCTGTAATATCATTAAAGACTGATTGCTTGCTGTAATGGCTGGCCATCTTGGTCTCATTGCTGCGAGCCCCCAGGTAAGTATAGAACACTAGTCTTTGAGTTTCCTGTGATTCCTTGGGTGACCTTCCACATTTAGGCACTTCAATCTGGATTTATGATTGTCAGGATAGTTTTAAGCTTGCGTAGGTCAAGCAGTGTCATCATAACTTGTATGCTGCTTCACATGCACATCTTTGCTGTGCAGATCAGAAGATGAGGACAGGGAAGACATGCACGAAAAGAAGCATCTTTGTCTTGCAAGTTTCTTCTTATTAACACTTTATTGCAAACAAGTTTTCAAGCACCACAGTTCTAACTAACATACATGCATCAAATTCAAGGTATTTAACCCTCAAAAATTTGTAAAACATGATTTATACACAGCATAAAAATATTAAGTGTCATAATAACTTGCCATTATGATTACTAAGGCCCATTTAAATGTAGCTGTATTAATTATTATTATTCACTGTGTGGTACAGCAGGTAACGAAAGGATGTAACTATACATTGTACAGTGTAGATTGTGAGGTCAAAGCACTATCTTTTTCTCAATCTTTGCATGCATTTTTCACTTTAAACCTTACCCTAACAAGATTTTGAAGCACTTCAGTCATTTCTTTAAGCTGTGCAACCTCAGACACTTCTGTCTGTGATGATCTGTCCTGACTGAAATAGCCAATATGAACCTGATCTGCAATTGATGGTCTGTAAAAATCAAAAAGAGAACAGTGGGTGAACATTTTGATGGGTTACATAACTTAGACCTACGAACCAGTAAATGACCTATTTAACTGTGACTTCCTTTATAGCACACAGAGACACTGTGTATTGGAAAATATTGTTGTTGTTGTTGTTTTTATTTTTTATCTTGCTTGCTTAATATTGCTTTTTAATTTGGTTTTGAGAGATGCTGCAAGTCTTTGAAAAGTTACTACACGACACAAACAGAGACACTAGTAATAAATAAATTATGATGTGAGACGATGTTTACATGTACACGCGATTTACTGAACAGATAGTGCACAAGTCATATAAGCTTAAACGTGATTCAAAAAATGTAAACTCCAAGGCCTAGGGTAAATTTGTAACCAGGGCGATAGGAAATGAAACGCAAAAAGTCAAATAATCGATTCCCAGCATTCCCAGTATAAAAGATATTGGTAATTAAAGACAAAAACACCGCCAGATTAAGGATTCAAGACTGTCAGCTGTTTCTGACAGAACAACAATTAGAATTTACACAGTTTTTGGTCGAACTTGTCCGGATAATTTTTCTTGTTATCATTCTTTTTTCTGTCATAACAACACCTTCGAGCAAAATTCATGCTCGAAATCTGCCCTTCACAACACTAACAGATCCTAAACTTTGACTCTTCACAGCCTGCGGTTACGTCAAAAGTCAAGCTGCTCCGGAGCAAAGCAAAAAAGGCAAGCAAAATAAGGGTTTCTACCTGTATTCGTCCAGCTCCATTAAGGTACCAGAAAAAGGAGTTACTGAGGGAGAAATCGAACCGGGTCTTGAAGAAATGTTTTTCATAAATGTAGGAGATTGAGCCGTTTCGGCAGACATCGCGGACCTCCTTTCTGCCGCCATCTTTGTTTTCGTTAATCTTGCCTTGGTAACCGCGTGTGAGGGAGATTTGAAGGGAGAGAGGGAGGGGTAGGTAGGGCAGAAAAATGGGAGCTACTCGTGGTCTAAATATAAATACAGCAGCAGCCGCTGCTAAAAAAACAAATTTAGGAAAAAGCGTCCCGCCGGTGTGTCCAGCAATATCTGAATAACTTTCATTTTTTTTTTAGCCTTCCTAAAGAAATAGAAAGTCTAAGCAATATTTGCATCTCCGAACAGATATTTTGCAGAAACAGTCGTTAGTACCCTGCTGGGTACCATTTCTCGCGTGCGACGGGGAGCTTCGATAGCGTGATGTCTCATAATGGTTCATTTTTTACAGCTGCAGGAGCCCATAATCCGGAGTGAGCAACTTCTATGCGCTCGTGTCACCACTGGTCACGGCGTTTTCACGGACCAGTTTATTTTTAGAACGGTTTGTCGCGAATTTTTAATATCTTTTAATAATAATAATAATAATAATAATATTTAATACTTATATTGCGATTTTTCTATAAAAATACGCAAAAGCGCATTACAATATTATTAATAACTAAATTAAAAACCAGTAAAATTACCCGATAAAATTACAATATTTAAAAATAAATGAATAAATAAATAATCTAACTAAAAGCCTTTTTAAATAAATATGTTTTAAGGTATCATCCACCCTTAAGCACCCTCCCCGCGTTGATCGGCGCTAGCGCTTTTGCTTTTAATAAATACCCCCATAAACCGTACATTTTCTGAAAGCTTAATAGTTCCAGATTATTGCTTATTCCTTTTAAAAAGTCAAAATATTGACGCGATTCAGAAATGAGAAGCTTTTTGTGAAAGTGGGTGTCGCTGTAAATTTAAGCCCAGGTCAGCCAAAAATAAACGGAAGAAGCCAATTAAGATCGCATTCGCTTCTTAACACGTTTGACTAAAAAACCGTGTCTCAGATTTTTCTCAAGTGGTTTTGTTCCTTTGTTATAAGCAGTTGAAGTTAGGGATAGCAAATCATTAGCACTACCTGTGAAAAGAATACTCTTACTCGAAAACGAAAAAAGAAATCAAAATTCGCAGACACTGTTTTTTAGAAAAACTATCTGACAGTAAGTTGGCCAAATTTCAGCCAAATTGGTTCACGGGTTGCCGACTTGGAGTTTAAAACGTACCCTCAACTTGCTCTGATTTTCATTTCGAGAAAACAGGGGAAAAAGATTTTTGGCGGCGTATTGCGGTAGCCTGTTCCAAGCGTTCAGATAGTGGAGAGCGGTGTGGAGTAGAGAAAGCGATGAAAAGTAGAGGGGGACTGGGGAGAGAGGTGCGGGAACGCTTGTAAGAATTCTTAACAAAAGTGCGTTCCGGTATACCAGATCCTGGTATACCCTCTGATTGGTTGATTTTGACAGTTTTTGTCAACAGTGGAGCGTCTTCGATTACAGCGAGAAATGCGATATGGCCGTTATGACAGACTCTACGTGCCGTCACGCAGAATTCAAACTCGCAACAAACACAGCGCTGAGTGACTTTCCAAACGTGGAGGCTAAAAGCGAAGAGCAAAGAAACTGTTTAAAACACGTAGTCGGTAGGATAGATGTCTTAGCAATTTCTCACCGACTGGCTTTGGAAAAATTCTTATTTTCCAGTTTTTTCCTCGAATAAAGCGTGCGTTGGAATGAAGGCAGGATAGAATGCCATTTACGATTGTTGTGGTAACTCCGTTGATTACCAGCATGGACCAAGTGGAATATTTGAACAAGTCAGATCGGAGTAGCGGCGGCAATGATGGGAGACGATATGGATGAAGCCGTTAAAAGTGGAAGCTGTGAAATTGTTTACTGAAGTGCCAAATCGTGGTTGTCTAATGAATGGACAAAAGGACTTCAAAAAGAAAAGCTTGGAAAGCAAGTTGCCGCTATCGCTCTTGACGAGGTCCACTCAATCACCGAATAGTAAATTTTCCCTTCAATTGTTGTGCATTTTCATTGCTTGAGTTAACGATCTGTATTGAAACGACTTTCTATCGAAATGAGCGATATTTGTTTGTCACTTGATTCATAATTTTTTGTCACGTACACACTGAAATCATGTTTTTAAAGCCGTAAATAAATTCATTATACATGAATACTTCTCCCGCCTTCTATTGTCTGAAAGTCTTACATTGGGTTTTTAGTAAGATTATGTATACATAATATTAATTTTTGATCTGACAAACTTCGATTTATTCGCAAGAAAAATAATAAATGCATCGGGCTGTAACACCAGTCTTGATTGACAAGTGAAGACCACCTACAGCTGATGCGGTCTGACTGGGCGGAAGAGTCTATTTAAAACAAATCTAACAGGCGTTCCCTCTCTCAACTCTCCTCCTGCCTCGCTTTTACTTTTTCGCGCTCCCTTTTACTTTGCACCGCTCCCCACTATCTGAACGCCTGGAACAGGCTAGTAAAATACTTTGAAGAAAACTCCGTCTTCGGGGAGGTCTCTTATTAGTACTTATTAAATTTTTGGGGGGTGGGGTGGGGGTGGTCGCTTATTTGAGTTTGAGTGGGAGTGGGAGGAAGGTGGGGTGTGGTGGGCGCTTATTCGAGGTTGGGCGCTTATTAACTTTTTCTGCCTTTAGGATGGGCGCTTATTCGAGGTGGGCGCTAATTCGAGGTTGGGCGCTTATTCGAATAAATACGGTACTTTCAAAAAAGTCCTTTGTCCGATTTTTATATGGCGCGGGACCGGTCGCGAATTTGTCGCTTGCTTGGCCGCTTCGCGACCTAAAAAGCTCGTTCCGCTCGCTAAGAAACTCGTGAAACTCGATTTCGCGGTAGCTTCAATGGGTTTTTCAGAAGCTTTGTCATCTTTTAGCCATTTTTCTTGATTGTAGTACGAGCCCTTGTCATTCTCTGCTAATTTCGAAACCCACACTTTGCAAAACGATTTTGTCGTCCTCTTTCGTCTTGGAATCAAGGACGAAAACGGACAAGCTCTTTTTTCTTCTTTGGAGGCATTCACTTCCAAAATCCAGGGAAAAACAGTGAGCTCTATAGTTGTTGTCCACGATTTCTGTCAAATTGCGTGATTAGCTTGGTTCAACAGCGGCATGCGTATGAAGTATGACAGGACTTGTCAACGATCAATTAAAATAATTAGCATAGAAAAAACTTTTGCGCTCCATAAGTCTGCACAGAAAAAACATTTTTTTCTGGAATTTTTTTAAAAGAAAGCTCTTGACGAGCTCTAGTTAATCATCTAAAAATTGAAAATTTCGAAAAATGATGGGTTTTTACCCTGGATGATACCTTAACAGAGCGTTTAAAAGAGTCGATTGATGTTTCCTGTCTTATTGGCAGAGGAAGACTGTTCCATTAAAAGGGGGCAGCCATCGATAACGCGCGATCTCCCAAAGTCTTCTTCGTTATTAGCCGAGGTCTTTCTAATAATATACCATTATTGTTACGGCGTAGTTGGTAACGTGAGTCCGGTAAGACAGAGACAAGATCCTTAAGATAGCTAGGCGCAACACCGTGAAGAATCTTAAATGTAACAAGGAGAATCTTAAAATCTACGCGCAAGCGCACTGGTAGCCAGTGGAGTTCTCTTAGCAAAGGAGTAACGTGACAATACTTAGGTGCGCAGTAAACCAATCGAGCACTGGCATTCATGACTCTTTTAAGTTACTTAATTTGATACTCAGGTGCACCGTACAATAAACCATTACAGTAGTCAAGCCTGCTTGTGATGAACGCGTGAACAAGCCTCTCGGTGGACTCACGAGACAAATACTTCCTAATGTGCCGGATATTGTACAAATAATAAAACGCGCTAGCACAAGTCTTAGTCACATGAGTCGACATGTCCAGATGAGAATCGAACCAGGTGCCCAAATTGCGCACTGAAGAGGCACGCGATACCTCAGCGAACTCGCGTAGATGGTAAATAAGAGGGGGCCCAAACAAGAACCTTGTGGGACCCCGCAAGTCAGATTAAATTTATCAGAGAGCGATCCGTTAACTGAGACCTGCTGCGTTCTTCCCGCCAAATAAGATTTAAACCATAATAAATCCTTATCCCGAAGGCCGAGCTTGGACTGCAGCCTGTGCAGAAGAATACCGTGATCTACGGTATCAAACGCAGCGCTGAGATCTAACATAACAAGCAATGTGACGTGACCTTTGTCCATATTTAGCAGAAGATCGTTTTTAACTTTTAATAAGGCCGTCTCAGTGCTGTGATTCTGCCTATATGCGCTTTGGAGGACAGGAAATAAGTTGTTGGCTGTCATATGATCTTGTAATTGGATAGCCACGGACTTTTCCGTAATCTTTGATGTAACCTGCAAGTTGCTCACCGGTCAAAAATTTTTGTTAATAGGTTTGAGTCCTGCTTTCTTAAGCAAGGGGTGAACTAAAGCATTCTTCCAGTCCTCTGCAAAGACGCCAGACTCAAGAGACAAGTTGACAATTTTCCTAATAACAGGGAGCAGTTCATCCAAACAGAAGGACAGAATAGGCGATGGTAGGGGATCGAAGGCGCACGACTTTGCACATGAGGCAGCAATACTCCGTACACTCTCCTCAGACAGTGGAGAAAATTCAGAAAACTCACTACACGTTGAGGCTGATGTGGCAAGCGAAGTTGCGCCACTGGCATCCGCATCCAGCGCAGACCAAATAGCCGTGATTTTGTGAACAAAATACTCCCCCATCTCATTTGCTAGCATACGAGCATCCGAATGAGGCGGTAGAGCCCTATCTACATGAAAATTCAAAAGGCGTTTACTGGCCCGAAAAAGCCTTCCCTGGTCAGAACTGTTCTCATCAATATATTGTTTATAATAGGCCCGTCTAGACTCATTCATGACATGCAATGCAAAGTTTCGTTTGGCTTTAAATACAGCGAGATCCGAGTTAATTTCCACAAACCAACCTACAAACCTAAAAATATTTTTGGCTTTTAATAACGTTAACTTCCTGTTTGATATCTGACACTTCGAAAGCGCTCGAAGACCTGGCTGAGATTCTATTTTCGCGGAAAAAAGTGCCCTAAAATGTGTCTAAAAATAAACTGGTCTGTAAAAGCGCCGTGACATAGGCCTAGTATGGGAGTTGCTTGCTCCTAATTATGGGCTCCTGACAGTTATGAATACCTTTGATGTAGTAAGGAGGACAAAGGATGGCGTTAAGTGGCCTGTTGGTGGGGGGGAAGCACTAACAATACTGATTAGGGTTAAGCACTAACCTTAATGATTAGGGTTAAGCACTTAGAATAGTGATTAGGGTTAACGGTTAGTTTCTTTTTAGGGTTAGGGTTTTCTCTACAGTAGTTAAATTGGTCTAGTGGTTAGGGCATGAGACGACAAATGTAGCACTCCGGGATCAATTCCTGCTGGTGACTCAAAATTTTTTTCCTTTAAAATTGAAGAGACTTGCACTCTGACAACATTTGTTGAGCCGAAACTAAGTCTCTGAGTCAAGAAACTTAGAAATTTCATGTAAGTGTAAGTGAAAAGGGAGAGGGCGGTTTGAGATATGGAAACATAACCCTAATCACTATAGTCAGGGCTCACTCATATATGTCACGACATATATGCAATTACTCTGTTTAGGCATCACAAGGTATCCAAGGGCGGTTTGAGATATGGAAACTAGCGTTTACCGAGAGGAAAAGGGAAAAACAGCATGCTCAGTTTTTACGCCACTAATCGCAATAGGGCAGTTTTTATTCTCGCGTTTCCCAGATGAAGGTGAGCGAAGGCAACCAGAACAGGGGGGACAAATTCAACAATAGCAGAAGACGTTTGTTTCAATTATCTTTATCTGAAACTTACTTCGCTTGCAAGAATTGAACAATATTCAAAGCACTGTCATTACATCAGATCATGTAATATCCATTACACAGACTAATACATTATTAGTATTACAGGAGTACCCAACGAAAATTTTTCGCAAAATTGATTATACGATGTCCTAAACGCTAGCAAAGTGCTTTTACGTCAACCTATGTTAAAGTTTAACTTTCCTGGGAAAAAAATACCCGCTCTTCACTGCTAGCCAGCAAGACTTTCAGAATATAAAATCCCAGCCAGCAATCATGTTTGACCGTTTTTTGCTAGCCAGCAAGGTTAAAAAAACAAAAATTACGCAATCCCAGCCAGAGTGAAACGGAATTAGGTGTTTGCCAGCCAGCGGTAGCAGAAGTACGTTATGAGCCAGCCAGCAACGTTTCATTTAACACATTGCCAAGAAAAACATGTAAGTCAGTAGGCAAGATCTGTTTTACGTCAAATTTACATAATATAAAAGAAAAGCGTGTTTAACTTGTTTCACCCTTTTATCTAGTTGTCGTTTTTTTTCTTTTTTTTTTGAGATATAGGGAAAAGATCAGTGTATTTGTTTAGTATATGTTATTCCATATCCCTAAGTATTACATAACAAAATAACATAAACAACTAAAGACACGAAAACCCCAAAAACATTCACGGTGAACGGTAATTACAGTTTTTTGGAATGTGGACTTGAGGAGTAGAAGTCTTGACCACGAATTTTGCCAGGTAAACGACAAAAAGAAAGATCCTGAACTTTGTCCATAACACAATAACACGTTAAAAAAGTGATCACCGCAAAGCCTTAAGACCAATGCATTTTTTCCAACGATAAACAACTGAGGCGAAATAAATTTTAAGAATAAACAACATAACGAGGAAGCTCGATCTACGTGTGGTCTCCTCTGCAAAATCACCCCAAATTCAGTGTAGACACATGCTTATCGCCAGCATTGTATGCCGTGCCTACTGTTATACTCCGCAAAACGTTTACACCAGAACTGATAGAAAGTTTCGAGTAAACAGGCTTTCCGTCGGACACGTCTAACCGCCGCGGCTGAACACCACGAATCCACAAAGTAAGCTAACGTTTGCGGTCTTTAACTCGAGTTGAAAGCTGTTGAAAGCCTCCTTTCCTTGCTGACTACAACTTCTCGAGCGAGGATTACCCTGCCGCGTTAAGGCGCTTTCCATATTTCAGAACTGATCGGCCAGACCCTTCCCGTCGTAATGAGAATTTCACTATTAATCAAAACTATCCAGCCAGATCAGTCAAATCTTAAATAGTGTGCAAGAAGGAGATGGTTTTTCAGCCCAAAAACCCTTGGAAAAAGCCGATTTGATTGTTAAAATGACCGGTCCGGCAATGGTTCGGTCGGCCAGTTCTGACAAATGGAAAGCTCCCTAAGTTTACACTATAAGTGTTTTAAGGATTCTTAAACGTTTCGGGAAGAGGAACGGAACGGACCCAGTTCCCCTCTGTTTATCTAGTGAGGAAGATCGAAGGGCCTCTGCACGCAGTAAGTATCCGATTACCCTTTATCCGTAAGTTGTTTGAAGAGCGATTCAGCAGATCTGGCAACTAATCTCCATCAAATGAGAATCATCTCTATTATCATGATGCTTTCCCGCCTTCAATCAGACGGGTTGAGGCCGCGGGAAGCTCGTCCCAAGGCTTTTCTTTTAGAAAATGGAGGTGGGGACTGGGGAAAAGCTCTGGGGGGGGGGGCGCGCAAGATTCGGCAAGATTTGCTTGGTACTACAGAAGCATATAACCCCGAAGTTACCATTGCAACGCTTTGCAATAAAATCATTGCCTGCGTGCAGACGTCTCCTATTTCCTTTGTTGCACGCGGAAAAGGGACGTATGCGTAACGCCGTCGCTAATCGTGGTGCAGCGTCCCGTGCAGCAAAGGAAATAGGAGACGTCTGCAAGCAGGCAATAAATCATGACCTTAATGCGTCAAAAATTTAACTTAACGTTTTTGCCTGCATTATTCATTCTAACATTATTCATTCTATTCTCTTCAAAAGTCAGCTCTACTTCTTTGTTTAACAAACGCATTCAAAATTTCCTCATTCTGTTATACAAGAGTTTGTTTTTCACTCATTTTCCTACTTATATGAAGAATATGTTTTCACTCCGGTCCTCTTCCTATGATCTTCGTGGCAACTACATTCTTTCACTAAGTAAACCTAAAACAACTACCTATGGTCTTAACTCCTTTTCTTACTTTTCAGCTAAGCAGTGGAATGCACTGCCGGACTTTTTTCGTACCAGTTTTTTTGCAGACTTTAAGACTAAAATACAGGATGTTACCTTCATGTAGATTCTTTTTGCCTGACATACTTAAACTTAAAATTGTGAATTGTAAATGATATTTTCTTTCCTTGCATTTAATGTATATATATATTTTCTATATAGTTTTTATGTAGTGTCAGCTCGAAGATATTAGCTTGTTAGCTACTCTAAAATTCGAGTTTAAATAAAGTTTTATGTTATGTTTTATGTTATAACGGACCTCTCAGGAAACAGGGGCTTTCTTTAGCGGGTTGGAAAGGTCGTCTGTAGGTTGCAGTTGGTTGATTTTGATGTTGTTTATTTCGATTATGATTGACAACTAACTTTCTCGGAGTGTATTGTTATTTTCCCTTAATCCGATTGGTCAACTTTGTCGCCGAACATTCCGTCACGAACATTCCCTACTTGGGCACCACATGCACACTGACATAAAAATTCTGCACGTTAAAACACTACCACAGGGAACCCACCCAAGTTGTGGGACTGTTTTAATGTTTGAATTTAGAGGAAATGTATGGGAATATCTAGACTGTTCACAGTCCCTTATTTTTTCGTGAGATCGTTTAGATATAGCGCGTCTTACCGTCAATGACGGCCATCTTGATTTTCAAATGTACCGAGGCGGCTGGCGTCGGGGATTATATAGAGGGGCGGCTGTACAGCTAGGGATTATAGCTCTAGGGCGGTGAACAGTCTATTTTACTATGGTAGTGTAGTGGTGGTAACGGAGAGAGAAGAGGATAGGAAAGGTCTGGGTTCGAGGTCCGGGTTCGACTGTGGTTTGCGATCTTCTTTCTCTTTGTTAGAAACGTTCTCAAAAACAGGTCAAACTCTTAGGTGGCTTTAATAAAAATGGCACCGACCGTTTACGATAAGGAAATTTTCGCCGTCGTTGTTGCAAGCTCTCTACTTTCTTGGTGGCCGTGCCTTCACACGATCCGCGAGATTTTATTCACTTCGTAGCCAAAAGAACAGACACTCAAACACAAACACAAACAAACAAAACACTCACGCAAGCTGCCCCTCCTAATCTTGAAAGACTAGGATCTAGCGACAAATTAAAGGAGCTGTGTCACGAAATTCAGCCAAATTAGGAAATTACAAAATGCCCGTTAAATTAAGAGAAACATAAAAATAATCGCTTAAAACTTTAAAGGAAGGTTAAAATAACATAACAGAAACAACAGATGCCACGGATGGGCAAAACTGAAGAATATTTAAACGGACTGAAATTAGGGTTTTTGAAAACTGTTCAGCCTAACAGTTTTTCAAAGTTGATCCCTGCTTCTTGCAACTTCAAAAATAATGCTCAGGAGACACATTTGTTTGTCACGGATCTCTGATTTTGTCATTGACATGTAATTTCTTTGCTTACTTTAAGTTCCATAATGATTGAGGGCGACTAATTGGCAAAATTAAACAAAATGAACTGGACTGCCGTGACACAGCCCCTTTAAGCTCGCTATCATCGGAGATCTGGGTACTAGTTACGTCACAATCATAGCAACCACATTCGACTTGCACACCAAGTTGTTGTAAATATCGGAGATCGGAAAACATTTGAAAACATGGGGAGTACGATAGCGGGAAAAAACCGAGCTAAAATGGCTGAGAGCTTGTGGAGAGACACACACTGTAAGTTTTGCAAAATGCAGTTTCGTTTTGCATTCTGTCTTGAAAAAAGGAAATGATCTCGCGCCATTTTTGAAAACCTCATGATAATTATTCGAGTCAAGAATATTCGAAGTTTACTTTTCCACAGGTGAACGTATTTCACACAAAAGTTCTAAAAGGTTCCTGCTAGCGTCGCTTCAATCGGGGATGTCAGTGACATTGAAACTGATTGTTAAGAATCTTCGATCGATGTGATGGCGGCGTTTGGCATGGCGCTGCTCGAGAAGTTCTCGAACGTTTACGAGGAATGCTGAAAATGTTGAATAGCACTGTACGTGTCATTCTTACTGTGGTACACGATGTATAGTCTTGAACAAAGTTTGATTTCTTTACCTTCAGCATCGCTGAAGGCGTTTGTTGATAGGTACAGTGTACTTCAGTGCATTACATGTAGCCCGTGGGGGGGGGGGGGGAAGGGAGAGCCGGGGTACTCGATTAATATTTTGGTATCTAAAGGTGAGCCGCTGAGGGTTTGAGACCCTGACCCTGTTTAGGACAAGAAAATTCCTAAAATAAATACCCTGTTTAGGCAAAACAGTTGATTTTATTGCTCTCTTTAGGACACTGTTTAGGACAGACTTGCAAGAAATTGTATACCCTGTTTAGGACAGTCGCATGCAAAATTATATACCCTGTTTAGGACAGAGAGGGCAAAAACCATACCCTGTCCAGTGGCACATCCCCGTATAGGCCACGTAAGGGAGTAGCGCTTCCCCTGCCACCGCCTGAACATCACATGTAGTTTATATAGGACGATAATTGGATAAGTATTAGGGAAACCAACCAGTGGATAGCTTTATCAACCTTTTAAACAACTTGTGTCTGGTCTTAATCAAGTGGTGGTAAGGATTTTGCACCGATCATGTTGAGAAAGCTGCTCTTACAACTTCAGGATCGCTTTTCCCTATAAATTTTGCAAGGATTTAGCTGAGATTTGTTTTGATACAATAATTAGTCGTTTTGATACAAGTTTATTCAATACCAAATATCACTAATGACTTGTGGTAAAACCTTGATGTAGCATGTAACCTTTGAGTGTATGGATGAAATCCCAAACTGGAATTCCTGCGCATAGCAATGTAGCAGTACAGTTACATAGTTATGTACAGTCTGTTAAAAAGCTGAATTTTTATTTTTGCGATTTCAGTCACAAGAGACGAGGTAATTGGTTTGTTAGGAGTGTTTGAAGCAGAAGCTAAGGGTGAAAAGATGGACAGGTCAAAGTTTAGAGACTTTTTACACAAAGAGTTTGGATTAACAGAGGACATTATGCTGGATAGAGGTTGGTGCTGACCTTCCTTCCAAGAAGTTAAAGAGACTTATTGTGCCACAAATAAAATTACATGTACTATATATTGAACACCAATGAAATACCATATGACCTTTTGTGCAATAATATGAGGCTGTGAAAAAACACACAAACAAACAAAACATGTTCTCTTCTCACATGGAAAGAACCATTGGCTGTAATAAGGAGGTGACCGTATTAACGAGGGTTTTTGAAAAAGGATTCCTGGATTTCTAGCCATATAACAGTTTCTTCTCTGAGTAAAATAATTACTGAATTTTTGGTTTTATTCAAGATGGAGGTGATTAAGAAAGTGAATGTAATCATTGTTAGTTTTTTGTTTCAGTGTTTAGAGTTTTTAATGAGGAAAATGATGGAAATCTGAGTATGAGAGAATGGATTATGGGACTTTCAAAAATAAAGGGAACACCTAAAGAACAAATAGATTGTAAGTAAAGCAAAAGTTCTCCACATAGTGTAAAGTAAATATCATTGTTTAAATTGTATTATTTTAACAGGAACTGTTTGAAAAGATGAGTCTATGAATTTTATGGAAGCTCAGAATGAAGAAATATGTAACGAAAATCTCCGTACATGTATGCCACTTATGCAGTTGCAAAAAGAAAGCCTGAAAAACAGACTTGCCGGGGTTAATGAGCCCTGACCTCTGTGATACCAGTGCAGAGCTCTAACCAACTGAAATAGCAAGCCAACTGGGAGCTAGTACTCTGCAGTACATTGTACATGTATGTCCTGGAAGATGAAGATGAAATAATGAATAATAATTATATGAATTTCATAGAACTGGGAACCGCAGAATAAAGAAAAAAAATGGATCTTTCACTCATAGTAACCAAGTCATATGGCTGGATGATTTGTCACCTTAACTTTTATATCTGTGAATGAAATTCTGTGGCAGCATCATGAAATCTCTTTAGCGTAACTCAAGTTGCATAAATGTTCGTGAGCAATGTTTTACAATATCACGGTATTAGTAGTGAAAGACTGTGTCCATGTTTCCCCTTTGTCTTTCAGTTTGTTTCAAAGTGTATGATATCAATGGTGCTGGGTATTTAACAAGAGAGGGAATTCAACACTTGCTGAAAGACTGTATGGTGAAGGTCAGTACTTGGACGTGACCACTATGTGTTGGTTTTGACCTTTAAAAGTTATCTTTTCTTTGTTGTTGTTCTTTTTTTAAAAAAAATTCAGTTGGTGTCTTTTTGATCGATCACTCAGCCTGACTAAGCAGTTAGAGCACTGGCCCTGTAATTCGGAGGCCCCAAGTTCATGTCCCATCCTGACCGGAAACTGGATTTGTTCTTTGTAGTCCCGAGTTGAAATCCTCGGCCACACTTGTAAAATAGACAACTTGTTCGCCTCCTACCAGTTGGGATTTTAATCATGACATGTTCCATTTAAAATTATTTATTATTATTATTTTATTATTATTATTATTATTATTATTATAACCAAAAATCCAAATCTTTTATTAATAACAAAGTTAACTATAAAATCCTATTTACAATTAATTTCAGTTAAAAAACTATTCAGTCAAAGCACTATTTACATTATTCCTTTCGATTAAAAAAAAGACACTTAATTTCAATTGAAAAAATTCATTCCATTAAAAATATATCATATAATTATTTGGAAAAAAAAATTCAATTAAAAAACGGTTCATTTTGAAACTAAACTAAATTAACGAGCTCACACCATTATCACACACGCTTGGGTAGCGTTTAAGCGGCAGTTGTTAATGAAATCCCCTTGCTGAATTTTGTGGGTGTCCTAGAACCTCTCACGCATGTATTATTATTATTATTATTATTTTATTTTTTATTATTATTATTATATCATTGTGGGATATGCATGTGCTCTAATTTTGAATTGTGTGATTGGGTGTAGTACATGCATGGTCAGGTTTGGGGTGGTTCCCACTCTATTGTGCTATAAATTTTCAAATTGACCATCCTCAAGAGTGATAAAGTGTTTTTTTTTTCTTTTGTTCTGTTGTGAACTTCTAACTCAGTTTATCATTTTGTGCTTTATTTTCTGTGGCTCATTTGGGACCAGTTACATTTTGTATGCATTGGTAGAAATTAGAAAAGGACTGTCTGCTGATGATGTTCTGTTTGTCCACTAGATGCTTGTAATCAAGGTCAATTAGAAAAAAAATGCAAAGATACAAAATATTTATTTCTACCTGGGTAGTCATAAATAAATGAACTTATATGTATATAATTATGTTGTACATAGTTAATTTTTTTATCTCAGGTATATTTTTGTTTTTTCCTTTTGTTTTTGGGTATGGAAATGTATGCTAATGAAGTTGACACGAAAGAAAAATAAAAATTACCCCAAATAAAAAAAATTAACTACAACATATACATTTTCATAATTTTTTTCCCATCAGTCAGCAACAGAAGAAGATGCTGATGAAAATGAGAAAGAAATTGTTGATATTGTAATGAAGAAAATGGTAAGTTAATTGATCTTTCAGTAATTATACTACTACGTAAGAAATTTCTGCAATTTGATTGGCTCAGAGTAGTGGTATTTCAGCTTAATGTGAAAATTGCAAACCTTTTGTGGGTAGTAGTATAAACAAATAATAGCAAGATTTGTATGTAATGTTGGCATAAATATCACTTGTGACATTTCAAAATTATCTCAAATTTCACTTGCCTAATGGCTCGTGAAATTAGGTATAACAATTTGGAAGTATCACTTGTGGTATTTATTCCAAAATATCAATACAAATCATGCTATTACCTATACAAACAATACTCGGTGGAAGAGATGTGGCGATTGTTTCAGTTAATTGTCAGTTTACTTCTTTTGATCAGCATGCTGGTTTCTAACCCTACGAGAGCAGAGGCCTTTCTAGGCTTTTGTTTCACCAGTAAAACAAGAGGTAAAAAAGGGGCCTGCTCTCGCACGCCAGCTGGTTTCTTGATATGAATTAATTTTTGAAGTTTTCAGAAATGGCACTTGAAAATGTGTTTGTGTTTATGTTAATAAAATTAATTTGATTTTATCATGCTAATTATGCTTTTTTCTAAAAATCTTGTAGGATGAAGACCATGATGGAAAAATCTCACCACTGGATTATGAGACTGCTGTTTTAAAAGAAGGCTGCCTTTTGATGGAAGCATTTGGAAAGTGTCTGCCAGACCGTAAGGTATGATACATGTATATGCACACTGTGCGTTCGGGGAAGGAACTGGATGATCTTGGCCCCTGATGCTTTGCTACCTCAGTTTAATTTGCAGCAGTTCAAACATTCTATTTTTAAAATTACAACAAATAAAATATAGTAAAATCTCTCCTAAAATTCAAGATTTGCTGGTCACCTTTTTTATATTAAAGTAAAATAGAGCTGCAATAAAAGCTAAAATGCTCGCTTTTTTTCATGGGTGACGCTTAAGTGGAATCATTTTACATAAATGAAAAAGACAGTCAAACTAAAATGAACAACAATAATAAAATACTATTAATAGTATCATTATTAATATTGATAATGATAGAGAAAATAAATCAAAAATTACAAAAGCAGTCCCTAAACCTATTAGACTAAAAAAGGCCTGTCATTTCTTGCAGATAGTAGACGAGTTCATTCAAAAAAGTATGCAAAGAATGGATCAACAAAGCTTCAATCATTATCAACTTGTATCACCATCACAGTGACTATCAAGTTAATATTAGGTACACTGTATACAGTGTATATGAAGCAGTGAAGGGATGGAGCATGGACATTTTGTAACATAGTTTGAACATAATTGTAAAATAACATACTGACAAAAATAATGTTCAAGAAAGGTGCAAGACCTTCTTGCAGTTTGTAAAAAGGCAATACGATAGTAATGATTGAGGTCACCTCAAGGTTGCATTTCTTATTCAAATAAAATGTACATTTTAATTGTTTTATTTCATTTTTGTCACTGTCCACTGTGTGCCATAAATAAAAACTTAATTACTGTTATTGATGATAGCTTTCCTTTTGGCCTTCCTATTTGAAGCAAAAGGGAAAATCTGCACCCAGGCTGCTACTGCAAAGAAGATTAACCTCTTCCTTCCAATGGCTAATCAATGTTCCCCTCCCCTTAAGCAACAAGGAGCAGATTGAGTTTTGATCCTGTAAGGTCTGAAGCTGGGTCTATTTTATCCTTTTGAATCTGAAAAAGGAGTAGGCTTTGTGCTGTTCCGAATCAGAGAGTAGTTTTTCACTTGGGTATATCTGCTGACCAGTATCACTTGCTTGCTATGTTAAACTCTTTGTGATTTGGGTCCCATTTTAAATTCTCTACTATTTAGTTAAGAGTGTGTGTCTATGGGACAGATGTGATACAGTTTGTTACAATTTTTTTCCACAATTATTCTTTTATTGAGCTAAAAAGTAAGACAATTAATATCACCAGATTACTCTTTTATTTTTTGCCAAAAAATAATATCTCTGTATTTCAAAGAAAAATGCAAGTAATAAACTTCTGTTAAAATCTAAACAAGCAGCTGCGGCTCTGTGCAAGTCATTTAAATTTCGTAGTAAGAGAAAAAGAAAAGAGTCCAAATATAAATGTTGAGAATGTTGAAAAGTATGCAGCTGAATATCAGAAGTCTTTTTCTTTTATTGAAGTGTTTCCTCAATTTCTGTTCCAGATTCGACTTCTATCATAGTAAAACTACAAGTACAACAAGGCTTCTTCAAAATGAAAAATACAAGTAATACTTTATTGATTAACCCCTCTGGCATTTTTTTGGCACATCAAGCAATCTTCATCGCAGAGGACGTGCATAAGACTACAAATTAATAGACATAAAAATAGTATTTGAAGTGAGCTGTTAATTAATCCATTTTTCCTTTCATAGTTGTAAAACTAAATAACACTGCTCCTCTTACAACAAAGACCATGCTAAATATTTGCCATATACAGTCACACCTGTTTTAAGCGGACCTCTATTAGGCGCGGTCACTTATTAAAGTCCTGGAAATCATTTGCCTTAATTACTGTAAAACTGACCTGTATCAAGCGGCCACATGTATCAAACGCACCATACCAGTGCTACAGGTTGCACTGTGTATGGCATCAAGTGGTCTTTAACCTTTTTTTTTTGGCCCTGCCCAATAAGAGGTAGAAACAGGTGGAGGTCAATTTGTTGTAGGATAGATATTTTGCTCTTTGACTACCTTCATTTTCCTGAATAAATCTCCCGTTTATCAAACCTGTATTAAATGGTCAACCTCTATTAAAGCAGTCAGCAAGCCCTTCCCAAAGGGTGACCGCTTAATACAGGGTTGACTGTATTCCTGACAAATGCAACAAAACTCATAGAAAAGTGGTTGTGATTTCTTAATTGTGTTGTATTTAACCTTGCAAAAAATTGGTTTCCACTTTTCTTATTTAGTGGTAGCTTATTTCAGGCAATCACAGGCTATTTCAAAGTGGTTAAATACATAAGGAAACACCCGCGATGGGCTGGGGGGCCGGGGGGGGCAACTCCGCATATGAATGGGGTGGGGATGATCGTCGTCTCGCTTAGGGGTGTTAATTTCGGATTTTGGTCTCACTTAGGGTGTTCTGGGCAAAACGCCCTCATATTTAGCCGTGAAGGTCTCGTTTACGGTTGCACTCGAAAAAATATAAAAATATATATATTGTCTGTGTCTTAACATGGTCTATTTTAGGGGTCAAATAGAGCTTGGGCCACGCTCAGATTGGTCTCCTTTAAGGGTTTAATTCAAAATTTCCGACGACCATCCCCACCCCTTTCATATGCGGAGTCCCACCCCCCTCCCCCCCCCCCGCTGGGGGTTGGAAGACAAACATATCCCACAGATGTGCATTCCTGTCGATCTCTTTGCATTTGCTGCCAAATTCACTATCTGAACACCTGAAATAGGTTAATTGTTTAACTTGTTGTTAACTTATGTTGTTGCTTTGTAAACTTTACTTTTAAATGTTTTCATTTTCATGTGCCTTTTCAAAATTTAATCAAGTAACTGAAAGCTGTATTCAGTAAACACCCACAGAACCATCACTAGTCTCCACTTCTCATGATCAGGTGACCAATTATTTTTTTAAGGGAAGTGTGCACAGCACCATGGTAAGAAAATTTGGAATATCTGATGCATCCGAGAAATTTTGGTTTGGAGAAAACTGTCTGTATGGTTTGTATGTCTGTCCGTCCGTATATCCATCCATACATATGACTGTCCATCCGCATGGGTGTGACAATGATCACTTGGTTAATACAGAAGGACAATCAAATTAAAATGACTTTGAATTTGACCTGCAGCTGACTGTTAGCAGTTACTGCATGAAACTGCAAAAATTACTTTTAACTGTTATGCTATTATATTAATATCAAAATACCCGCATCAATATTAACTTTGATTTGTGTCATGTGAAAACTTTTTAACCTAATTTAATTTATATAAATTAAACAAAACAGTCTTAATTGACCACTACAGAAAATACTATGTAACAATATACCATAATGCTCTTTGTCTGTCATGCCTACCATTTTTTTAAATGATCGTTTTTCTTTTTTTCATCTGTAACTTTTGACAATAATGCTGGGGGGACAAATTTGCTCAAAATGAAGCAGTGGTTTTGTCATTTGTGTGTAATGTCTTTGATTAATATGCTAATAAGTTCCATTGAGAATATAAAGGATGTGTACAATCGACCCCCGATAACTCAAACCTTCTAGGGAAATTGAAAAAATTTTGAGTAAGTGGAAGTTTGAAACAAATACCCATCAATAGGGATATGGGATGGGGAATGAATGCAAGTAACATGCCCACTAGCTTTTAAACATTACTGCATTCTGGTCTACTGTTACAAAAGATCTTTTAAAAGGAGGGTGATGTTTTCTGAAAATTTTTTTACCAAACAATCATATCACGATTGTCACACAAGGTTTGCCGTCTTTTTTTCCCCATCCTGTTGCCTATTAAGTTGGCTATTGATGTTTTTTTCTCTTGAACAACAAATCCCTATTGACAACGCTATCTTCTTTTTTAGTACTTTTCACAGTTAGCTGAACTGTACTGTGTACAAACACTGTCCCTTGTTACTTCTTTATATCCTGGAAACGTGTCAAGTGCAGCACCTGTAGATTGTTAATAATTAGTTTGATCAGTATTTATTTAAGATTGATCATCAGTTCACTTTTTTATTATCCTCACAAGAGATAAAACTACTAAAAGCACTGTATTGTGCTTATAACTACTGAACCAATGAATGAAGTTCATCTATGGTTGTATACGTATCTATAAAAGTGTTGCAGTAAACATTTTTTCTTAATTTTAATTTTTTTCTTTATTGTGTGGTTTCAAAAATTATCCATACCTCCCCCATGGAAGGGATTTTTCCTTTGAACCCCCCCCCCCCCAGTCAAGCTTCATACATTACTACTTAAATTTTGGGGCTTTTGAGAACCCCCCACACCCCCAAGAATTTCCATTCCGTTCTGTGGGGGGAGTATCATGGATATTTTCTGGAACTACACATTTCTAGTTTTTTTTTTTTTTTAATAATAATAATTATAAGAAAGGGATCATGTGAACCCTGGAATTCGGAGGGTTATCAAAATGGTAGGAAAGTTGTAAGTGCTCCTTGTGGATAGAGGAAGGGGTGAGGGGGGATGAGAAGGACTCTTAATTGTAGATCAGCAGCTTTTCTTTCCACTTGTTATCGTATTTAATTTTTCTGGCTTCATCTTCTGCCGTCAAGTTTTACATAAGTTACATGTAAAATGGGTGTAAACATTCTAAACTAGGTCTTTGGAAGGGGCACCACTTCTCAAGGTATATGAAAGGGGTACCTTCCAGCTAGCATACAAAGTATATATAAGGGTACAGGGTTGGACCTTAAGGTGTGGCCTCCCTGTCAAAAAGAATCAATGCACCCCTCCCCCTGGTCTTTCGAACAAATATGTTCATTAAGAAATAAAAATTTCTGTTTAACTATTTTGTGGGATCAGGTTGCCTTCTTTACTGTATCACCACAATCGGGATGAGGCAGCCAGTTGGCTAACTTTACTAGTATGCATGGCAGTGGACTTGACATCAAAATGACCGAGAAACAAATCCTGACCAGCAAGTGGCCAATTTGTTTGGTTTATGTTATAAAAGTTCTTGATCTTGTTGCCTTTCTCTCTCTCTCTCTCTCTCCCCTCTTTTTTTCCTTGATGAACATCAGCAATAATGTCCAATCTTGACCAATCTTATTTTAAAAAAGTGAATGTCTTAATTACATTAGAAGTGAAAAGAGCAGACATAATGTCTGGCCATCTAGGGATTTGACCAGACAAAACCTATTTTGACCGGACATTGTCCGTTGACCAGCCGTTATTTCAAGCCCTGAAATCCTGCAGATTGCAAGACTAATTAATGTGCTAAATTTACATTGCTGCCTTTTCGAGGTATCAGTAACATGAACTCTGCACACTAGACACTGCTAAACTGGTCATTAAAACTGTGCATATTGGGGGTTAAGGTCTGTGGATGTTAACTTAAATTTCAAAATTAAACCAAATTTCAGAAACCATGAAAAAGAAATTCAGAAGAGACAGTTACACTTCATACCTGTGATTAAGTTGTGAAGGTTGCAATAGTTTGTACCATCATCAAGGATAGCGTACCATAGTTCAGAAGTAGAGTAGCCCTGTTAAAAAAAAAAAAAAAACAGTCATGCACACCATATGACACTAGTAATAACCGAAGGTTAGGGAGTGCCTGGGAAAGGTCAAAAATGATCAAAGGTCAAAGGTCAAAAGGCTTTTGTTTCAACACTGTGCTTTACATAAGTTTCATCTCAACCCACCACACCAGATTAAAAGTGATAGAACCCTTGCGAAATAAATTCCCAGAAAGCTTGGAATTCCTAGGAATTCCCAGTAATTCCAAGACATCCCCATAACACACGTGATCAGTTGCATCATGTGCATTGCATTCATGTACATGTAATTGCGGCCATTAGTATACTTCATAATTTAACATGAAGGCGAAGTGTCACCTGTTGCATCAAAAAAACATTAAATAATAATAAAAAATAAAAAAAATAAAAAATTAAATTCTCAATGCAAGAAGTCATGCTTCAATTTCTTCTACACTAGTGTTCGGCATGCAATATCACATGAGTGTGAAACGTACATTATTATTTTGCTGTGTCAGAGAAATATACATCACCTTATAAGTCAAATGTTTTTCTTAGATGCAAGAAATCATGCCCTTTTTTTGACACAACAGGTATTTAAACATGTCATGCTTACATGTCATACAGCTGCCGATAAGGTTTGCAAGAGTGTGCAAAACCAAAATAACAAAAACTGTGAACATTGTGCTCTCTAAAGAGAGCTATTTTTAAACTTAATGTCGAGGTCTGGCTTACCTGCATATTGCAGAGTTTACTAGTTGAATTTGCCTGGACAGTAAATGTGAGGTCATCAATGTAGTGTGCTTTTGGGGTTTCATGAGTAGCTTTAATCTGAGTAGCGGTTACTCCCTTCAGCTGCAAGTTAATTTAAAAATGTTACATGTTTGGCACCTTCCTAGCCTGAGAAAACAGCTGACATTTCACTATGCCAGCAGCTGTGCCACTATACCCAGATCTGAAAAGTGCTTCTGACTGGATGAAGCAAATTTCCAACCAATCAGAGGCTCTATGCGGATCTGGGTTGTGCATGTCAACAGTATGGAATTTTTACGCTCGTTTCTCAGATGTCATTTCATGGGGAAACCACAGGTGGCATAGTGAAAAGTTGGCTGTTTTCCCGGCCAGGCTATAACTCCTTCCAGGGTCCGAAATTGCGCCTTCCTGGTTGCCAATGTGACCTAAAAATTCAGTTCTGGCGACCAGAATTTCACAGCTGGTCGCCAGCTGGCGACTTGTAAAGCTGGTTGTTATTGTAGACTTTCATGTTCAGAGAAAATGATTGAGAATTGAAACCTCGAAGCTCTTTGCCAACAGGTGTCTTACTTTTTGTCCTGCTGATATTTTTTTAATTTAAAAGTGAAACGAATCTTCCTGTAAATATACCTCCACAACAGCTATGATCAATACGAGTTGAACGTTTCCAAGCCAACAAGGGAAATTTTTGGCGAAAATAATTTGCCTTCTGGCGCCCAAAAATTTATACTTGCTTACCAGTTGGCGCCCATATTAAAAAGTTAATTTCGGACCCTGCCTTCCCTTCCCTTAAAATTGCTGAACTTGTTCTCTCAGCTACTCATTCAACAAGCTGCAAAGTTGATCAACATGGTGAAGGCAAATGTTGAACAGTCTTAAACCATGAATAAATAATATGAAGTACAGTTTTAGAGTACTACATTATTTTTTTGCCATTGGATTTCACTAATGTAATACTGAGACTGTGGATGAGAACAACATTTTTCAAAATAAAAGTAAACCTCCTTAGTAGTACTTTTACATCTTGAACCATTGTACAAAAGTTAGGTGTATTGTGCTGTGTAATCTAATGCTAACCTTTAAGTGTGCTAGTGTTCACGAAATCCTATCCTGTGACCATTCAAATAAACCCCTCTGACCAGGGTTTTAGCCAAGAGGTATTTTTGTGTGCTTATCGTTATTTTGCACAAACCATCCTGTTTAAAATCTTCAACCATTCAGTTTGATCATGACCTTGTGGGAGAAAGACCCTGGGGGGCACTTGGGTACGTTTTGGGTGGGTATGTGCCGCCTGGGACTCCAAATTGGCACCCTGTTGAAAAAAATTTCCCCTAAAATTGATACCCCGCTCTAGAAATGGGCCAATTTTTAATACCCTGTTCTAGAATTCGCCTTAACAGTGATACCCTGTTCTAGAAATAGGCCAATTTTTTAAAATTTTTTAAAGTTTGTAAATTGAAATAGCCCTTTTTAAAAAAGATATTTCTTTATTTGTTCGACTTATACAATCATCAAATTTAATGCTTCTTCATAATCAGCAACCATTTTAAGCAGAAGACAAAGCCGTGATCCACAATTTTTTATATGCAGTTCTAGAAAACGCCTCTGAAATGGATATCCCTTTCTGAATCAGGAGCTTCAAAATCACGACCCCGTTGGGCGGCACATACCCGCATAGGTACTGTATGGGAGTACCCCCCACCCCTGTGGAGAAAGACCCACTACAGGACAAAGTACATGTACAACCATGTTTGTTAAAAACACTACGAAGAGCACAAAAATCCATCATGTCAAATAACAGCAAATATTTCAGCCACATTCTCCAAATGGGAATTAACGTACAAAGCTCAGCCTATGGTCACTATGAGAAGGAAAATAATGATAACTAAAGATTACCGTGTATAAACACTTTTCACCACCATTTTTGCAGTTTTCATCTGATTTCCATTTGTCTATTTGCTTCAAAATGGCATTCCGTACAGTAGTGCAATTAACCCCCCATGTCCTGCAACAGAGTGTCAAGATGACATCTATTAAAAATGCGAATACCATAACCCTTATCATAACATATGATAAGTGTATTACTTCTCTAAGCGTCTTCTTAGGCAAACTAAAGGCTTTCTTTTCTGAAAGATTACGGTCGGTGTTTGACCAGGACAACATAAGACAACATATAAAATTGTTTGCCCCAAATGCCATAAGGCTACAGTCTCCTTTAGCCATGGAGTGTGCTTGTTTAGTTTGATATGCCTGATGGGTAGGTAATTTTCTCCTTAATACCTCATTCTTGTACTTTATTATTATTATTATTATTATTATTATTATTATTATCTCTTTAATCATAACCATAACAAAATTCTCAAATCTGATTGCATGGCTATCAACTGCCCTGATTTCAGCCGTAATTGGACAATTTAATAGGACAGTACGCGTCATGCCTAAGTAATTGGACAGTACGCACCATCATGCATGCGCTTAAATGGCTCTTTTTCACTACTAGCAAAAAAAAATTGGAACTCCCTCTGTTTTGATTTCAAAAAAGGGCCTTATATATATCACAAATTTTGTTAAAGTTATGATTAATTGGTAACAGAACTTCGTGTCGTCCAATTCAGTCTGTAATCATACTCGTGATTAAACAAATTGGACTCCCGCTACGCAGTCGTCCAATTTTGTTAATCACTTGTGTGATTACAGACCGAATTGGACTCCACTCAGTCCTGTTACCATTACTTATCACAGTCTTTGCTGGTGTTCTGTTTGTGCATCAGCTGGGCACAAACCATGCACCTAGAGCGTCAGTCACTCAAGTCAATCATTCTGTTCATACACTGAGCACCTTTCTGAGGATTCGTGCAGATCCCAGCATGCAGATCTTTTGAATCTCTGTCATAGTAGTTCTATTATTATTATTATTATGGGTAGGGTCTGGTTTTTCTCTCTTTATGTTTATATTTACATGGTTTACCCCCCCCCCCCCGCCTGCAAAAAAATGCCCAATGATTGTTCCCCTTTTAATTTGGTACAGGAGGCGGAGGAGGGAGGGGGGGGTGAGTAGGAGGGTTAATGAAACCTTTTTTCTTTCTTCCAAAGATTCCGACAAGACACAAATTACCCATTTTAAGTGTGCCACGAAGATTACAGAATACTAACAAGTTTCTAATGATGAACTGGAAATAACTTAGTTTTTTAAAATTTTTGGGTGCTCGATTGCCATTACTCTGACAGGTTACGCAATGAAGTTTTTCTTACCATTCAATTTTACAAGATGCATGGAGCCTTCCGCGAGTGCAGACTACGTAGAAGCAAGCTACAGCCAGGAATGCAACAACCCCTTTCATTTTGATCAAAAATTATACACAAACCCTGAGAAACAAAAGCTGATGTTACCTTGCACTGCGTCACACAAAAATCTCGTGACTTTGTAGTCAGGTCAGGACTTCATGTAAGTGTCCATTTACTACTACGAATATATGACGAAGCAAATAAAGGGAAATATATGAAGACGTACATGACAGGCTTATCCAAGAGATGTTTTTGAGCATGATGGGAAGATGGGAAGCGGTCTGTTAGCGGACTGGGCCCCAACATGTGTTCTGCATTCTTCCCTTTTCAAAATGGCGGACAAGTCAGGAGGAGACCAATCACCGGAGAAGATCGAGTCTTTACAAGAGCAAAGCGGCGATAGAGGACCTCCAGATCCTCAAATTAATGGCACTACTGAAGAGGAGCCTGCGAGGGGAGTGCAGCCTCCAGCATCGGGCAGCTCTAAAAAGAAGAAAAAGAAGAAAAAGGGAAAGGTCGATGAAGGAAGTAGTGAGGTTCTTTCATCGGAATCTTTAACTTCTTCGGTTGCAATGAACTTACAGAATCTTCGACAGCTTCAGAATTTACAGAAGAGCTTTGAGCTTCTGAGAGCAGGCGAGGTAAAAGCACCGAAGACAACAGAGGAGGCCTTAAGAAAGAAATATCAATTTTGGGATACCCAACCTGTGCCAAAGTTAGGTGGGGTTTGTTTCGACTTGCATACTTTGTCATTAATTATCAAAATAATTGGTTTTAATATTTATAGTCTGTGTGCACGCGACGAATTGAAAACTAACAGTTCTTTATATTAAGTCTACATACTTTTCTCTTTAGAGATATTTATATTTACTGGTTATGTTTTCATCTTGAATGCCATCAAATGTTGATGAGCTTGTGTCTCGGTTCTTAGTCTTTTGATCTTGATTTTTATGTGCTTCCGTTTTAAACAGGTGTATCTTTTAAATCCTTTTTAAAATCATTTTCGTTCAAGTCGTCCTCGGTGAATGGCAAAATGTAACTGATCACTTGACTACTATCCTAATATTGACATTGCTGCTTCTGTGATGAACAATTTTAAGCTTGTATTTGGTTTCATTTAAATCTCCCTTTGCTTTTATGTATGACAATAATTTGATGTTATAATGGGTTCAAATTAAAAGGAAAATAAAAAGTGAACAAAAGGTAAAACTGAACAGTGACATAAGCATTTTTTTTACCATGCTTTTTCTTTAGTTCATTAAATTGCTAAATATTAAGCATTAAGTGTGCCATTCTATAATTAGTAAAAAATTTTTAAAATCATTGTGCATGTTTTTCATTTGAATAGTTTTTTTTCCAGCGATAATGCAACAGGGTGCTCCAAACTCAAATAATTTGTAAGACTGGTTCCCAGACAAAACTTGGTCACTCTTAAAAAAGGACACTGTTTTTATTATGTGAAGTGGTTTGACTTAATCATAAAGAATGCCCCAAAATGCAATCAAGCTACATCTTAAGTAGCCTGAGAAAACAGCCAAAATTTCCCGACGCCACCACTGGTTTCAGCAAGAAATGACATCTGAGGAACAATTGCAGAAATTCTATACTGATGATTCGTCACTACCCAGATCTGCATAGTGCTTTTGATTACTTGAGGCAAATTTTCAGCCAGTAAGAAGCACTACCCAGATGTGGGTAGCCAAAATTTCCTGACATCACCACTGGTTTCACCAAGAAATGACACCTGAAGAACGATTGCAGAAATTCTTTACTGATGATGGATGCGTCACTACCCAGATCTGCGTATTGCTTTTGATTGCTTGAAGCCAATTTTCAGTCAGTAAGAAGCACCACCCAGATGTGGGTAGTCAACATTTCCTGATATCACCACTGGTTTCCTCTGGTTTCCTTTCTCAAGCTTCCTCTCAAGGCTTAACACACAGGAATGTAGGTGTAAATAAGACAATAGAGCAAAGCCATTTCCTTATGAAACAAATTCAGTTATAATATTTTATACATTTTAGCAACAGAAGGTTTTTTGGTGTCTTTGGGATCCATTGTTCAATATTGTAGCTAGTCTACACTTCTTTATGGAAATTAATTCATTATACCACCGTACAAATGTTTTTGTTATTCTCTAACTCTTCAGATGAGGAAGTGAGCGAATGCGGGTGTATTGAAGAGAACAAACCAATTGAGGAGCTGAGAAGTGACCCTTACACTCTCCCACAAGGCTTTGTCTGGGACACTCTGGATATCAGCAATGAGAAAGTGGTATGTTGAAATTTACTGCCGGAGCGAATTATAGTGCAATGAACTCGACTGGAACCACTCATTTCACAATCACAGCAAAGGAAGGGGTGGCGAATGGTACCTCGGAAAAACATGGGTCTCGGAAAATTTTGTCAGGATCTCGAAATCTCGGAAGCGTTTATGATAAGTCTCGAAGTCTTGTTTTTTCATGGTTTGTTTAATTTTACTTTTTTGAGTCTCGAAACTTTTTACCAAAGAGTCTCGAGCTCGGATTTCTAACTAGGATCTCGGTGTCTCGGCGAGTCTCGGATTTTTCCATTCGCCACCCCTAAAGGAGTCTGACTTTGTTGTGAAAGCTTTTTTTTTTGTCCTGGTTGAGTTGGTTGGGCTATAAAGCCGGTTTTCCGTAAAATAATATCAGTAACAATCTGTACCATCACTGAAAAAAGGTTCAGCGAATAATTCAAGCATTACATTGTAATATGGAAATCAGCTTTGCAACAGAAGCAAATTGTAATAATATTGTCACTTGACCCTAACCGTGAATAACTCCTTTAGTGTTGTTGATCAAGTGAAGAGAGTTAAGCTCTAACAATAAATGGTAGCCATAGAGTCTTAATAAGAACTGTTTAAATAGCAAGACGGGTTTCAGAAATCTAAGATGGTTTCCTTCGTCAGTTGCTTTTACAGTTAGTGCTTGTGTGGTTGTGAGCAAAAGAATCGAAAGTGACTTTATGGCTGGAAAAGTTCCCTTTTTATAGGCAAAGAAGGAATGCGTTGTTAGAGGAAGTAACCAATTAGAAGTGTAGCATTTTGATCCATTATGCTTGAATTTGGGTGTTCTTTTGTTAGCAGTAAGCAATAGAAGCTATTAAACTGAACGCATGCAAATTTGCGTTAGGACAACCTTTGATAAAACTTCATAATGGTTTTTAACAAGTAATCCCTTCGAAAATGCATAAGAAAGTCAACAATAAAGGCGAGTCTTATTTTGATTTTAACACAAATCATGAGACTCTGACAGTTATTGGAGTGAAGTTCATAAGGTGGTAGTGTATTAATATTCTTGACCAAAATCCTCTGTTGTCTATGTTACAGGTCAAAATTAAATTCAAAATAAAATTTTTTAACCATACATGTAGGTTGAATGATTCTCTATTTCCTTTGTCTCCTAGCCCTAATTCATGAATAATAGGGTTAGGAGACAAAATAGAGAATCAACCTACAGTTAAAAAATTTTATCATCAATTTGATTTTGACCGGTAGATGTAATATCTATACCATTGCCTTACCGTACATGTAGTTTAACACCAAGGGCATGTTATTGACACAGATATATCATTGAAGTACTAGTTGGGCAACGCTTCTCCTAAAATGGCCACCAGCTATAAAAACAGATAGCAATACAGTGTTTGATGTAACTTCTTAAAACTGGAACCAATGATAATTATTAATGATAACTATTATTGAAAGGACCATTCAAAAAAAAAAATGTTCTGTCAAAGCGTTATCTGAGCTGATAATGAAGGGTAGACAACTAGGTGATGTTTAGACACTGAAGTGACAATATCTAGAGCATTTATAGTAGTCACTAGTATTATTTAAGTTTATTTATTTATTTACTTTGAACAGCTAAAGGAGCTATACACATTGCTAAATGAAAACTATGTGGAAGATGATGACAATATGTTTAGATTTGACTATTCTCCAGAATTTCTTTTGTGGTAAGTTTATTGTCTTATTTTGACGAATTACATTAATGAAATTCAGAACTGGTGAATGAGATGAACTTTTTTCTAAGAGCCATATATTGGTCAATTTGGTGACCTTTCTTTAATTTGGTCATCAGTTTAGAAAAGTTAAAGGCATTTAGGGTCTGTATTCAGTAGTCATAATGTCTGTTAACCCTTTTAATAAGCCCTGAGAGTGATCAGCATCAAATTTCTCCTTGTAATATCACCGCGTTATAAAACACAGTGGTCATGAGAATTGAGCACATGATCATACAAGATGAATCTAATTGATAGTTCAACAAATTCTCCCCACTACTACCATTGAAAACGTATAGGGATAACAAATAAGAAATTGAATTTTGATGTTAGGTTTTAAAGGGTTTTAATTTATTATTAATTTAGTCTGACTCACTAAGTGCCAGTGTGTCCTTAATTTCATTTTTACCAATTGCATGTGCATACAACATAATGTTTTTCTTGCAATCAAAGTTTTTGTAAGAATTTTTGATTTTTTTTTTTGTATTTTAATAAATTTTTATTTTGTCTTACAATAAATTCATGTATTGTGATGTTTTACACACGGTCACTTATGAACATGAAAAAGGATACAAAAAAATGAAAAGAAAAGAAAACTAGAGTGATTTTACTTGACCCGTGAAACAGGTAATAATACTTACAAATAAACCAAAAAAGACTGTAGAATTAGTTCATAATATAGTCTGTACCATTCTACTACCTATTTCGTACACACACAATTACATACTGATAAAATACTGATAAGATTTGTTGATCCATGTTTAAATTTAATTTTTAAGTTATGTAACAAATGATCTTTCAGGGCTCTTAAACCTCCTGGCTGGAAATCAGAATGGCACTGTGGTGTGCGTGTCGCAAGTAACAAGAAGCTGGTTGGTTTTATCAGTGCTATTCCTGCACACATCAGAGTTTACAAACAGTAAGTAGTGACATCCAGTTAACTGAATTGTCATCACTCCATTCAAAAGTCCAAAGTACTTGTATATTTGTCACTTATGTGTACAAATGTGTTTCTCATGCACGTGCCACCTGTGATGGCATACATATGTAGCTCCAGGTATTGCCTGTGACACTCACAAGGACTTGAAGACAGTTGTTGGCAGAATTCAAAACACTGCAAGATGATTTTTACCGTCAAACTCACAAAACCATAAACACCTGAAAAAATAAATTTCAGGAATTTTGATTGTGTAGTGACCTTGGGAATCGCAATAAAAAATTTCAGGACACGCGAGCTAACTATAAAACCACAAACTAATTACCATTTTTGTTTGCAGTATAGTTTTTGCACGCCTTATTAGCTTTCTTCTCGCAACACAATAAAATAATTTCCATAAAATAATTCTCTGGTTCAATGGTTAATGGTTTTGTGAGTTTCACAGTAAAGAGTTTTGAAAACATATCTTGTGTTTGGTCTATGTTGCTGGTATGCTTGAAAGTAGAAATAATTTTCAGTCAAAGTCTGTGAAAAGTAAATCAATTGCCAGTCTGCTGAATTTCCTTTGTTGAAAAGATCTTTTATGCAACTTCTTCACTGAGTCCCCCTTCCTCAGAATCCTCCTCAGAATCTGATGGTCACTAAAGAAATAAAATATAACTTTCCATTATTCACCCTTGGCAATGTATTTATAGCAATTATTCTATTGTAGCCAAGCAAATTCCTAACACAAATAATTCAAATCAAACTTTACAGGTTTAAGAATTCCAACTGCTAGAAGGCAAACCAGTTGGCTATTTTACAAGTGCTCTTATCACTGAACAATCCCTGCCCTCCAGGAAGCAGAGTTAACAGAATTTTCTGTACCTTGTGCATTCCATCTTAAGTCATTTTTTGTTATCTTTGTCAAGGACTGTCTTGATGGTTGAAATCAACTTCCTGTGTGTACACAAGAAGCTACGATCAAAGAGAGTGGCCCCTGTGCTGATAAGAGAGATTACCAGGAGAGTCAACTTGCAGGGCATCTTCCAGGCTGTTTACACTGCAGGTGTGGTGCTGCCTAAGCCAGTGGCATGCTGTAGGTAGGTACTCATGCATACGATATCATCATCATTAATCTTGGTGACTCAGACTAAGTCTGTGATGGGCTCTCTATCTGAAGTACAGTAACACCTCCTGATCAGCCAAAAGACTAGCAAGCTCTTTCCTACACTACTCTGCATCTTTTCATGAAATATATTGTACATGTACAGTACCAGGTACAGTATATACTGCCTTTGCAGACTGTCTAGAAATCTGTTTGCTAAATTCCTGACCTGTGGCTACTGCTGGTAATAGTATTATCATTGTCAGCCCCCTTAAGATGAGACAGTGACATAAGGAGTCATCTTTGGATGTTATTTTAGACTGTGTTCAAAAGCTGGTGATTGATATATTTCTGCTGAATAGTTTGAACCCAAGGGTCATTTTGTAAGTAGGCAGTTGAACTAGAGTCTAATACCATCAAGTGATATGATACAACTCACCTCGACTCTGAAGATGGCTACCACACAGGTTGTCAAAATGTCAGTCACTGTGAACAAAAGTCCTATTCAGGGCTAGTACACTCACTGGGTGATCGTGCATTTCTGTTTACTGTATAATGGGAGTGAGATTTGGATCCACACGCTATAATTTACTCCTTAAGCACGAAACTGTACATATTGTGTAAATTTCACTCTCCATTTAGCCGTGATTTCTGCCATTCTCTCGGTCCTCCCCTACTCACAGGGGGTGGTGGGAGCACAGGCTCATTTCATGGACATTGGTTGGTAGTTGAGCCTACCCTCGGCTCCAATATGATCTTAAAATTTTAAAACTACTGTAGTAGATTCCTTGGATGTTGTTTTCTTATTTTCTGTTGTTTTTACCCTTACTCTGTACACTGTAGATACTGGCACAGGTCGCTTAATCCAAAGAAGCTTGTTGAAGTCAAGTTTTCACACCTTAGCCGTAACATGACTATGCAGAGGACAGTCAAACTGTACAGATTACCTGAAGTAAGAAGTTACAAGTGACAGCATAAGTTCTTTCTTCTACTACTGAAATCACTTAACTTTAGCACCTCCCCAAAAACGATTATTTGAATTTTTGAATCGCATGACTGTTTTGAGTGCCTTGTTTGGTCATGTGACTCTCCCTTATTTTCTGAATTCAATAATGATGGTTTGGAGTTCTAATAATGATAAATAATAATAATTCCATTTTTTAACCTCGGCAGTATTTATAGCACTAATGCTAGTGGGGCTGAGAAAATGCCTGAAGCAAACAATTCAAATTGAACTTAAGAGGGTTAAGAATCCCAACTAGCCGGACACAAAACAGCTGGCTGTTTACAAGCATGGCTGAGGATTGGAACTCAGGGCTACCCAGAGCAAATCAAGCTAGAGGTCAGAGTGGGCCTTGAACTTAGGGTCACAGATTTGCAAGCCCAGTGCTCTAACCACTTGACCACACTGCCTCCATAATGCTCTAAAACTGCCAGGATAGAATTCTGTTGATACATATTAACCTTCGCCCAACGTTATCATTAACAGTAAGTAACCTCACATCTCAGACTTCCTAATTGTGTCCTATGTTGAAAAGTTGTTTCGTGAGCATCCATGATCATTTCAACCAGGAGCTATTTCACGAGCTAGTTGAACCATTGTTAATTGTCAAAATTAGGGAATTGTCATGCGAGCTATTCAAAAAATTCAAATGCAAACGATTCTGTTTTGTTTTGTTTTGGTTTTTTTTGTGCCTACAGTTAAGTCATTTCGGTAGTATTTGGTGCCCTAAATTTTGTGGTACATTATGCTTAAACTAGGGCTCAAAGCAGCGTGAACTTGCTTTAATGGAATTTTTTCCATTAAATTTTTCTTTTTGCAGAACGAATTAGACTTTGAGTGACTTTGAATTTTTCCTTAATTGTTACATTGTTGTGTAAAAAATGACATTATTCAAGAGACTGTGTTCTGAAGAGAGCCCCATGCTCTGAACCTGTTATATCCAGCGTGCCCGGAATAATTATGGGGATTTCTAGGGGAAAAAAACAACAACAACAAGATTTTCTAGTCACCCAGTTGCTGCTAGAGCACAGCATTTGAAGTATTTTTTTGCATTTATTGGCACCGCACCAGTAAAAGCAAATGCTGAGCATAAAGAAGTGTTAAGAGTTTGATGCACCTCGTTTTTTTTTTTTATTGTCTCTCAGAAAACCAAGACTGAAAGAATTTATCCTCTTACAACTGAAGACATGACTGCTGCTTTTGAAAAGATAACTGAGGTCAGTGTGACAGACTTACTACTTCCGATTAAGCGTTTTATCATAACGTCACGGTGGCCACATTGGTGTTCTAAGGCCATTTTTCAAATAATTGAGCCATTTCTCGCGCGTTGATTGGTAGAGAGCCATGATCGATAAGAGGAAAGATCATGGGAATGACGTCATGGTGGCGGAATTTCTTTTTCTTTTTCTCTCTTGCGCGATTTTCCGAGAAACGTCGACGAAATGGACGTCAAATCTGTCAATAGACAGCGAGGACGACGACTACGAGTACGAGATTTTCTCGTCATTTTTGCGGGAAAACGTGATAGCCGGCGTCATTCCACAACGGGTTTTAGCGAGAATGTCGTAGTGACGGGAACAAGTTTAGTTATCAAATGGAAGAAGTTTTATCAGCTTGCTATCGGAGAGGACTTAACCTCCTTCAGCATAAATAACTGTTCTAACATTTCTGGTGAAAAAAAAAAAAGGAAAATGAATTGAGCTTTCCGGGGCACCTTATTCTGAGTACACGCCCGGAAACATTAAGTTAAGTCTCATACTCGTTCTTGTCCTCAAATCTAAAGCTCTCTATTGTTATTGTAAAAAAGCAAATCAACAACAATTTTCCATGGTCTGTATTCTTATGGGCCAAAAAATGACGTGAAAATGTTCAAAACTTTGCAGTGAAAGCACTCGTCGGCGGCTGGTGGTTCCACTTGAGTTTTGGTTTCCTTAGTATGGTCGATAACAGTACAGACCATGGAAAATTCTTGTCGATTTGTGAAGTCCACACGAATCCGGACATTTTTAAAGCTTTATTTTTTTTCTACCCGGTTTCACGTGAACGGAGTTTTCAACCGTTACTGACAGCAGTTTAAAAAAATGTGGTTTCGGTGTCATGTATCAGAGCGGATTCACTGCTTTCGTGCAGAGGAGGTTGGACACGGCCCTCAAGGTATCATGGGGCGAATTATCGAATTGCGCGCCGGTGGAATCATTTGCCTCGAACCTGCGAGGAGTATGGATTTCCAGTTTTCCCAAATGTTAGCTCTAAGAAGCGCTGGATCGCCCTAGATTGCCTTTTTTCCCCTTCCTTTTGTTTAGTTAGTGTTCTTTACTCACAAAAATGGCAGAGTGTTATCCTAAGCGCGGGTTTTATTCGGACGATCTATCGAAGACTCGAAAGCAGTAGATGGTAATCCTAGAAACGCACCTTTCTTTTCGACTTTTGCGCTGCAACAAAACTACTGCACATCTTGAAATAAACGCACATTCCTTCAGGTAAAATAAGCAACGAGTAAATTCGGCCATGTCATTGGTTGATTAGTCCTACCAAGATGCATTTCGGACCTTTTCCAACCTCCTCTGGCTCTCCTGTGTGAGCGAAAGGCTGATTCGTGTAATAAAATATGTGGTTTCAAAAATATCCGGATTCGTTTCAATGTAGACTAAGGGCGTGTTTACATGGAGGTGGGGGACCCCAGGTATGTGAGGTAACCCACTTCGGTGGGGTAACCCGCCTGTCCACATTGTCTCTCATTTTAATTTGATCACGTTTACATGATAGGTGGGGTGACCCGCCGCATGTTACCTCACCTATCTGGGGACCCCACCTCCATGTAAACAGGCCCTAAAACAATAATACGTTAGTGTTCCAATCCAATTCTGTTGTTCCAATAAATTTGCACACATATTGGCCAAGTGATTGTAGACGATCTATGGCTGCATGGCATATCAGTGGATAATAGTTTTGGCCATGAGGCTATCTGAAGAAAGTTAATAAATGCTTGGCTGAGTCAACTACATTACAACTGTGAACTTTTGATTTTTTTATCACCTTGCTCCCTCTGGTTACAGTAAGTGAATTCTAAAATTAGGTGTACGTGAACGTGACTGTAAAAGGGAAAGTCCTTGGAATCCAGATATCTCTTCTACCCTTGATTTTTCAAACCTTTAATTACTGAAAATGGTCCATTATGGTAACGGGAATTCTCGGCCCATGCGATCCAAAAAATCTGACTATTCCACGATTTTGGCAGCGACTTACGTCTCTGTCTGTATATTTGTTTGTTTTTGGTCGTTTGTTTGATCTTTTGTTGATGTATCTGGCGTTTTTGTATTTAACAGTATTTGAAGAAATTTAACTTGGCACCAGTATTTTCTGAGGTAAGAGTTTTACCTTTGTGGTATTTCAAACTTTACTTATTTTAGCGTCTTTTTGTTTCGTTTGAGACAAAGGTGTCAGTTTATGTAGGTAGTATGACTTGTTCATGACAATCCATTTATTTTAAAAAGCTAAGTTAAGCCCGAAACAATTCTGGTCGGCGGCCTTCCCTGTCGTGGGCATGCGAAGTGGTCGGGGTCTGCAGGTGGTCGCGTGGTTTTACAGCACTGTCGTTGAGGTCAACTCATTCTCACGTGGGTTTTGCCAGTTTCGATTGAGCTCGGCGATTTAACTCCCTGCCCTCCCTCCCTCTCTGTAGAAGGTATGAGGTAAATCATCGTTCCACTGTTTTTCAGTGTGTGGTGGTTGCCGCTCACAGGGTTGACATGGTTACCCTACGCGCTAGGCTCTTGCACTTGTGGCTCCACCATCTTTCCAGGCACCTTCCCCAAGCTTATCTATTGTTGATGAGTTTAAACCTGTTTGTTTGTTCGTTTATTCATCTGTGTTTATCCTGGCGCCATATCGTGAATTACCTTTAAGAATAGTAACGTCGTCTAAATGTATGAAATTCCCCCTGGTCGCTACTAGCAGTGTTGATCGACTGCGCTAAGCCTTCATGTAACAATGTTATTAGCCTACCAAAAAGAACCGAAGTAGTGCTTGTGTAGTACTTTTGATTGGTTGAAAATTTCCGTAATACTAAACCGATTAGAAGCACTACCAAGGTCAGGGTAGTGAGACGTCATCAGTGTGGAATATCTGCAGTCGTTCCTCAGATGTAATATTTTTCGCGAGGAAGCCGTTGGTGGCGCCGCGAAATGTCGGCTGTTTTCTTTGAGGGAGAGAAGCGACGACGGGAAATACGTCTGCTGGTCGCAGGCTAGTCGATTAGCGATTTTGGACATTTTTAAAGTAAGTTACGCTCGATAGAACTAATGGTACGAAATCGAAATAGGGGGCCTAGCGGGGTGAATCCGATCGGGGGCGAAGCGTATTGCAGTGAAAACGGAGAGCAAAACTGCAAGGAGACATGAAAAATACACGTCTTCTCACGCGCCTTTCACCTAATCTTGAATCCACATTTTTTCCTCGCCACGCGCCTTGAGAAAAACGATTCTCGTTTCATGCGACGAAAACCGACTGTTTTGAAGTCCAATATTAAGGAGCTTAAGCAACGTCGAAAGCGACGGCAACGAGAGCGGCAAAAAAGAAACAGGTGTAGATTAGCAAAAACGACAACTTTGCACGTACATCACGCTTTATTGACATTTCTTTGCCGTCACTGCACGACTACGACGTGAAAATGTGGAGAACATGAAAACAAAAGACAACGACTTTTTTTTTTCTTTCCCGGAACTTTAGAAGAAAATGCCAACATTTGACGAATTGAACGAGATGGAATAAGCGCGATAAAATTTGAAAGCAGCGCGACTTCACTTTTCAAGTGACGTTATCGTAGCCGTCGCCGTCGATGTTGCTTAATTAAGCTCCCTATTTAATGCCAACCAACTGCCCCCAGCGAAAGAAATTTGTTTTTCTTTTTGCAGGAAGATTTCATACACTGGTTTACACCACGAGAAGGAATAGTGGACTCCTTCGTAGTCAAGGTAAAATCTACTGAAATGATTTGAGAGAAGGAACATTCGTTGCCCATGCCCAGAATTAATTAATTTATTTATTTGCTCAGTCTTTTGAGTGAATTAAATTACGTTGTGGTCGAAATAGAAGGTGGTTTGTCATGCTATTGTTCTTTTTAAGTGAATGTTTACTTGCTATTTGTTTCGTAACTTTGTTACCAGACAATTTAATTTTTGTCAATACTTATGCAAAATTACTCTTGGATGCGGCAGGCGAGTGGGGCACCGGTGTTACAAAATATAAGCTTAAATGTGTATCAAAAGAGACCTTTAGATTCTAAGAGGCCGGCTACGAGAACAAGCGTGAACCTGCATCATTTTGGCGGGAAAACGTGATAGCCGTCGTCATTCTCCTTCTATACGTGTGTTAGCGAAAATGGTCGTAGTGACGGAAACAAGCTATCAATTGTTAGACGTTTTATCATATTGTGACCGGGAGACAGCTTAACCTCTTCCAATAAAGATAACAGACTGCTAACTTTTGTCGTAAAAAAAGTACGATGAACCATTCCGGGGTGTGTATTTTTTTTGGCAATACGCAAGAAAACTTTAGATCAAATCTCGCACTCGTAGTCGTTCTTGTCCTCGAATCTAAAGGTCTCCAATGTCTTAGTGGAGGAAACAAGTTGTTACACGTTCGAAGTTTTATTATTTTGCGCTCGGGAGAGGGCTTAACCACCTTCAATAAAAACAACCGTGTTACCTCTGTGGTGAAAAAAAAAGAAGCCTTCAGCGGTGTCTATTTTTTCAGAATACGCGACAAAAACTTTTAGTCAAATCTCGACCTCGTACTACTCGTCCTCGTCCTCGAATGTAAAGGTCTCTAATATTTGCTTTAACAGGACGAAGAAGGGAAAGTGACGGACATGATCAGTTTTTACACTTTACCGTCCACGGTGATGCATCATCCAACCCACAAGCAGCTCAAAGCTGCTTATTCATTCTACAATGTCAGTGAAAAGACGCCGCTTGTGGACCTCATGCAGGATGCACTTATACTCGCCAAACAGGTAAGGACAATTCGCCACTTTAGGAACGAGAAGGGGACTGGGTCGAGTTAACTTTCGCAAAGACTTGTGGGGCTGGGAAAATTGGTCAGTATTAGATCCCTTGGACACCTTATGAAGTTGACACAACGTAGTATTCTTTATTGCTTCTACACTACACTTGTAGGAAATTTCTAAGTTTCTTGACATTCCTGATCAGGAAATGTTCACGAAGTGCAAGTCTCTATAATTCTTAAGGAAAAAAAATTCGGAAGAGCGATAACAAGACTCCAACCCGGAGCGTTATGTTTACAGTCTATCACCTATACCACTACGTCACTGAGGATTTGCTGGCGAGTAATGGTTTGATTTGAAGCTTTATAACAACAACCCTAACCCTAAATAGAAGCTAACCTTTTGGAGTCAGTTCTTAGCCCTAATCACTATTTTCGGTGCTTAACTCTAATCAGTATTGTTGCTTAACCCGAAGCGATAAGGAAGATTTGGTTGGTAAACTTCGTAAGGTGTCCAAGAGGGCTTAGGTCGATGGGATCTAATGCTAACCAGGGAAATTGGCCAATAGGGACCTTACGATCCGAGAACGGCGACGTCCACAAAAACGTCGCTGAAGAAATAGACTTCGCATCCTTTTAAACTATTTCGCGATTATCCGAATACGCCATGTTACTTAAAAGAAGGGAATTTTCGCTGGAGCTGAAGAGAGGGGAACGCGCTCAATTTCGGACAGAGATGGTAGAATTTATCGCCTAGCCGTTCCCGTTCTTAAGTAAACTTAAAATTTGGTCATTTCACGTCATAGTTGTGCAGGGACAGCAAAGAAATGTAAAAAAAAGTGTGATGCATGTGCAGAGTTTTTGTTTTGCTCATTGAACCTATTGCTTGTTTGACGTTCTCCTTGCCGTGGCCGTCGTAGTTTCGTAAGGTCCCGAATATCGGACCGGCGCGTGCCCGGTTACGATCTCAGAAGTCTTTGTGAAAGCTAACCCGACCCAGTTTTCTTTTGGTTTTGAAAGTAGAAAAATTGCGAGTGAACGCCTGACACTTCCTCATTTCCCGGAGAAGTGGCAGTCAGTCGGGTCGGGAAAATGGCGCTACGAAAGTTTTCAAGCACGGGCAAAAGAGCCTGTCGCCATCTTTGATTTTGACAGTTTGGGAGAGCTATCAATGGACAAATATGATACAAACAACATGACGACAGTGTCGACGGTGCGCGCAGACCTAAAAACCCACTTGACCATTGGCAGAGCGGCAAATTGAACACCGGAAGTCGCGTCCAGGCCCGGGTTGCTCGAAGCATGGTTAGTGCTAACCAGCGTTAAATACCATGGAAACCTATACAATTTGATACCTCTTAACCAACGGTTAGCGCTAACGAGGCTTCGAGCAACCGGCCCCAGGCCTTTCCGCGCGCTTTGCGTTCTCATTCGATGTTGCTAAATCTGTACTTACAATCTGGGAAAATTTAAACATTGGCGCCAAGTACGAACCTAGCGACCCAGGAATGAGTGGCTTGTGTCTCTGCAGAGGCTCTGGTGCTTGAGATAACGCTTCTCACTTCTTTTGTTGAGTTTTGCGTGTAAACCAGGATAAAGCAGGCATGAGCACAAACATAAGGCGCGAATTACGTGAATTATGTGAAAAGGAGGAGACTGTGTATGTTGATGTGTAGCAGCAGACGTTCTTTTGACTCGTCAGGCAATCCTCGTCAACGAACGTCTTTGGCTTGTCACGTAATCCTCGCCAACAAACGTCTATCGTCACGCCAAAAAGATTGTAGGCAATGGAAAAGTGCTCTCGATTTGTTAAATGGACTTGTGCATTCTTTGCCTGTACTTTGATTTGCAGCGTGGTTTTGATGTGTTCAATGCTCTGGATCTCATGGACAACAAAGATTTTTTAGAAAAACTGAAGTTTGGCATCGGTGATGGAAACCTACAGTACTACCTGTACAACTGGAAATGTCCCGGCATGACACCTGAACAGGTTCGTTATACTCACATTTCTTTGTGCGACCACTTCTCGCCCAAAAAACGTAACGTAAAACTCTTGAGAATACATTGTACCAAAATAGGAACAAGAGAGCAATTTGCGTGCGCATGCTTGCATCCCCTGAACGGCAATAGCGTGGGCGAAGTTAAAGTGCGTGTATTTTATTTGTCAACGAGGACGTTCCGGTGAAGAAAGCTGAAATTACTGCAGAGGGCGATTTTTTATAGCCTTCGTTAAAGTGCCATTCATTCTTGCAAGTGTTCATTAATCTTATGTTTGGAGAAAGGCGAGAATTCAAGATAAACGAGCCAGAGAAAGGCTGAAGAGCTATTTTCAAGATGGGCACTTGATTAATCACTGTATACTGGTAAAGATTAAGTTCGATTATAGCATTATACTATTTCGAAGGGTTGAATGTCTATAGAATACTTGTTGAACAGAAAATTATCGTATTGACCTTCCTGCTGCTCAAAAAATTGTTCGCGAAATGTTATGTCGTGACAACATCCAGCCGCCACCTTGTTTTCAAAGTACTATACTCATTCAGCTCCAGAGCGGGTGGTCACGGGTTCGATCAATTCTGAGGCTCTTGGTAAAATAACTGAGAAATGAAAATATTGGCTTTGCCTTGTAAACTGCTAAACCTTCTTGTAGCTTAGGGTACAACGTAAAATGGCGCTCCCGACTCCAGTGGGAGACGTAATTAATATAGTGTCCTGAATTAGTACTTTCGTGCTGAATACACTGACACTCAAATAAGGTATTGTTCTTTTTTTGTCATGTAGGGAAGCTAGTGGGATTTGAGGGGGGGAGGGGGGTCAAAAGAAGAAGATATTGTGTTTAAGAGGGGGGGGGGGCACCAAAAAAATGCCTCAAGTGACGGCATTTGTAATAATTCAAACAGCCTACCAGAATGCCAAAAAACAGCGCTTCTGACATTCAGAAAGTTCAGATTTTCCCAGGGAAGCATACCCCCGCCCCCTACTTTATTATGCACCAAAAGGCAATTCTACCTGATTAAGCGTTTCATCAGGAATAAAATAGCAAACTCAGTTAGTCATTTTTCATTTTTTTCTTTGTCCTATCTTTCTTTCATTTCCTTTCCTTTTTTTTGAGGGCGGGGGGGGGATTCAAGGGGTCATGTCAATTAATTTGGGAACAAGCGGGGCCACCCTTTAAAAATTCTTGAGAAAAGGGGGGAAGATCAGTATATGCAGCAGGAGCTACCCATGGATCCCCCCAATTAAAAAAAGACAGTTCCGAAAGTGCCTCGTCCCTTTTGCTAGAAGCCCGGATCAAAGTCACAACACTAAAACTACATCGAAAGTTATTTCAAAACAATTAGAAAATAAAATGCAACTTCTATTTTGTCTCTAGGTTGGACTTGTTCTGCAGTGATTTTGCAACTGCTGGCTACAAGCGGTGTCAAATTAAACAAGTTGAGTAAATAAGGAAGAAATATGACAGTGTTACACGATAATCCGCGACTCCTCGGGAAGGATTTTATGACGTACTGAACAGACCATGCGAGGTGGAGGAAAATATTGATTCATGTAATACGCAAGAATTTGATCCAAGGTGTGACATGGAACCAAAAATGTATTTCAAATCAAGCGATTTGCTATTTGCAAGGCAGTTAGCTGAGGTTGGGCCCTCTTTTTGAACGCTTACAATCAAAGACTCTCATATTTTAAAAGCAGGTTAGAAAAAAAAAGTCAAGAAATGCTGAAGCCGTGTCACGGTAAATACTTTACCAAGCCCGCTCCTTATTTCTGAGAAGTAACCTATCTGAATGGAAAGAAAATTATTTAGTTTCCTTGATGCTTTTTACAGCCAAACAGTTCCATCTTTCTCTTCGCGGCCGCCATCTATCTGGTCTTATATGTACCAAGCTCTTTGATGACTTTAATACTCAAACCTCTTTCATGCGTGCTATTTGCCGTCTCCCCTCCACCAAATCTCACTCAGTGCATGTTCGAGATTGTGAACTCGTTCCACGATTCGATCTCGAAAGTCGCATGGAAAGCAGGGGGCTACGGAAAGACCAAGTTTCTGTCCTCCTTATCGTTTCCTACGAGAGCGTTTTTGGTAATGTTAATTGTACGTATCAAGCAATAGTTCATGTAGCCTGAGAAAACAGCCGACATGTAGCAACGCCCCCAGGACCCAGATCTGGGTAGGGTAGTGCCTCTGGTTGTTCGTGCCGCGAGAGAAATTTTGCTTCAGCCAATCAGACGCACTACCCAGATCTGGGTAGTGACACGTCATCAGTATGGAATTTCTGCAGCCGTCTCCCAGACGACATTTCGCGGGGAAACCAGTGGTGGTGTCGCGATGTGTCGGCTGTTTCCTTAGGCTATAGTTCGCAGGGCTGTCATTTAGAGGCAGGGGCCGGCTACTTTCAAAGGAAAATAAAAGAAAAATAGAACCGAAAGAAACCCCCCAGCTGTTTGATTCCCCGCCTATTTGTTGTATTTACCCGGCAACTTGAAATCTTAGTGACAACCCTGAGTTCGTACTTAATCACTAGCGTTGCTAGCTTTATATTTAACAAATAATAGTGATTCGCCACTAGCTTGTGTGATTCGTATTGAAAAGAATCTTCCGTAGTCTGAAGCAAGTCTTCAATTTTTCTTTGTCCCGGTATGCGTAGCCCGCAATGCGGGGGCATTTTCAGTGACGAATCCTGACCTTCAGATAAGGAGGTGCCCGGTCATCCAGACCTGAGATAACCGGGGGGCGGTCTCAAAAAAGATTTTTTTTCGGCCCTTCAGGCCTCAGTTTGGTCTAAAAATAGTGGTGCATCCGCCACTGATTTTTGAGGGACGCCATCTTTGTCAAGAGAGGAATTTTCGAAACAGTTATGGTAGTGAAAACCTGCGGTCAAAAAGTTTGATAACATCAAACGACCTTTTGGGATCTAGAACTTGTCTTTATTGAGAATCTACCTTCTGTCACGACTCTTCTTGTCTGGAACGTCAAGGGGGCGTTGTTTTCTCTGATCAAAATTGATAATTGTCCTACGAGGATTATGCAAATACAGGGTTATTTGAGTTGTGCTCGCATTTGATGAGAGTTGACTGATGCCAATTTAGTTAGCATTGATAGTGTGGTTTTTTTTTAACTGACTTAGCTTCTTTTTCGCTAGGAAAAGCAACAATTTGTTTATATACAAAAATGGGTGTGAATTTTGGTTGTCATTTGTTTATCTGTATTTTTTTTCTGTAAACATTTAACTCTTCCAGGTGGAGACAGCAAATATTGTTTCTCGAAAATCTCATTGTCTCCTAAGGCCCTGTTTATATGGAAAAAATTTTTTCTGGGTAGAAGAGTTAACTTCCGAGCCGAGTCAACTTCAGCCAGCGTTTATATGAGAAAAAAGTTGACCCCTTTACCCGAGTTAAAAGCGCTCGCGCGTGTTCTGATTATTTAGAACAGCGCTCGCTCACTCTCTGATTAGGGACTTTAAGATCCAACGTCGCAACGGCAACGAAAACGTCGTTTAAAAAGTGAATTCGCGTACGTTCTTTCAGTCTTTATAGCGATTTTTACTACCCACTTGCTTTGTTAAATGTAGGCGAACCCTCCTGAAGCTGAATTTCATGTAAACATATCCAAGCTCAGAAAGAGAAATAAATTTTCGTCGTTGCTTGCTTTTGTCCTCCATAAAACGCGAAATAAGGCATTTTCACGTCGTAATCGTGCAAAAACGACAAAGAAGTGTTAAAAAAAGTGTGTTGCGTGTGCCAAGTTTTTTTTTTTTGCTTATTAAACCTAGCGTCGTTGGATCCTAAAGTCCCTATTGTCTTGCCTCGGCAAGATGAGCCAAAGTGTTAATAAATAGAAAAGTTGGCCCGGCTACGAGGGTGACCCCTGTAGTCGAGCCAACTTTTTGTTTGTCATGTACACATGTGCAAAAGAACTTTCTGGGAAGGGGAGGGGGGGGCAAATGATTCCTTGCTTCTCTTGCCCCTAAGAATTCGTACATAATATGAAAATCAGGAAAGATGTTATCTAATCACTATCACCTCAACCTTCAATTACATTCATCTTAAAATGGGCACTTTGACCTACAAAATAACTGCGTTAAACAATAAGGTGAGTGAAACCTCCAGCTTAGTAAAGATAGACCATCGAAAGATGACAGTTGATCAAGTCTTTTTAAAAGTGCGTCTACACCAGGCTTATTTTTATTGGAGTGAAATATGACGCATTCGATATTGGAAATCCTAATAAAATAGACAACTAAGACTTAGCGGATAAATTGTGGTCTTTCCTTTTTTCTGTTTCTATGCTGGTGTAACCATGGAGAAAGGGAAACAGCCAAAATTACCGTTGCTCTCCCCCACCCCATCCCCCCACTACTGTTATCCTTTTTGTGGGTGGAAAATTGTCCTCCACTCTTAACAAATTCCTCCCCCATTTTATTGCAAATGTGAAAAATTCTTTGACACTGAGGGTACGGTACAATACTTGTTTTGCAATTCAAATTTTCACGCCAAGCTTTGCTCTCGTCCAAACAGCACTTACTGTCTCACTCTCTTTGTTACTGATTGTTAAGTAGAAGCATTCACCCCACCCACCCTTGTCAGTTTGCCAGAATTTGCCAGTTTGCGAATTATTAGCCATTTCGAGGTATCATGCCGGGAGACTATATCGGTTTGTGTCCAGTTGCACTATGGCACTATTTTGAGCCAGTTTACTACGCAACATTGCAATAGTCGTTACAAAACTCAAGTAAGACCTCAAAATGGTCAATAGCCTAATGCCAGCGTTCTGAGCCCCCAACGGATTCGACGAATAAGCCATTTCCGAGTTACAAAAACTCTATTTCAAAACGAGGCTAAGGGGAAAACCTTTCTTATGAACGACTTGTATTTGCACGAGAATAAAGAATCATTTTCATATCAATAGCTTCGCACTTAGCCTCGCTTTCAAACGGAGACTTGCGGCAACCCGGAAATGGCTATTACCGGAACTGCGTTTCGAATTTCCTTTCAACCTGATTGGCCAATCGATCAATGACTTTTTTTAACAGGCCGATCATGGCGCGTACTCAAATCTTGGTAAACAGCTGGGAGCCCAGAACAAAGACTTCGGCGCTGGCTCGCAGACGAACTTAACCAGGGGTATAGTTTCATCTGTAGCGCAGGTTAATAGCTCACTGGTAAGCTGAATTCAAATTCCACAATGTACGTCTCATTAGTCTCGTATGATGACGGGAATTCTTCTCTCTTTAATGACTCTGGTGAGAAGATTTTTTGCTCCATCGCCATAATCGCAATCCTTGAGCGAGATGGAAGAAAAGAGTGTTCAGCCAACTCACCTCAAACAAGATGTGGTTTTATTCCATCCGTACATAGACCTTGTAAAACAAAATTCCCTGAAATGCGACGACTCAAGGCAGTGCGTTCTTAGAGCTGGTTCTAGTCCCAGGCCCACGATACCAGCAAATAACACGCCGGCGCTTGGTCCCACTGAGAGAAAAGCACGCGAAAATGCCTTGCCTTTTTCGTCGTTTTGTCCACGAGCGGTCACCACTAGATAAGTGTTAAGGTATAAACTTCCCGCTAAAAGCCCGACAACAAAGCAAAGCAGTAGCACTATCCAAACGCTAGGCAGAAATCGATACCACGATGCAAGAGTTAAAAAATTAAACAAGCCAAAAAGAATTATTGACAATATCCAGGTTTTTGTAATAACCAGTGCATATTGCACGTTGATGAAGGCCAAGAAAGATATGTAAGACCTGCCTATGCATTCGCCAATCATGAACACGCATGCGTAGTACACGAAGTGATTCCTAGGGTCGAAAAGTGAGTTGGGAAACGCAAGCGTTGTGACAACTCCGTTGAGAGTTGAAAACTCTGAAAAGTATCCCACGAAAAATGCAACAACGAGGTGGAAATTTTGTACAATTAAAGCCTGCTTTTCTGACCAAGTTGTTGAATTTCCTTCCGTTGAGGCATTCTCGTGAGGGAGAGAAGTATAAGCAATGTCCTGAAAGGAATCATCACCAGACGTATAATCTCTCTTTTCAATTAGTGCATAGCAAAGGAAAATGCTGAGTGGTATCCAAGAAATCAGGAGAACAGTTGTTTGTGGAGACACACAAATAACGGTTGTCATCGCTAAGAAAAAAACAAACACTTGTTGTTAGTTTAACATGTCGTATCATCTGAGGATCCGCCCAGGTGGGGGGGTGAGGGGGAACTCCCATATGAAAGGGGCGGGGATGCTCGTTGTCTCGCTTAGGGGTGTAAATTTCGGATTTTGGTCTCACTCGGGGTGTTCCGGGCAAAACACCATTATATTTAGCCGTAAAGGTCTCTTTTGAGGTTACACGCGAAGAAATATAAAAAATAATAATATATATTTTTTTCAATTCGTTTTATTTACTCGATTCATGTAATCAAAGTTTAAAATGGTCTCTTTTCTGGGTCTAAAAAAGGTTGGGCCAAGCCCAGATTAGTCTCCTTTAGGGGTTCAACTCAAAATTCCCGACGAGCATCCCGCCTCTTTCATATGGGAGCCCTCCCTGGAAGGGTCCCCAACAGGTTTTTTTAAGATGAGGGGTTTGCCGTACTTGAATGCCAGGATTCGGGATTTTACAGCAAAATTGGGGCGACGTTCGGGATTAAGAGTAGTGCAGTGGACGCGGGACGCGGGACGCACGACGCAGAACCTCGAATATAACCATCGGGTTTACGGGACTGAACAAAAATGTGGGTCGGAATGACGGGATTGTAAAACCCTATTGAAGACCCCCTACTTACTTGAATACCGAGATTTGCGATTTTACAGCAAAATTGGGGCGAGGTTCGGGATTGAAAGTAGGGGACGCGGGATACGGGGCGCCAAAAATAACCATCGGGCTTACGGGGCTGAACAAAAATGCGGGTCGCGATGCCGGGCTTAATTGGGGACCCTTTTCCTGAATCTTAACATTTCTACTTAACGTTCGCATTGTGTTTTATATGGTTGGTTTGTTCTCCTTTCGTTCGCATCGATAAGTTACTAAGCAGGCCAGTAACCGTTGTTATTTACAACGTAAGCATTGTTCCTTGTGATATTTTTACAGTTATCGCTTTGATTTATGATATTTAAGGATGTTTTATTGGTACGTATGTTACGTGAAATGTGCAAGCTTTATTTGTAGTAGGTCCTTTTCGAATGTTGACGCACGCGCCTTAGTCTGATTTGGTAAGTTCTCTCTTTTGCTTAAATATAGCCGACGTTCGATATATAGAGAATATTACACGGTGGCGAGAAGATATGAATTTTATGTTCGCTGCGCTCACTCGTGAGATATTGCTCTTGCCACGAGAACATAAAATTCATATCTTCGAGCTAACGTGTAATATTCTTTTTATTATATAAACATACGGATGACGGCGTTTTTGATGATTTTCCGAAGATTTCCGACCACCTTCCGAAGATTTCCGAAGATTTTTCAAATTGTCCCGATGACCAGACGAACGTTCCCGAACATTTTCCGAGAATTTCCGAAGATTTCCGAAGATGTCCGAAGATTTCCGAAGATTGCCGAGCACTTTCGAGAAAGACCCGAAGATGTTTCGATGATACACCAACGAATTTAAGTACAATTTAAGAGACAAACCTGATGTCAGTGAAATTATCGATATCTTCACATGTAAAAATATCGTATTTTTACGTGTGTTCAGATAACACATTTCTCGGTGGTAGTAATAAATAGAGAATACTTCATGGAAAGTGCTGGCGTACGGTATTTACGCACGAGTTGTTGACGTATCAGAAATCGAACGAGTGAGCGCAGCGAACGAGTAAGATTTCTGATACAAAAACAACGAGTGCGTAAATACCGTACAAAGCACTTTCCATGTGGTATTGTGTTTATTATATACATACTGAGACATTCATCATTTTGGCGGCCTTTTTATTTTAAATCTTTCAAAAATTTGCCGCTACACACTTACCGCAAAATGACAACGAAAACGAAGTACCAGCTTTTTAGTAAAAACGTTTGTTAAAAACATAAAGGACGGTAAGGATACGAGGTAATCCAAGAACTATAAGTTATCTTAACTGTTTGTTCTCAATGCACAATTGAAAATGAGTGAATTTAAGGAAAATGGCCGGTTTGAATATTATAAGCATAAGCTAAAATGAAAGGCAAAGTAGCTCCGACAAAAAGCACAACAAAAGCTTACGTCTCGTTCTGTTTTTCCCTTTCCGTTGTTGTTTCGCCGGCTCTCTACCGTTTTTTTCATCGACAGTGAAAGAAACGAAACTATTCCACTCCATTTCCGAAATGTTTGTCACTTTTTTAGCGAGAAAAACTCTTTGAGTAAAACTTTTCTCGTTGAATGTGTGCGAAGCGGCGCTGCAAGCTGCAATTAAAGGCGGGAATTTTGGCGCGAAACTCACACACCTCTGTGGCTTCTGATTGGACGTATCATTTTTCTCACACGTGAAAAAACATCGTTCGCGATTCTGATTGGACGTATCATTTTTTTCACGAGTGAAAACCATCGTTCGCTCCTCTGATTGGCTAGAACTAATTTGCGTACGCAATTTACGACATAGCTTTTTGGTGAGTATTTCTCAGTATGTATATAATAAATAAAAATTCTAACTTGACCCCAAGGCTTTCTCAACTAGGTCATTTTTCTACATTTGGTTTGGTTTTCTTTGTGCTCAAGTCTCTTCTGGGAATTAAGAGCCAAGGGAGTATTGACAAAATTGCTTTTTTGTCCCTAACACTCGGAGGACAGAACGTGAGAAATTAAAACTGCACAATTATTTACTCAGTTGATTTAAGATCATTTAAGCGGTTGGAACAAAGAAAAACGTTGGTTTCTATCAATTGACTTTTTCCTGACCAGTTCGAGTTGTCAGGTACTTTAAGGGCGCCATGGAAATACTGTTTTTACAATTCTTTTCGGCCTCTAGGCCGTTTATTGAACTGGCCTGCTTTGTTTGGAGGTTAAAAAACCTGTTTTTTGGATCGTTTAGCTTCTTTCGCATCATTAAATGTAATTATCCTTGATTGTTTGAAAACAGGTGTTAACTAAACTTTCTTGTAACATATTCCTAACTAATTGGTTTTTCCTTGCAAACTTGTAAACCAAGAGAGTTAGTGTATGGAAAGGATGGGATTAATTAGTAATGTTACGATATTCCAAAAAGAGGGCTCCAAACGACAACTTTGGCACAGTACGCAAATTGACAAAATGTACTTTTGGTTGTAACGGTATTGTACATAGCTCGGATTTTTACTCGCACGAACATTCTTTGCTATTTTCATTTTATTCTATTTTGACTGGACATTTACTGGACCTATGTGAATTTTGGTGTGAAAGTGGATTTTCTCATTACGCCATTACCTCGAAGGAAAATATATATGTTAGTAATTGTTGCGGCCAATGGGATTTACATTGATGTAAGATGGTGCCGAATTTAAATGAGCCGGGATTGACACCCTTTAAGTCCAGTCAGGATAAAAGGAGCCTGAGTGAACTTGTCGGAGAGATTCACTGAACTAGTCTTGTGCTAGATCGTAAAGTTATTGCTAGACTGAGAAGTCATTTAATCGGCGTGAACGAGACGTAAAGTCAAGTTGTCACATATCATTGAACATGGGCTTCCTGTCCCCTAAAAGGTCCTTTACAGTTTTCATGTTAGGCCCACGCAAGCACTCGTAGAAAAATGACGCAGCTCAGCATGGAAAAGTCAGCATGGAAAATGCTGGCTGAAAAAGTCGGTCAACCAAATTCTTACAAACACAAGAACAACAAACAAACAAGGGAGTAAACCAACTGAGAACGGTTCAAGTGGGTAGTTTCCCAGAAACCTAAATTATTGATCCAACGGTTCATCCCAATAAAACACGACCATGATCATTTGCATTTATTTTTGTCAACTTGTAGCTGTCGATTGGTTAATTTGCATCATTCAGTTTGAACACCCCTGCGGCACCGTACCGTTTACACAGCTGTTGACGCCCATGAATTTCTCCTGCCGATTTTTACCGCTCTCGCCCTTCTTTTTCTCAGAATAACTTCCAAATAATTGAAAATTACTTCTTTTTTTCTTAACTTATAAGGATAGATGTATGAAAGTCGAAGCTTCCAGGATGTTAGGCCCCGTTGAAAAACACTTCTCTTCTTCGGTGGTACTATTTGACCACTGTACACAACTGTAATTGATCGTTCTGTGAATTTTGAGCCGTCTGTGGATGACCAATCGGAAATTACTACTCTCCCTTCATGTTTAGTACTCTGTAGGAAATAATTCTGATTTTTGCGTCTTGGTTTTAATTGCTTTAAGATGATCTTCGATCAGGCGATAATTCGTTCAGAATAAATTTGTTTTAAGGGAATGGCCGGTAAATACAAAAGTGCCACCTGCAAAACAGAAATTTATAGAGAGCGGCTAATTAAACTGCCAATTTTTACCCGATCGGAGGTTACTCGTACCTATTAAGCGGTCACCTTACCTGTATAGTAGAGAGGTCCAATGATGAATCCTATTCCAGTACCGGCAGCGTACGCACTCATTGCACTGTCACCGTAGAGAGCAGTCAATGAAACAAACGTAACTTCGCCGATTGCAACGCCAGTAGAAACAATCACCACTCCTACTATCCGAATCACTACATTCTCAACTAAAGAATACAGTAATACTCCGATAATGCTAAGAAACACGATTGGCACTAGAAGGAAGGTTTGCGGAAGTTTCAGGATAAAATAGGGCAAAGCAGATGTGATAAAGAAAAATGGCAGCGAAGCAGAAATTAACAGTGCCGGTGTAGGAACCAATGTCTCCTCCAAGATGTCTTGAGAGGCTGAGATCCCGATGGAGAAAAAAATCTGAAGGATAAAACCAAATATCCCGAAAATAAATACGTCAAGTGGCTTCTCGCCTTTTGACGGGGCAAATGTTTGACAATTGTCAGTGTCGTGAACACCAGCAGCGGTCGGGTAACTACTCAACGGATTCGCCTCTTCGTCAAGGTCTTCCATTTTCGAAGAATTTCGGCTTCACGCGTTGGCGATTGACGTAACTGGCAAGCTTCGTTCAAGGTGATTTTATCAGCATCGATCAAAGAAGATAATTCTCACCACATTTCTAACATCTGGCCGACGCAGAACGTAAAGTATTAAATTCGTTTAGCAAAAAGAGCTTGTAATATTAATGATATTGAATCAAGGTTTTGCGCCTATGGCTATTGTGTTTATGCATGTTGTCTTAGGTCAATTCAGCCATGCATTCCACAATATTTTGACAAGTTTTAACGCTTGGGTGGTCATACTGAACTCCTTGCGTGCTAGTTGCTGATTATTTGGTTTTGCGGTCGATTTATTTCACCGAATAGTTCTACAAAAAGCTGGACTTAACCAAAAAGATAACTATGTCATCTTTATTGGGGGAATCAATTGTCGAATTAATAAATGTTGGTAAAATTTAACTTCAACTTCTTTCTTGGCATTTGAGTCACTGCGACATTGCTTTAAAGATCAGATTCTAAAAGAATAATCATGAGATCTTGTTTCATTTTATTTTTTCAAATCTCTTAGTGAACATCAAGAGGAGGTTGTACAATGCGAATTACGATTATTTGAAAGGAAACCAAAATCAAGAAATTTCATCATTTCTTTAAAAAAAGAAATATTTAAAGCTCTGAGACGGGAAGAAATTGAAAGACCAATTTTTACAACTGCCGAAACTAACAATAATTTTTTGGGGGTGCTGCCGGGAAGAATTTGAAAATTTACTGCTGTGCAGTTAAGATTGCATAGAATTGTCGCAGAGGACTAAAAAAAGACAAAAAACAAACAAAACAAAACCAAAAAAACATAAACAAAAACAGGAACAAAGAAACAAACAGATGAACGAACAACAAAATCGCCAACTTTCACAAGGCGACTTGAAATCGGAGTTGTCATAGAAACGGATCGAGTCGCTACCTATTTTGCTTGCAGCAGTATTTCTTGGCTCTGGCATGTTTTTTTAAAATTATTTTTCCAAAATCGTTTACGAGAACCTCAAGAAGGATTGGAACGTCTTCCCATGATGCTTAGCGTAATATATAGATCTATCCAGGGCTAAAATCGAAGTGTAAGGAGAGATTATCCATGTATTCTTTATTTGCCTCGAATGTCTTATCTAGCTTTTGAATATTCCCTTTGAAATTGTTCTAGCCGTAATTTACATTGAATTTGCATTGAGATGTTTTCGTTCTTTCAAATTATACACATTTCGCTTCAATGTTGACTTTTAAAAGGATAATTTAAGTTTCTGAATAATTATACAGCTTAGTCGCCCGTTCAAATACCAACCGTGCGCGTTTTAGTTTTTAGTTTTCACATTTTAAGGAATCCTTAGCGAAGGAAGCTCGATTTCTTTGTAAATTTCTCAGATTCACTTGCTTGACTGACATTTAATTTTGAGTCATTTAGTTTAACATATGAATTTTAAAGCTGAATTTGTGCAATAAATTTATGAATTTACGTTTTCGGTGTTCAGCTGATTTTATTCAGCCTTATTTTCATTTGTTTTGTGATGTTGTAATAAGTTGATCGGTTAGTATAAATACAGCACTGTTATCCCTGTTTTTCGATTTACATTGCTGATTTACATGCTTGTACGATTCAGTTACATTTTGGATACCCATGGATGTATGATTTACGTCCGCGAGCTGAAGATTAAAAAACTGTTGAAGTCCAAGTTTGAGTGCTGTCCTGTTTTCCAGTTGTAGCAGATCCTAATACCGTGGAACAGTGACGAGTTCCTTTCCCGCTAGCCAAGCGAGTTGCAGAGTTAGTTTTCCCCCTTGTTGTTCACACGACGAAGTCGCTCGAATTCTCTTTTCGCTTATTTTCGCCGATTTGTGCTTGGAAGGCCAAAACCTATCGTCACAGAAGCTCTCTTTAATAGACCATTTTCGATATATTAAAATCCATACTTGGCTCTGAGGTTTGGGGAATAAAACAAAAGAAATGTATTATTCATTATTGAGCCTCAAGACGAGTTCTTTTGTTTTATTCCCCCAAGCCTCGCAGCCAAGTATGAATTTTAATATATCTGGACTGGTCTATTGCGTTCGATGTGAAGAGAACGCAACCTAAGCAAGAACATTTTGCTGCATGAGAGAAACTCGGTTTTGTGGTCGGGTCAAGAACCGGATGCGGAAAAACGTCATAGATTGGTCCAGCATGGTGCGCACGCAAATGACCAGCGCGCACCTCGTGTAGTTTACTGAACTGAAGATTAAAGGCGCTCTTTTTTGTGCGCGGGTGCATAAAAAGCACGGAGTTATTATTTGGGTTCGGATTTGGAGTCGTTTTCGAGGTGGCTACGAAACTCCATCAGTGTACGCCTCTTTTGAGAATTGGCTTATGGACTATTATAATTCTCCTTCTTCCAAATACTGTATGCCGTGAATGCTTGCAGTCGCGAGTCAAGCAAACAACAAAATCTTGCTCCCGTGTCTTACAGATTCCGTCAACTCTCGGGATCCAAACTCATTAAATACAATGTAGAAATCGAAATCTAAAGAAAGGCAGTAAAGAATTTGGGCCGCAAACTGGGTCCCAGTTTCTTTCAGTCCCTTTACAAAAATAAAGAGAGTTTTCTGTAATACTTTCTTCGAAAAACAAATTTGGATCGTTAATGTGAACATTGCACACATAAATGATATTCATCCTTGGGGAAACTTTTTAGGTCAGGGTCTCTGATCTGAAGAGACTGTAAACTTTGTTGAGGCCCATACTTTACTTTTGAAATTTGCGTCTAAAGTTTTTTTTCAATTTCTTTCCATGTCTAGGTTTGTACACTTCCGCGGCATTGTTGGCAACCAAATCATAACTAGTTAGTTGTTTAATGACGTATTAATTGCAACTTTGATGACGCCAGCATGACGTCAATACATTTAAGGTCAACTGTTATCACACTTAAGAGTTTATTGCATTTGAGACCAAATGATATTACATTTATGACCATTAAATTTAGGGTCATTTATTACATTTAGGCCCTCTACAGCTTGTTCTTCCAGCGGCTGCCTCAGTTTTTGCGTGACTGGTCGTGGCGGGACAAAATACTCAGCGACCCCCAGCGAGGCCAAAAATTAAATTTATCGTGAATCAAAGTAAATCTATTATAGTTATAGTCTCGATAAAGCCTTTCATTTGTCAGAGTTTCAAGCAAAATTGTTTTTCTTGCGAAATTGAGTGTTTCAAAGTTTCCCATGATTCAAAAGAAGGGGCAACGAAAAATGCTTGACAACTACAGACCAATTTCAATATTACAGGACTGTGTTGTCCTTTGTAGATTACCCAAATGAGTGGTATGTCAACGTGGGCGGATCACGACCTTGCTATGGTTGTTTTGTTATATCTTAAAAAGACGTTTAATACCGTGAACCATGAGATACTTTAAAAAAAATTCATGGGATTTGATTGACTAAGACCAGCTGTGTCCTATTTTTCTTAAAGACTAAAAGAAAGTCGTATCTAAAATTTATCTAATTGGTAGTCTTTAATATAGCTTTGCCAGCAAATACAGATTAGCCACCAGCGATATAATTAGCATTAAAACTGGCTGGCAACAAATAAGCTGAGCCTTAACATAGCTAAAACTGAATATACTTTTTAATTTAGCTCCAAACCAAAAAGAAATGCTCTTCCAGATCAACCACACATTGAGAATGATCCTGTGGAACGAGTCCACAACTTCGAAATTCTTGGTGTACATATCGATGAAACTCTTACAAGGAAAAACACATCGATAAAATAACAAAGAAAATCTCTCCTGCAATCAGTGCAATCAGGAGATTAAAGGATTTTGCGTGAAACATTAGCGTCTGTGTAGAATGCTTTGCCTCACCTTGACTATGGCTGCGAAGTTTGAAAACCACTTGGGGATGGCCTTGCCCGAGATTTCAGAGGCTCCAGAATACTATAAGGTGTGCTAGGGTGATTATGAATTGCAGAAACTAATCTGGCTAATCAGAAATTTGCTATGCAGGCTCTAGGTTGGATCACTCTTTCCCGAAGAAAAAGCCGAAAACAAAGCTAAAGTCATTTTTAGAATTCTTCGTGGCTTGGCAATTGCCACGCAACCGATGGTTAAATTGCAATCTTAGAAATACAGCGAAAAAGGTTGCCCTTCATCTACCCAAAAGAGCTTTAAAAGAAGAAGAAGAAAAATCAAACAACAGCTCGAGTTACAGTGGAACCAATATATTGAATGATTTAACAGGGGAGATTCCAAGTTGTGATCATGAGAACCTCGCGTCTCTTAAAACTAAAATCAAATCCCACAATCGGTCTTAATTAGAACATACATTGTAAATAGGTAATATGTTCCATTAGTATTTTTTATTATTTTAGGTAGTATACATTCTATTACTCTCTTTTAGAATACTTAATGTATAGAATATAAAGTTTACAATATTTGGGGTGTCAGTAAAACGAGGGGTCGGGGTCCGGAGCCGAGTTCGGGGTCTATCTTTTCTTTTCTTTCTTTTTTTCCAAGAATGCTGTTTCAGGGTTCGGATTAGGGTTAGGATTAGTGTAAACCCTAACCCTGAAAGCTAACCCTAAAACAGAATTCTTAAAAAAAAAAAAAAGAAGAAGATAAACCCCGACCCCAGCCCCAGCCCAGCCCCGGCCCCGGCCCCGGCCCCGCAGGGAACGCCTGACACAATGAGGCACTGACGCATGAACTAATTGTTAAGTGTAACCCAGGCTTTTTACTGATTGATTTGAGAAAAAAAAAAAAACATGAATATAAAATGACCAAATGGTACATACTGGGCTCAATTTTTAACGGTGTTGATTTCTATCTGAATTTCACATCTTGCGGATTTGTTTACTTTCAAAGCATCGTTTTACAGACTGATCAATTTTTCTATCACAACTACCTCGAGTTTTAATTAGAATTGAACAATCTAAGTAATTCAAAGTGGCGGATCCATGATGGCTCACGCTTCAAGATCCTTCTTTGATATCTGCTATTTTTAACCATTATTAATGTGTAAGCCAACTTCTTGATTTTGTAAGACACGTCATATGAGAATTTTTCGCTTCGACGGGAAAAAGTTTGGAGTTTGGATTCTTGCCATTCCAGTCCCTCTAAATCTTTCCCATCCCCCACCAAGATAGTAGGACGCAAAAACGGCCGCTCTGAATAAAGTTAACCTAATACTGCACGTTTCCAGAGAGACTCAAAATATAGCGATAAGTCACCTGGTACACTTTCTTTAACCTCACTCACGATTTCGTACCTTTGCATCCGGCCACCAAGATGCTTTAACAGACCTGGCATACCTACTTGTTTACAACATACTGAAAGCTTGCATTTCCACTTTTCCATAACTTTAGTAAACTTGACTGCATGAGAAATAAGATTTTGGGAAAAGCAAGCTGAATATGAAATATGCCACCCAACCATAGCTGGTCTTGGAAATCATTTCTCGGAATGCGGTGCCTGGTTGGAGCTACATATACTTTGCGTTGCCAGGGCGATTTACGCTTCTTTCTTCTATGATCAAGTTGTGCAGGAACTGCAGCTCAGATGATATTTCAGTAAACTGGACTTTAATGTCTTCAAGGAATTTATACTCCTTTTCTTCAATGCTATCTTCAATACCAGATTGTTTTGGGTTGGCCGGTGAAGAAGTTTTAATGTTTTCATGGAATGTATATTCCTCTTCATCGTTGATATCTTCAATATCGGATTGTTCTGGGGTGGCCAGTGGGGGAATCAAGGTATTTTTCTCGGCGTCAACGTCATCTGGGCTGTTGAACATACCAGAATACTCTTTTCTTTGACAGAAGATCGGGGGTGTACTCTTTCGAGAAAGCTTCACTACATGGAGTAACCTGGCTGGAAAAGCAATGAATTTGCTTAAGACGGTTTTGTACACAAGCCGTCCAAGTTCTGCATCTGAATCTTTAGAACCACACTCCTTTTTCCTGACCTCTCCGTAAGGCAAGACCAAAATAGCCACAAAAACGTTGATCAAAATAAAGGACATGACAATAAAAAAGAAACACATGTAGAAGTACGCCAGGGCTGGATTCATCTCATGCATTTCACTATTGCCGACTGATTTGCCAATCACCTGGTAAAAGAGCACCTGCAGACAATTGGTAAACGAAGAAAAGGGGGCCAAATAAGGCCCAAATGTCAGGTACAAAAATTGTGTAAATGCAACACAAGCAACGAAAAACAGGACAGAAAACGATAGAATCGGTCGAGCGGAAGTCTCAAGTGTGCCGTACATTTGGCCAATGTGAGGATTAAAGCGAATGATCCTCAGAAACTTCAACGTTATTAAGAACATTGCCAGTGATAGCAGCAGTGTTTCCAAGTCCAGCAACTTTATAATAACATCAAAACTGAACGACTCGTATGGGTTTTTCTGTATCCTCTTTACACACTCAGAGGTATATTTTGCCTTGAGGAATGACACAGCAATTGCTGCTATGGAGATCAAAATAACAAGTAATTCAACCCAGTTCCAAAAATGACGAAAATACTTTCTCTGGCGAATCCACTTCACCATCTCGCAAATAAAAAATACCACAATTACGACAAGAAGAAAAAGTTGGCATGCCTCATAGAATGACTGTAAACGATGATTTGGCGACGGATACAGCGAAATTGCTCTCACGTTTGCCAAAGTGACAGCCTTGCCAGATGGCAACACTTCAAAGGCATTTCTGACGTCGCAGAAAAGCCACGTCGATGGATTAAACAGCGTAAACTCTATAAAGACAGCAGCAGTACGTTCATCAACCCAATCGTACTTCTTAAGTTCTCGTACTACGATTGAAGCGGTTGTAAAGTTGTAGCCTAAATCAGCTACAAAGCCACCGCCATCATACTTCCCTTCCACAGCGTAGTGAGAAAGAGTATTAATCTCTGAGGCACTTTGGTATATCCATGGTTTCTGATAGATGTTATGATAGATAGATTCAAAATGGCTGTAGTTTTCCAAGCGGCTCCACTTTGGACCATGAAATGAAGTTGTGTCCTCGGTATCACTTGAATATGTTTGATGACAGCTTCTGTAAACGTCTTTAATGGCTATCCTTAATACATCTGCAGAACATCCCTCATCTAAACAAAAGCATAAATTTCATTGGATAGCGTTCATCACTATTAAGGGGGCTTTGTTTTCTCAATGAATATTTTTTTGTAACGCGCAATAGGACATTCTTTTTTCGTTTATCATCATTAATGACTATTTAATTAATGGGTTCCTGGGAAAACAACAAATCTGAAGTAACTCATAAAAATACAGTTGGCAATCTTGGGGATTTTTGAGATCAGAAGAGCGACTTTTATCCACATTTGTCTCCCAAGCAGGAAAGAGTTAAATATGTCGACTGAACCTGTCAGTACTATATTGGCCTTACTTTAATAACGATGGGGTTAGAGAAACAAGATAACGCAATGGTGAGAGCAGTTGCCTCTTACCAATTAGGCCCAGGTTCAATTCCAGTAAATGAAGATGTAACACTGCTAATGTAGAATGAAGTTGTTTTTTATTCACTCCCTTGGTCGGATACGGTTTTTTTTTTCTATTTTTTGGTTCTACCCCTCTCCTCGAAAAAAGAGAAAGATTTATAAATTCCAATAATTCGGTGCAATATTTAATACACATAGACCAAGAGGCTCTTATTGATAATCAGCATTGCGGGCGCTTTTTTTGGCAAGCGAAAGCTAATTGTTTTTATTCCTACTGCCGTAGCCGCAATCTCTGATTTTATCACTGAGAAAGATTAACCAATTCCTAGACTTTTTTAGAATTCAGCATGGTGGCTACGCGAGCATAAACTCGACTTTTAAACACTGCGTCAACGAAGCTCTGAAGTACCCTAAATCTACAGTCCTGGTCAAAACGGTTTGGCTGGATACTTTGTCTTTCATTTACAGGATTTGAAATCAAATTTAATCCACTCTACGTCTGGACAGTCTGTGTTAGGTTTAAGATCTAGAAGGTAAATAACATTTCACGATATCTTGTGCAAGTTATGGACCTCAACTTTTATCAGAGGCGTTGAGGAGAAATTCTGACCTTTCAAAGGTAATGTTTATAAGTTTGAGTTGCAGGCTTGCTGCAAATTTCGTGTCCCAAAAGCTTTTGGCAGGACTGTAGATAGAAACCTAAGTTACTTTTCTTTAGCCTCAATTGTCTCAGCCGTGGCATTCCTAACATAAAGGCTTTTTTGTTGCTTATGAATCCTTCTTTGTACTCAAATAGCTGCCCGTTGTACCATGTAGTGTTGTACAGGCTAGGAAGCAGGTCATTCTCAATCCATGTCCACAGAGAGTCCTTACTGTCCACCTGATAACGAAGCAGCGATTATTAAATTATTAAACATAGCAAGTAGTTAGGTTATGCTTTTTTACAGAAGGTAGTGGGCGGTGGTATCAATGCCAGTCCATTGCTTTGGTAAAATCGAGCATTACTTGCTATGGTAACCTACAACATGAAATTATGTTACAGTACTGTACAATACCGCAAGTGATCCCCAACCGCAAATGATCCCGAGACGGCAAATGATTCCCAAAATGGACCGCAAATGATCCTCGACCGCAAGTGATCCCCAAAGTTGACCGCAAGTGATCCCGAAAGAAAAATAGGAATGGCTTAGACTCGAGTTAGTGGATCATCGTGTCTATTTTATTATTATTACAAAAAGTAAGATTAAACGCTAAATTTCAGTTCTAAAATAAATACATGAATAAAAACTAAATGAAAAAATCATTCAAGTGTAAAAACGAAGTCGGTAGGCAACACACGACTTTTAACTCATGCCAAAATGCTGCTTGTGCCAATGAATTTTCTCTCTGGCGGGTAGATTATACCTCTGAAGGAAAACGTTTTGTTTGAGCAAATGTGATTTTTGCCGCTTATTTCATACTGAGAGGTCATGACACGCATTTTCGGCAGTTATTGTTGTTTCTGGTCGGCATGATTTGTCCTTTAATGCAAGAGCATTTCCTTTGACCTCTTTTCCAATGCAATGCTTTTCATTGCGGCTAAATAAGGGTTTTAGGTTGTTTAATTTTCTTTAAAGTGCCTCATGGATCCGAATAATTATAAGCGACTTTTTTTTTTAGTCCGTGAATGTGACGGTTCCTACGATGTTTTGTCACTCGATAACTACCGCTTGCCTCGCTTTTGCGTTTCTCATTACCAGGTTTAGATTCTTGGTAACTGTCTCCAGCAAAGACACAACAAATGGATATACATATAAGCGTCAATATAACTATTCGCAACATGTTCATGAGCTGTAAGCAAGGTGCTCTTTCAAAATAAACCGAAACCTGTGGACATTGATAAGTTCGGGGGCATTTTGACGTGTGTTTATTTCAAATCATGTCTTGTTTCGTAACGGGCACTCCCAGGCCTGGGACACTCCTAAGTTACGAACCAATGTCTTGCTGTTTATCACGTAAAATTAACACTTCAGAGAAAAATCAAAACTAAATATTCTGAAAATTAATTGGACACTTCTAAAAAGATCAGTAAAGTCAATAAAGCTCTTGTTATGTAGAGGGTGCCCGGCTTTGTATTCCTCAGTAGACAAGTTGAGCTTGGGCGTTAAAATAATAGAGTTTTTTCTGCGTAACTGTCTTAAATTTTCAGCGACGAAACAGTTCTTTAAAAGAAAATTACAATTGACAATGGAAGGTTTGTTGATACCATATCCTTTTCAGATTTATTTCTTTTTTTTTTTTTGGGTAAATTGACCTGAAGCGTCCTCCTTCCCTTTTTTCTTTAGAAGGCGCGAGAAAAAGGTTCCCTTTGTTATAAAGTAATCACATAAAATCCATTCCAAAGTTTTGGATCATCAACTTTGGGGATCACTTAGTCGAGGACCAGTCCATTTTGGGGATCATTTCTTATTCGCAACGAAAGGTAAATGTTCTATGATGTGTTGCCGTTCTTTACCTTGTATCTCTTACGATACTCTACCAGTATAGTTCAAGTGTAAAGGTTTGATTAAGTATGGTCAAGAGACTATTCCCCAAAATAAATTCGTCTCGAAAATGGAAGAACTGCTGTCATCGCATCATTTATAATTTACAGTTTATTTCTGGTTTGATGTTTTTTTTTTCAGTCGCATTTATGTAACGACAGTTGTAAAACAGTTACAAACAGTGAACAAAAAATTAATGACAGAACATCTTGAACAACATTGTAACAGAGAAATTAACAATAGATAAAGATTAACTAGGGTCTGGACGACTCCGTGTCTTAATTTCCAAAGTGAATGTGGCGGTTTTTTTGAACATCTTTTCCTCCCCCTCCGCATGTACAACGTTTCATAAATAAGGCAGTGACATCTTCCGTAATGAACAACTCTTACTGGAGATTTGATAACGTAAGGCTATGCACTGTTGTTGGAAAGTATTCCATAGAAGAATTTTCACCTGCGTCAATTCCTATGATTTACGTTTGAAAACGACGAAAGGATTACAGCAAATCGTCAAATTAAACTTGTGTTGGAGACTTTTCTGTTGAGTTACAGGAATTACACAAAAACAATTGTTGCTCTCTCCACAACACTAGAATCCCGCCATAACGAATACTATTAATAACGAAACACAGGACAACAGACGGCACTGTTTGTCCCAGTTCCACAGCTGGAAACTATCAAATCGTACCGAATTCTGAGTGACCCGATATAATATACCCTTGTTATAATGAACATTAGTATTTACCAAATCAGTGAATAGCAATTTTCGCGCGTATTGATTGACTCTTGTAACTTGGAATATCCTTGGCTATTCACTGTTTTGCGACCAGAGTGAAGCTGGCGTCTCATTTCCAGACGTTTTTGAAAGACGGCTTTTGAGCGATAAATGAAGCAGTCGCACAAAGAAATACCAAAAAAGCGACGAACTTTGGCTTGTTGGTGTTAACTGGTAGGTGGAAAATTATTTCCATGCTGAATTTGCGACAAAATCGTAGACACCTACTTTACAAAATCCCCGAAATGTTTGTAAATTGGAAACAACGTTCCAACTAATTCTCGGCTTGCACTGTCACGCAATGAAAAATAAAAATGCAAACCATTCAGTACAGAAGGACTAGAATCTGGTAAATGAAAAAAGATAAATATATAAAAACCCTTGCCAAGAATCAGGTCTGTGAAATATTTCAAATGCGAGATATTGGGAAAATCGGTTTACCTAAATTTATAAAGCTTAAGCTTTGTATGGAAACGCCATGTTGGTGTCCCTTTCAGGAACACCAATATGGCCGCCGGATACCAACAGAAACATCTGTTCTCGAGTTTTCCTACTAATGCGTGAATTCTTCGCATGAGGAACTCATAAAGATCGCAGTAATATTTATTCTGAGACAAGAAATGTTTAGATTGCAAAATCTCCCAAAATCGGTAATGTTTCTAACCCACATAAGAGCTTTCCCGGCCGCCAGCAAAATGCCGCGTCACGCAAAAGCCTGGAAATTCAAGCGTCCTCTCTCGCAAAACGAAGAACCCTTTCGAACCAAAAATTTGTTTATGTAAAGATGTTTAGGTACTGTAACACCTCGTGAAAGTAGAAACTCAGAAGAATCGATAGTTTCTTAGTTTGATTTTTGGTGACGTCACGTGCAACCCAATTTTAATGTACAAAAAGTTTCTTTTTTTGTTTTTACCCAACTGATCTGATAAATACTAAAACAACTATCCCCCTCAGGGTCGGAGAACAGCGCTAGATATATACCTCGACGCTTCGCGTCTCTGTATATACCACCACCACTATTCACCTCTCCTTCGGGGGATAGTTGTATAATATTTCCTTCTCCTTTAAATTAACACCTCGTTATATCGGGATTCCAATGTATAAAGAAAGCTTTTCCCAACCCCCTGGGAACCCTTTAATCACCTCATTAAAGTCACCAAGTATGCTGATCGTGGAATTGGTGAGTTGGAATCGGGATGGGTCCTGAGCTCCATAACACACAAACATGAGGAAGATAGTTAAAACCACAAATGATAGAAATTCTTTCAAAGCTTGAGCCATGTACCACTTTTTACTGTAGAATTCTTTTTCAGCTTCGTTGTCTTCGGCAGGCATGGCTTTGACGTTATTTACCTTTGGGCTTTGAAAAAAAGATGGCCCTACGACAGTTTCATGCTCTGGTGGCTTTTTGATTAAAAGTGATAGCACTATCGCAAAGACTACCAATTTGACAGGCTGATTGATAAGGATATCCTGAAAAGTGGACACCAGTATAGATGTCAACCATGGGTTGGACTTATCTGCCCCCCATGTGAGGCTATATAACACGGTAACGGTGGCTCCAGTCAGAGCAATGGCAAGACAAAACAACCAAGCGATGTAAAGAAAAAACGGTGGCAGGAAACCCCGAGTCTTTGTTTTCTTACTTCCCTCTACTGTATCATAGAATTCACCACTTGATCTTATGTTCTTGAACATTAACGTCACGAGTAAGTTAGGTGGGATGGCTATCAGACTGCTTTGAATTCCGATTTTGACTTGTTTCCAGCTCATGACCAGGGGACCAAATTTGAAGGTGTCAGTCTGGGTATTACCGAATTCATAGAAGGCAGCGTTGGTAGCCATGGCTGTGAAAAGAAGAGAAAGGCAGCATGATAATCTCTGGCATCGCGTAAACGGGTTTTGTGGAGGTCGTGTGAACAATGAAATCCAGATATGTCCCTCGCTTAAGTTTCGCGCCGTTCTTCCGTAACAAAGAGGTTTAAATAAGGAACGTCCGTCCTTATTCGCGGGTTCAAGATAGACCTCAACAGAACCACTTCTTTTGTCGAGCGAAAGCCACCGATTGGCAAAAAAGAACCAAGTTTCCTCTGTTTGCTGGTTTGTTACGACAATTTCTTGAAGAAACCAGGCCGGATTGGATCCCTTGTTGTCATGCCATATAATGATATCTGTAAGGTTTCCTAACGAAGTTGTCAAAGCAAGGATGAAGTTATTGACGCTTCCACGCGAAAATAATTTTCTCCTGGCCAAAGGATCTGTCAACGAAATCTCTCCACTGCTTCCTTCTTCACCATTTATTATAAGTGCAACATTTGCAGATGTCCCACTGTTTATCCACATTCCCGTTTCGATGCTTAGGTGGTAAACGTTTTTGTCAGAAGAATCAGCGGTTGAATATAACTGAAATGGGTTATCCACTCTCTCTCTTTTTCCTTTGGTATTGTGGCCATCCATATTTAAGGATGTAGTTACGAACACATTTGCAACGACCTAAAATAAAGATTATAAAAAGTTAAGCTGATATATAAGAAGAACTGTTAAGCTGATATAAGAACAACTATTATAAGATGAAACATTTAAAGACACACACTCTCGAAGATACGCTCCTTTTTTTCTCTCTCAACAAAATAACGGCCAACATTCTTTGTAGGATACATTGGTTATGTCGCGAATTGGAAAGTTGATACGGATTAACCTCTCTTATCTAATAACGGGCACCTTAAACTTTTTTCATTGGTGTTCTTTTGGAATTTGAATTGTAACGTCATAAGTTTTCGTCCACTGATCCAGCTCTAGCCTTTCCTTAGTATTAACTCCCTCATCTTTTCGTGCTCTCCCTCTTTTTTATTAGATTAGTCAGTTCTAATGACAAGAACCACGTGAAGCCAATAACGTTAGGGTCTGAAATTCCCTGACAGGCCCAGCTTCCCCCCCCGCCCCACCCCACGCCAAAGACAAATGACACACACAATTTGTGTTTTGGCACAGAGATAAGTCATTGTTCAGTAAAACTGACAGTCGTCAAAACGATGAGAGTAATAAAACTCGCTACCATCCTCGTGCATAACAACCCAGGGTGGGTGGGTGGCAAAGCAATCCAGTAGCATGCGCCACAATCAAACGAATAACTAAAGTGAAATTTGATGAGCGCTAAAGCCTGACGGCCTAACGTCAACGTCCAAAGATTGGGACGCAATTAGCTGAACTGAGACAAGATTTTGATTCTCTGCCAGTACGATCTTAGACGCTTTTTGAAAACTCCTGTTAAAAGTGCTAACGGGTTTTGAGCTCATGACCTTCCCTCGACAGACTCTCCCCTGTTTAACCGAGCTAACTGTGTAGCGGTTTCAGTCCGGCAATCTCTATACGATTAAAGCAGCTTTTAATAAACTGGTTCTTCGTAATACTTGAAACTTTACTGACCTTCCGTTTGTCGTTATTGTCGGCTCGACGGGCAAGTACAAGACCGTTAAAGTAAATGCCAAATATAATGCACACAGTTACAAGAACGACAAAGTCGTCGGGTTCTGGATCTATGAATCGTTTCCGAACTGCTTCAAGGTCGATAGGGTTAGGAGCTACAAACAAATTGCCTCCAAATGCTGACAGGTGATTGCACAAACATTGCAGAGTACCACTGCCTTCATCCGATCCAACCTTTTAAACAGGAAACAATAGAAATTATAAGAGTCACTGAGCTTTTAGTATGGAGCAAACGCCAAAACAAATAGAATGCACGGGAAAGATCCTTTAAGTATAGGGACTTTACTAAAGTAGAAGGTCAAGTCGACAAACGAGGGGCGAAACCAAATTAGCCCAAACAACTGATTGGTCTCCACCTGGTGATATACCGTTAAAACGTTAGTGCGCGAAACTGGAAAGTGGTGAATTCGCCATATTTTATATGAAATACATAGTTTGAAATCAAACTGTCTTAGTGTAACAAGAATAATTTTGCTTGTTAACTTTTTGAAGATAGTAAATGGCGTCTTATTTGTGTTTTTTTGAACTTGGATTTCAGATCCAGTAAAATTCGCTCTCATTTAATTGCGAGGAACATGGCATCATTTCTGCATGTATGATGATGGTAATGGCAACCACTTTGACAATGATAATGATTATAGTAATGGCAATGACAATGACAATATAAATGGAAATGACGATGCCAATGGCGATGACATTGTTGATGATGATGATGACGATTGCGATGGCAATAGTTAACAATGCCATTGTTAATGATAATGACAACGATAATGGCAAAGATGGTGATTATGACAATGGTGATAGTGATCATGAACATCAAGCTAATGATATTGATGAGAAAAATCTACAGTCGACTCCCGATAACTCGAACCTTCAAGGGAAATCGATAAACGTTCGAGTTATCAGGAGTTCGAGTTATCGGGAGCTCGAAGAAAATAGCCGGGAATAAGGAAAAAACAGTTTTTACTGAATAGTGAACATTTTAATCACATTCAATTGTAGAAATGTTAAGTGAAAATTGAAAGATAATTCTAGATTATAAATCAGAAGGTAACGTAACAAAACATTGCGTAAATAAGCATGCGTTTTACTGTTTCAAGTTAGATTTGTAACAAACGACATAAGCCTCCACTAGTAACTACATGCCTACAACACGTCAATGGGAAATTCAAAATTCAATGTCTCGGACGCCAGTACACTGTTTTTTCCCCGACTTTTTAAGGGCTCAAAACATGGTTCGAGTCATCGAGGGTAAAATTATATAGAAATGATCTGAGGGGAAACAAAAATTACTTAGAGTTAGCGGGAGATTCGAGTTATCGAGGGTTCGAGTTACCGAGGGTAAAATTACAGTAAATGTATAACGGAAATCCGGGGGAAATAGATTTTGGTTCGAGTTAGCGCGAGGTTCGAGTTAGCGAGGGTTCGAGTTATCGGGAGTCAACTGTAATAGACCTACCTTGCATCCTTCACTTGTCCAATCCTGTTTATTCTCATCCCAGTAGAGGCAGGTCCCAATTTTAACTGACATTGAGTAATTAACGTCGGTCTTACTGTCGTACTTTGGCACAACCCTTATTGTCGAGATAGGAGTAGTGGGAGGCTCCTTCACAGTAATCCACCAACGCTTCCGTCGGACGTGGCTTTTTACGAAAGATTTCAACACAGGCTTGGTCCTGCCATACACCAGACGGATGCCTATGAAATGATCTCCTGTCAAGTTGCTCGAAAATGAAAACATATATGGGTTGATTGCACAGTTGATGAAACCAGTGCCGGGATAAATAAATTTACACGAAGTGTTATCGGAGTCATCTGGAATTCGTCTTGTAAAGGTGTAGTTCTCCGCATTTGGTTTTACACCAGCACTTACAAAAATGTCCAAAAGAGCATCTTTGTCTGGTATTATTTTTACGACAACGGTTTCGAGGGCACTTCTAAGTTTAACTTTGTGATATCGAATAACACTTGAGTTAACAAAGTAATGATCTTGTGCAATTTCCGTTTCCTTTGATCCCTTTATTGGAATGAACAGTTTTATAGGCTCACTAAGATTCGAGATCTGAAGGTGTGATCCATTCGTCATCTTTAAATCCAGGTTCAAAACCGCCGATCTGATTAATCTCGAGGTATCCGACCATAAGTATGGGTTGTCCTTAAAAGTTACAATCTAGATAAAAAATAAAAAGAAAAGAAAAGAGAAACAAAGAAAAAAATATTGTATAATTCATCAGTCAAAAGAGACGACTTTCTCTTACCGGTCTGTAAGAATTTTGGAGGGTGCGGACGCAATCACTCGAAGAGGGCGCGAGTGGGGCTCCTAATCTATCCATCCGAAAAATTCTGGTAATCATGTGACCGTAGTTCCACCCGACTGCTCGTCCGTCCGCACCACAGGGCAAGCAACGTTAAATGTCAAACTCTCTGTCTAGTGTGGGAGCCTGCAACCTGATACTTTCCATCCATGTTGTGGTCAATTGACAGTTGTCAGTGGCAAAACAAGGTATCCGCTGATCAGTTTCACATGACCGTATGCGGGCTCAGGTGTCGACCCATCGAGGTTACGTGTTTGTTGAAGTTCTCCGCTAGCAAGTGTTTGCCGATTATCTCGGGCTTAGGTTTCAGTGGATGCCTATTTAACGTAAGCTAGGCCTTTAGCCTTGGCAAAATTTATATATTATTTGAATGTATTTAATACAATTGCTTTAGAAAAAAGGTTTTGATGCCCATATGTGCAGCAAGTTATTTGTTGGTAACCTAAACTGTTGGGTCAATATAGGTAGCAGAAAACTAACAGTCCTGCACGAATGGCGAAAGAAGCTTGGCAGGCGTATAGAATGTTACCTCGAAAAACGTGGTCTCGGACAATTTTGGGCTGATCTCGAGATCTCGGAAGCGTTTTTGATGGGTCTCAACTTCTCGTTTTCGGGTGATTTCGACGTCTCTTTTTTTTACCGAAGGGTCTCGGAGTCTCGGATTTATGGGCAGATGATGATAACTCACCTGGGTATCGACAGTTCCTTGTTTCTGAATCTTTTCGTCGCTGCCAAATATGACGTCGGCAGATGGAAAAGTCACATTTCCCTCCTCCTCGTGTCCACTGAAAGTTTTGTTTCCAAGATTTTTTGGCCTTTGTCGCCAAAGTCTCATTTTGATGAAATCGCTGTCATAGACACTCTGTCTCTGGCCAGATGTTTTTATGGAGAGAAGTGCTGTTGCAAGTGTATCCACCAAGGAAAGGATTCTCTCAGTTACATTTTTAGCCTGTCATGTAATAATGATTAATGTCAGGTTTCACTTGGTCTTTGAGGGAACTACCACATCATTTTAACTTGCACGGGCTAGTCCATGATATAAAATAAGAATTTTATTAGCTCAAAGAATGCAAAAACTGCGAGTTTGGGTATGATATGTACTTCGAGTGGTGGAGTTATTTGAGGGTTTTGTAATAGGGTTCCCGAATCTCGCTCCCATTTGCTTTAAACGTCCAAATCCCAAGTTTACCTGATTGTCGGGCACGTTGGCAGAGGCGTGAAGAATATTGGACAATCCTTTTATAGCGTTTTTGCCAATGTTCTGTTCAACCACATCTCTGTTATTCACAGCATTTTTGAGGAGAAAGATGATTGTATTGTTTAGCACACTAGCAGTGTTCTCCTACGAAAAAGGAAATTCACTCAATCAAAGTTTGGTCATCATCAAGTTTTGAAGGAGGAAGGTACCTGGATTAAACTGCTACAGCCAAATCTGTATTAATAAAACAATTATACAGGGCATTAGGTTATTCTTTCGACTAATAAAATGCGAAAAACTGTGCCTGAAGAGATGTTTTTGTCCCGTAAAATGTCAAATAGTGTCTCTCGACAATATAATTTAATGACAGGTAACAAAAGTTGGCACCCAAAATATACGGTTTTCGCTTTTCGCTTTCGCGGAATGAACAAGCGCACTTCGTCCTGAACACTGCCGGCCATTTTTATTCCACAGACGTCAAAGTTAACGTCGGAGAAGTTAGCCGTTTGCTGTAAAAACGGTATGCCCTCGTTGATAAAAGAAAACACAAACAAACAAAAAAACAATAAAACATAACATAACACAACAAACATAATTTCCGCTTTGTTATTTTGCATTTTGTCTCGATTTCACTTCTTTTTAACATACCGGACATTCTGGAATGAAGCGTTAAAACACTTCAGGACCAGTTATCTCTAGACGTGTTGGTCATAGGTGGGTCCCAGTTAATTTTGTTTTACATCCATCAATTCCCGCATTTAACATCCTAGGGAGTTAAATCGACGTACTAAACAGAATACCGTACACTGTTGCCCCCACAGGGATTTCGCCGAGAAGGCGAAATCCCGAGGAGGTATCCTAGACGTTCCGGCGTACATATAGGGAAGTACTTACAGTTAAAATATTCTGTTAGTATGCCAGGAAAAAAAAATCGATTTGCTCAAACAGGATTCGCTCGAAGTTGTAGGTCCTCTTCAGCATAAAATGGGCCATTATTGATTAAATACTTGCCATGGTTTCAAGAGGAATTCCGTCCCTATCTTGCGTTGCCAAAACAGCAATAGTTGTAAGCTGAGTGGCCTCGCTGATCTTTGTGATATTAACCGCAGCCATGGAGCTCAAAATGGTGTCCTTCTTCTAAAATAATAAGTAAAGAGTAATGGTAATTGCCCGATTTTCCCCAGTGGACGCTTATGTTTTTTGTTTGATTGTTTGTTTTTCTTTAGGGGGAACAGAGGCGGAGTAAGAGAAGTGTTCATTCCGTTCTCAAAATTTGGGACTCTTTATGATATTTTCTTGGTTTCATATGTTTCAAGTGAGCAAATGTTGTAAGATTTAACATGGGACCTAGAACGTGTTCAGTAGAAATCCAAATTTGGGTTCCCGTGTTAACTCAGATCATCGAATAAGCGCCTCATTTGGGAGAAAACAACTAATAAGCCCCGCGCCCCGAATAAGTTCAGGGGCCCTGATATAATCAAAATAAAAAGACGTTAATTTTGCTAATTTAATTCGGTAAATAATAATAGCCTAGTTGATAAAACTCTTTGTCGCGTTTAACTTTCCTTGAGGCAAGGAAATTTTCATAAGCGCCAGGGCTCTTTTTCCACGTACTAAGTACGGTATGTAGAGAATGCACTCAACTTTCGTGGTTCTGTGTATGAAAGTGAAGTGAAGTGAACATGACGTGACTCGTTGAGTTCAGATATGGATTCCTTAAACACCTACCTGATTGTCACTGGAACCAAGAAGATAAGAAATGGCTGTAGTGGTAGCTCCGCGTACGTCTCCTTTCTCCAACAAGTCATCAATCGCATCTGTCACATTTGATGTCTTTCTAGATGGCCTAACCTTTATGAACATACCGTAAAATTCCGAAAATAAGTCCCCGGGCTTATATTTTTGAAAGGCCCTTTTTGAGGGGCTTATTTTTGGAGGGGCTTATCAATGGAGGGAAATTTGCGTTTCAAAATCGATTGGGTTAGCCTTATAGTTTAAAGGAAATTTACGGTTTTTGCTTTGTTTTACTTTGTATTTGAGGGCAATTTCCAAGTACAAGCCCTCCAGGGTGCTTATATTTGGAGGGGCGATTTAACGGAAGGTTTTTGTGCGTTACGAGCTTGGGGGGCTTATATTTGGAGGGGCTTATACATGGAGGGGCTTATTTTCGGAATTTTACGGTAGCAGTGAAGCATATTTAGATTCCTGAGAAGTCTGGGCTTCGCGATCTAAGTGTACAGTTGTTTTGACTTCAATTCATGCAAAAGCAAAATGAAAGAAAGATGCTGTAGATAATAGACATTGTAAACTGTATTTGCTTCAGCACAGAAGGCTCAAGACAATAAACCCAGTGTTGTTCTACCTTAGGGTTGCTGCTGTAAAACAAAAGCAATAACAGTAAACAACAACAACTTAAAACCCACTACTGCTATCAAAAACTTCGTAAATGACCTGCTTCGCGACATTTAAGCTTTTATACTACTACATGAGAAATTTCTGCAATTTGATTGGCTTAGAGCAGTGGTATTTCAGCTTAATTTGAAATACCTACATGTGAAAATTACAAACCTTTTGAGGATAGTAGTATAAACAAATAATAGCATGATTTATACGTGATATTTGGCATAAATACCACTCGTGATTTTTCGAAATTGTCTCAAATTTCACTTGCCTAACGGCTCTTGAATTTACGTATAACAATTTCGAAATATCACTCGTGGTATTTATGCCGAATATCACTACTAATCATGCTATTACCTATACAAATATGGTCGGAGATCCATTTTTTTAAAATCAATTTTTGAAAATTAGTCTCATCTTTCTCGAGACTTGCAAAGATCATGTCCAATTCTGTCGACATGATACGAGTGGAAAATACGTTAACAACTCTTACGACTAGACAAGTTGAGTCTCCTCGACAGACTTGCATCTGCTTAGTTCACTCAACGGTCCGAGTCACCCTTGCACATTCACTAATGCGATACATTTGTCCACTCGACACCTGTCGAGTAGACACAACTTGTCTGCTCACGCACTAGCTGTTTAATGTATATTTCACCCGTATATGACTGTTAAAGTTCAATTCAATGTTTTATTTTTTAAAAATAATTGATTTAGAAAACAGAACAGTTCAATTTGGAAAAATTGGCCCAAGGTCACTCTTTTTGTTTTTCCCAGTGGCACTCGCCTTTGTACGGCTATTGAAAACTAAAGAGGCGCACGCATTATGAACGCATTAGGTAGGAAGTGGGAGCTGAACCTTGGAATTGTTTTCTTTTTCAAATGTATTTTAAAGTCTTTAAAGGGGCTATGTCACGGCAGTCCAGTTCATTTTGTTAAATTTTGCCAATTACTCGCCCTCAATCGCTATGGAACTTAAAGTAAGCAAAGAAATCACATGTAAATGACAAAATCCGAGATCCTTGACAAACAAATATGTCTCCTGAGCATTATTTTTGAAGTTGCGAGCAACAGGAATCAACTTTGAAAAACTGTTAGGCTGAACAGTTTTCAAAAACCCTAACTTCAATCCGTTTCAATCTTCTTCAGTTTTGCCCATCCGTGGCATCTGTTGTTTCTGTTATGTTATTTTAACTTTCCTTTAAAGTTTTAAGCGGTTAGGTTTAGGTTTCTCTTAATTTAACGGGCATTTTGTAATTTCCAAATTTTGCTGAGACAGCTCCTTTAAGGGCAGCACCAATTGACCCACAAATGCAAAGGTCCTACCCAGAGGTCAACCGTCTAACTTCTAGACCATGGTACACTGGCAGTTACTGCGAGTTACTAAAAGACCTCACTCTTTACAGTAATATCTCTTGCTTTTGTCACTTGGCATGAAATTCTAACCATTCTTGACCATTCCCTGTGAGATCTGGCCTCGGTTGCGATGTGATGATATGAATGTACAGATGTATCAAAAGACTTGTTCTTGGCATAATAAAATGAAGAGTTCTTTAACAAAAACTGATTAGACTCTGAAAAGTACCAAGAAAAACCGTCTGGTACCATTGCAACAAGACTTCTTTAATACATGAATCTGACAAAAAAGCCCCCCAAAACGTTCAAAACAAAAACAAATACGTCTAATCCAGCTCATATTATCCATAAATGTACCTTCACAATTAACTTGTCTGAATGACTCGCGCCGTTTGTGTCTTCAATGACAATGAGTATCTTGAGATTGTAGTCTTCAGATTGATTCCCTGTACTGGGAAGGCTTGTTGATATACTATGGTTTTGGGTTTTACTTTCCAAAATAACCAACCCAGTTAAAGCTGTAATGTACCTAGAAAAACATTAAAGAAATTTACAGCTTAGGAGTGAGAAAATTAATACGAAAGTGAAATTTATAGAGCATCACTTATCTTATAACAAAATTTTTATTTAATTGTCCAGCCAATAGAAAACATATGGTGCATTCGATTGATCGTAATCCGGAATGAGAATTAGCAAATGTTTTGTTACAAATCTTGGCTTTCGTTACTTTTAGGGGGCCGTCGCTTTATACAGGAAAAAACTTACTTAATGCATGAACAAAGTGACGTCAGCGTCAAATATGCAGAATAACTAGAACAAGAAAAAACACGAACCTATTTTAGTTATTTTTTGTTAACATTTTCGCTTAAATCTAAGGTAAATTGCCTAAAATCCGAAAAAATTAATAAATAACATAAAAAACACACAACAGCAACAACAACAACTACAAAGAATTGTCCCGATTAAGAAATGACCAGTATTTGCACTTCATTTGTACTTTATTGTCGAATATACGACATTATTTTCGTCGTTGTAACTCGTCACTTTGCTCGGGCACTTACTCGTTTTCCTCTCAAAAGCAACTGTCTCCGGAAAGCCCAAATCTCAGCGAAATATTTTACTTCAAAGAGACTTCTGGATATAACATTGCAATGAATGCAAAAGATGATTTCCAAAGTTTGTTTCATTTATTCATATTCCAGAATACCTTCAATCGAACCTGCCCAAGTTGTAAATAATTCTTTACGCACGAGCTCTGACGTACTCGTTTAAAAGGATTTGCCCTTTCCTGGCCGAAATGGAATTTGCAAAATAATTGTATTCAGAGAAAGAAGAAAACCTGAAAAAATATCTAAGGGCAAGTGAGAACCATCAACAACAGTAAAATTTAACTTTAATATTTGATATTAATACCTCATGGACGAGGTTATGTGAAATATCGTGATTTGTTAGCGGCGAGCAGATCTGCGAAATCACGATATTTTGCGACAACTAAGTTATCATTCGATCAGCGAGTTTTTTTTCTTTTAAATAATTTGCGAGTCGATCTGTCATTTTGACGCAACAGTGATCGCAAGAAGGAGAAAGGCGTGGTTTCATTTACGAATGATCCAAATATTATTTCCAGCCAAACACATTTGGACAATATTGAGCATGAGCAGACCATTATTTGGAGGCAGCTATTTGCAGGTCACGTGCTAGGCTCTCGACCAATGAAAAGGAAGAAAAATCTGCAACGAATGATAATTAACAATTATTCCTCGAGCCCGAATGGGACTCTGAGTCAATAGACCATGAGGCCGAAGGCCGAATGGCCTATTGACTCAGAGGCCATGGGGGCGAAAGAAATAATTGTTTTAGTAAAATCCAACTAGTTGGTAAAAAATATCGAGACAAAACAACTTTAGCTAGTTAAAGCAAGACTTTAATCATTTTTCGCTGCCAAAAAGCCGGCGCTTTTCGCTACTAGTGGGCTATAACACATAGTCCAGTAGTAGCTCAACCAATCAGAACGCAGCATTGATAATAGACCACTAATTGGGATTATTGAGCTTCAATGAATTTATATTTAGGATTCGAATTTTCATGAGTTTCTGTATTTCATTGATTATTGACAATTTTTTTTTGTTTTTATTTATTGAATCCTCGTGTTCTGTATAAACTTTCCTAATTTTTTGATGCAGATATCACTTTTAATATTAGGGTTTTCTACGTTTGTTTTTAAATGTGTTAGTTTGATTATTTGTGTAATTGAATTCGGTAATTAATTTAATGAATAAAATCAAAGAACTCTAGCATCGAGTATGACCAAAATGATCATTTATTCAAAATATTTCTCTAATTTGCTTTAATCCCCTAACTAAAAATGACAGAAAGAATGCGCGAAAAGGAATAAATAATTTTGCATCAGTCACATGCCCTTGTTTTCCTTGCAAATCATGATAAACAGTTCAAATCATAATCATGAAACTTACCTGAAGGAATAAGTTAGGTTTGCGTATTGGTATTGCCAGCCAGTACAGTCAACAGTAAAGTTCGTTTCCAAGGCAACACCCTCAGTCGGTGTTACTTTGCAAGTGTCGTTGGGAATTGATAAAGGCGACATAGTTTCAAACGTTATCTCATTGAGACTCGAATATTTTTTCTTGCCGTTCACTTCAATTGAACCGTTTATCTTGTAAGATGTATTCATCTTCAATGAATACTCGTTTTTAGCGATTTTACCAACCAGCTCTAGGACTGGATTATCGTTAGGTGTGTTTATTCGCTTATCTAAGTCGGTGACGTCTTTCCAAAAACGGTTCACCTCAGCAGAGTCTAATTGAAACAAATGCCATTCGTAGCGTGTTATGTTTTTACAAAGGCTTCCAGTACAGCTCGATTTTAAGACCGTTCGTTGGCTGGGGTTAACTGCTTTGGGGCCACAGTTGTAACTGCAACTGCAAATAAAAAATATAATCTGAAAAGAGCCCTTTTAAATGCAACAACATAAGGAGTAATCGAAAAATTATTCAAGAATACAAAAAAAAAAATTATAGTCACGACCTCATCATGCAGGTCAGTCCACCTTTCTCGTTTATTAGGTTTACCTCGGTGTATGATCCTGTAAACTTTCTCTTTGTTCGTACCTTTTTTTGTGTTGACTTATTTGTTTTACGTCACCACGGATTCATACACCGAGGATGAGCCCGTTCAACTCATTGATTTAGTCGCCTCATTCGTCTCGTTCCCTTGTTTGGTAAACAGTTTTCTGTCCATTATTACTATAACTACTGGCTTACCTAATAAGAAATTTAATTTCCGGATGAATGGTTAATTGATGACTGGCGTTAAAGGTTTCTTGACCACTTGTTATGATTAGTTCAAACACATATGTCTGTCCCTCCTCCATCTTGTCCACATCAACGACGAGAATATTTGTTGTAACGCTCAGTATTCCGGGACCGTAGCCAAAGCAACCTCTTGAAAAATTTGTGCGCACTTTTGGAAGATCAGCAATATGATAGGGAGTAGGCAAAATTTCATAAATTCGCCTGCAGAGCCAGGTAAAGTTGAGTTGCTTGGTTTGTTCTGGGTTATGCAACAACGATCCATTAAGGATGATATTTCCATCTCCTTTGGTAGCTTTTAATGGTCCCATGATGCTTGCGATCGGTGGGTCACGTTTGACCGCAAAGTAACCATAATCATATCCGATGATCTTGCCCTTTGGAAAACTTTTTATAATATAACTGACGTAGAAGAAGACATCCTTGTCCAGATTCCTCTTTTTATTAACAAATGGTTTAGACTTGATTAGATCTGTTGCGATAAATTTTGTTTTATGTTCTGGAGGGTCGTACTCCCGAAAAATATTCCAGTAACCGGAAGTTGCTGATAAACTACAGATTAAGCGGTTTACAGTCGCTCTAAAAGGTATCCACCTCTTTCCAGGCAAAACATTTTGTATAATATCTTGAAGGTCCTTGGTCAGATTAAGGTTAACGAGTACAGGAGGACATGTGCAGTTCTCTAAGATATATAACAAAAAAAAGAAAACATGGAAACCTGAATTGTCCAGAAAGTTATAAAGCTAGAGATATTTCTGCTGATACTGATTTGAACAACAGACCCCGGGCTTTTCTGGCTCCCTGAAGGCCACCCCTTTTACGTTAAAAATCACATGCAAAATAAGAGAATGATTTAGTCATCATTTTAAGCATCGTCTTATTTTGATTTGATAAACAAAATACGCCGGGTTCAGAACAACGCCAGTGAAACTGCATTCTAGGAAACTCCTTTTCAATTTATGTATCAGCATGGACTGATAGTGTTCAGGATGGAATTAGTGAGTGATTTATTTGCGAAAAATACGAATTTAAAATGTCAAAAATAGACGATGATAAGTTCAATCTTTAACAGTAGAGAGTTTAAAGGGACAGGTTCACGGTTGAGCGCATGCTCATTTATCAAAATGCTGTTTTTCTGCCGGGACATGCTGTATCGTCAATGCAAGCAATATGATCATGTCATAATGTTGTCAAAGAACCAATCTGCACTCTCCTCTGGCAGTCACTTGCACTTGATGAACTTAAATATTTGCAAATAGCTGTAAATTAATCAACCATGGAATAAAACCTTCGGGTCAACAATAAATTCAACGTTGGTGGTGTTGGCATAATCTACTAATTTTTTCTGCGATTTTAGTACTCCTGCATCCTACTTCAGGTTACTCTTAATACAATTCTACTTTGAAATACAATCTGAGATCTCTGAGATACATGTAAGTGGGATTATTAACCGATAGAAATAATAATAAATTGGAAAGAAATAATTTAATTGATGAGCATGCGCTTAACCGTGAACCTGTCCCTTTAAGCCTCACATATTATACGGCAAGGGGCAAACGTTAGATTCAAGTTGAGAATTTCCCAAAATGGAAAATGAGCAGATAAAAACAGCTCAAAACAATTCCCGTAAAAAATTGCGTGAAACTACTAATCTCCGGTGTAGAAATAATGAACAGTAAACAACAAGTAAAGGGGAAACTTGGTCACGTGGTACCAATTCACATTTGCAGTTTGACGGAAACGTGATGCTAAACCTCTCTAGTGTTAATTCCTTTCGGAATTTCACAACTTGCCGATTTTTTTGCTTCCAAAACATCTTTTTAAACACATCAATTTTTCAATCAAGATTTCCTTTAATAATACCGGTTTTAATTAATGAGTTGATTAAAAATGGCGGGATTCAAGTTAGCGGGTGGTTCCAGATCCTTCTTTTACAATAAATGACGTCACCATAACGTCCTTGCTTTACTGTTTTTTAGAGATGTTTGGTGGTTAAAGCCTGCATGGTTATGAATTTATCCAGTTTGAAAACCCTCCCCTAGTCTCAATAGAATAATTCCACTTTTCCAACACTCGAAGGCACAACACTCGGGTAATAAAGAACCGTTTTTTACTCCTCAACATACTGAATTTGGTCAAGTTTGGTGGATTTCCGAAAAGCAAAAGGACTTAAAAGGACTTTCTTCTAGGGGAAGTCAGCTATTACCTGTGTCTATTATCTCCAGGAAGGTATTGTTAAACATTTGTATTTCCCTTATTCTCGACTCTATTTCGGTTATCATGTTGTTCTTCACTGAACAGCTTGTACAAAACACTCTTATGTCTACCATAGGTTCCACCAAGTAGGGTTGCTGAGAGCGTCTCGTCTGGGCACTAGGAAAAGAAGTCGAGAATTTACCCTTGGGCTTTCATAAAAACCTGAACTACTTGCAAAATAAAACATCTCGTCTTTACCTCATTCGACGCGGGTATAAGAAACGTAAAATGTAAAAATAAAAATGTTCTAGAAGGTTAAAATCGTCCAAATATATTTCGAGGATTCTTAACTTCTAGAACATTCTTATTTTTACAGTTTACATTTCTTACACGTGCGTCGAATGTGGTAAAGAGGTGATGTCTTATTTTGCAAGTAGTTCAAGTTATTCGAACAGTAACATTCCTAGTCTCAGCATTTACAATTTCTCAAAAATTTCAAAAAACCTCATAGAAAGAATGTGGGGTGTGAAAAACGTGTACTTGGTATCTTTCGTAGTGGGACCCTTTGAAAGTGTATTCTAAGAAACTTGGACAGTGGATGTAAAAACTGGGGATTGGGCTGCTACAGAAAATTACAGCCATGGTTCCGAGGAGAGTGCTTGATCCCTAAATACCAGGAGAGTGTACTGAGGTTAAATTCTCCCGGGACCTTTATTGGGAAAACATAACATACAAGCTAAAGAGCAAAACAAAACAAAACAAAACAAACAACAACAAAAAAAACAAGCAAATAAAAACAAAGCAAAGGCAACAAAAAAGAACAACAACATTGACAACAAAAGAACATAAGAGCTTTACATACTGCTACCTTTTTAGTATAAGCCAGTTGCACATTTCCCATAATGCCCTTTATTTGCCCCCCCCCACCCCCTCCCCAAAATTTTGCACAACCTTTGTTTTTCAATCCTCCTGGGTATAACAACTGTCCCATTGAAAACCATGCTTACGTTAATTGTTTTTTTTTGGGGGAGGGAGGGGGGCAAATAAGGTACAATATGGGAGATGTGCAAGTGGCGTATAGACTTGTTTTTGGTGAGGTGACGTTAAGTGTGGTTCAAAACGCATGATTCTGTTTTTAAAAATAGAATGGAAGCGTTTAGTACCCAAACCGTAGAAGTTCAGCACCAAGATATCCATAGGTTCTATTAAAATGATTATTGAACTGCAAGAAAAAAAAAACATATATAGATTACAAGATTAAGAATTAATAAACTGATTGACTCATTTATAACTAAGATACACAATACTATTATAGATGAAAAAAAAATAATGTTTTAATTTTTGTCTCTATTCTGTCGTCTCGTCAGTTTCGACTCCAAATAGCACGCAGAGACGAGCTCAAATGTGAAAAAAATTATTTGCAAAGCTTAATTGGTTGAGAAGTTGAGCTGTGAATTTTAAAACTTCCCGCCGTTTTCTTACTCTCTTCAGAAACATTATTGATCTCTAGAATGTCATTTCCCTGCAACCAAATGGTGATGGCTATGGTGACTAGCTATGTTTAGTATTTACTAAAACAGTGGATAGTGTTTTTCGCGCGCTCTGATTGGCTACTCAGTCAGTAGATAGCCTGCGCTATTCACTGATTCACCTCCAGTTCCTCCGAGCGAGCGACGCCAAACTCGCGAAAGTTGCGAGCAAAATGCCTTCCCGGTTTGCTGCTGTAATAAACAAAGAAATTTCACAACTAATCAAGCAAGCTGTTTCCGAAATACACGAAGAATTCGACGGTGACGAAGTTCGGTTTGGAAGTTTTTATAGGTAAAGCTTTGTCTTTTTGACTTAAATTTATCGATAAAACCGGTGAAAAAGGTTTTTTGTTTACAAATGCAAATTAAGCTGAAGTCTTGCAGTTACTTTATTTAGTTGACTTGTTCATAAATAAGCTTAAAGCTAAATTTACTAATCTTTTTTACAGAATGATTTTAAATACAAAAAGAATTCACAACGGCTTTTAAAGAAATTTCTCCGCAAGAGCTAAATAAACAAATGCCTTCAAAAGTTTTATTTGTCGGCAAGAAAAAGAGACGACCGCGGCCGTTCGGTCATTGCGCGCCAAAATTGTAATCGTTGGCAACAGTAAATGAGTTAAAAATCATCGTTTTTGTGCTCAATTATCTCACTGTTTACTATATACTAAGATAATTGTTCACTTCAAAGTCCGTGGCTAGTGGTAGTATTTACCTCGCCACTTCGCAGCCTCGGTAAATATCCACCACCACTAGCCACCTCCACGTCGGTGAATAATTGTTATCAAAAGTCAAAAAATATATTTTTGCTGTCAATCTTTCGAGTTCATTTTTCCGCCAAAAGTCGAAAATCCAAAAACATACGATTGTTGGGAATACCGACAAAACAGATTTTAAAATTGCAAAATTATTTTAAAAGAGGCCACGTTTTACTTGAAAAGTTTCAACGGTATATATGGATTCCCTAGCATGCAAATTAAAACAGTCACTTCTTCTCGCTCCTCGCGGCCACGGAAGTCTGCTCCTCAGCGACAGAAAAACTGTCCAGAAACTGTCCAGAATTTTAGCTATTGTTACCGAACAACAGACAAAAGACACACGGTCACAAAAGTCAAATATAAATGCGATGAGTCTAATAAACAGTTATTCTACGAGTGCGCTTTGGATATGCCTGAAGATGGCCAACGAGGCGTCTAGCCCCGAGTTGGCTATAATCATCTCATGTCCAACAAGCACGAGTGGAATAATTGTCACGGTTTTAATTAAAAACGCCCACAAAATATCCAGAATTATTCTCGAGTTTATTTCATGACGGGCTTTGCTCACCAAAAAAGATTATGCAAATTAGGCTAAGGGTAGATTGAATTTACCCATGGCTTATGATTAACTGAAACGAGATATCACAATTCGCGCCTTCATACGACTGAGGTGTTACTTTGGAATCCTCGGTAATTACTTTTTTCGCACTTGCCGACATCCAAAAACACCCGGCGTGGGAATCACGAGACGTGTAAATACGACATTTCTTGACATAATAAAAAGGTTTTCCAGATACGGACGCGCATTTCTTGGCTTTACTCGCGTGGAGACACACGTCAACTGTTACTTCTCACGCGAAATAGTATTCAAGGCATGGCTCTACTGTAAAAAAAACCCGCTCCTTATTGATCACAACCATAATTATAAAAGGCGATAGCAAGATAAATAATTATCACTCGAATGGGATAATCGAAGATCAAGAACCAAACCTTAACGAGAGCGGGGATTTATATCTGTTACTAAAGAGAAAATGGAAATGAAACATTAACCCTTTGCCGACTCAGAAAATATTGCGAGAAGCTAAAGTTTACCACCCGAGAAACATTTTAATGACGGCCTATAATCTATTCTTACGGGAGGAATGAAATTATTTGCAATTATGTCGATCGAACAGTATACTATCTTCTGTCTATTACTGT